ATTACAATTAAATTATTTAGTCTAGCTCTTCTGTCTATAAGTCTTTAAGAAAATGCATTAAAATGTTTGGTAACTAACTTTTACAATGTTTAATGGCTATGCTAAACAAAAGGTTGATTTTGTTATTGTAGGCAGAGAATTATTTCGTTAATATATTTAACATTATATGATTTAAATAAGATTAATGCCAGTCATCGCTCATCATGAATTTTCCATTTATCCTTGATCGTTTGATCCCCAAATCGATAAAGAATAGTACATTTGTTTTCTTAAACGTTCTTAAGAGGACAGAGCATACCCGCCTCAGCGAGCCAAAACTGTTGATTCGAACCGAACTGCCTGTTTCAGTTTTTACAACTTTTTTACGAGGACCCCCGCCGCTGACCTCCGTCGATTCTCAGGGCAAAAGGTCACACAAACCGAGACAGTCAGACACATTCAAATGGCTGTCATCAATTACGCGTGAAATACGAAAATAAAAAAAAAGGGGCGGCTCGTGGAGAGAAACTCCATGGGAATGCAGGACAGCCAGGACAGCCAGGACAGCCAGGACACGGAGTAAGGACACCACCACATCGCCTGTTGCCTCCACTCGTCGAACTAATTAGCGTGAATTATGGGAGTTTGATGAGTTGCCTATGCCTGCCGTCGCCCTAATGAATGGCTGGTCGACAGTTTTGTTGACCATTTGTTGCATGCTACCATAACATTGGACTAGTCCTTGCCGAATTCGAATCAATATACGCATCCGGATCCGGAATGCTATCTTCCGAATTCATTTGTTCCCACACAAAGACGACTTTGATTGATTGAGCCGCCAGCGGAGAGGAGCATATGTAGCTGGGCACGGATATCCACGGATGACCCGAGCACCATGACCCATCATGTATCCCAGGAACCTTTGGTCCTGTCTGTCTGTTTTCCCTTTTTAACTTGACATTTATCGCTTCATGCGCATTTCTTATACTTTGCACATGCCCATCTGCCAACCCACTTCGTTTCTGTCTCTGCTGTCTGTGTTTCGCATGTTTATAAGACTATATATTTACCAACTTAATTGGTAGTTATAGACGTTCAAATTTAATCCTCGAACCAGCCAAGCAGACCTAAAGGCAAGTGGGTTGTGGGTAGTGGGCTGGGGGCCAACACAAAAACAAAAGCCAAGACGAAGAGCAAGTCCAAAGGAGCGCTTAAAAAAGCCAGGGCTGTTTAAACACAATTTATTTATATGCCGATTATATCCGCTAGGGTTTATTCGCAAGCGCTTTAAGGTATTTTATCAAATTTATTTTTAGTTAATTGATATTACTTTGCTTCAAGACATTCCTCATTAGCGATTAAGCGTTACAAACTATTATATAAAAACTAAAAGAAAATAAGAATGGAAGCAATCTTCGGCAAACCGAAGCGTATTCAAAGCCTTAACAAAAGTTGCTATTAAAAAACTGTTAAATTTTGCTTAATTTAAATTTAACACATACATATATAATAGACTTAATATGAGACTTACTAAAACAAATAAAATTCTTTAAATATTTTTGTTAAGCTTACTTTTTTTCTCACTCACCGCACCAACTTTCTATTTTCTTTTTCTTCGGTTCCTTTTCAGAAAATATGTATGTATGGGTGGGCCACATTTTTTACACTTTCCCAACGGAGCACCCATTCCAGCGAAGCACCCTTTCCAGGATTTTGGCTGCACATTGAATTTTGGCAATTAGAAAGCCGTATCGTTTACTAAATCAATATGCAGACACTGCGATAATCCAACACATTTAATATCTCCATTTGGAACAATTTCTTTTGTAGAAAAAAGAATAAATTTACTCAATCTTGTTTTTAATGAAACTGCGATGTGAACAGATCGAGCGAAAAAGAAGAAGACATAGAAAAGAGCGCGTCAGTGGCGTCCATTCCAGGTGAGCAAATTTAAAAGGCTTATCATGCAAAGCAAACAGGGAGAGAGAGAGCGCGGGATTGCAACAACAAACAGAGGAATTGAGTACTGCTAGAGAGCAGACTAATGCACAAAAAAATGGAAATCGAAGTAGAGGCAATTCAGAAAATAACGGCTGTTGTTTGGAATTAGATAATATTCCAGTTCTTCCATGGATTTGTAATACAGTGGGCAAAAGAGGTATACTTTTAAATTCATTTTAATTGTATGTGCAAGCATGTCTGTTAGTAAACATTAGTAGTTTAATTCTTATAAATTTATTATTTTTTTACCGCATTTGAAATTTTATAATAATTCTTTTTTATAAATTTGTAAAATTTTAAAAACAAGGTTTAAAGACAGCAATTTAAATTCAATTAAGCACCAAAACTTCATTTAATTCGTTGATATTTTATGCAAGGTTTATAGAGAGCAGGACTGTCGCTCATATTTTTGCTCAGTGTAGCATGTCTGCTCTCACTCTGTGCTGGCATTCAGTACCACTCACTTGTCAGACAGCTTAAATTTTGTTGGTTGGGGGAGGGGCCTTGGCCACACCTTTCTTGGAGGGGTGGCTGTGGTGGTATCCTTTCTGCCAAACCGCCTCCAATTCCTCCTCTGAATCCTCCTGCGAAACCTCCTCCTGTTATCCCCATTCCCAAACATTCTAGCAGTCAGTCAACAGGCAAATCAAATGATTGCCGGGCGGCGTTTTGTGTTGTGTTGTGTTGCGTTGTGTTGTGTTGTGCTGTGTAGTGTTGTGTTGGGTGTCATTGTCTGCCGGGCATCGCGTCTCCATTGTCGACGGATCCGGATCCGGCTTTGTTTACGGCCGTGTTTATGGCAGCTTCCGATGCCAGATGGTTCTTGGTCTTGAGACGTTTTAATTGGGAAGCGGACAGTGGGGAGTGGAATGTGGAGAGTGGGAAGTGGGTATCACGCAATAGTGCACGCTGGGAGATAAAATCAAATTTAATGCAAAACTAAGTAAACTTTCGCCGGCGCCTTCTGCGGCCTGCCAATTGTGGGAACTCGAGAGCTGTCCCTGTTTGCGTACCACCACTGTGCCACTGTTGGTAGTTTGCCTTCCTATTTTGTTGGGCTTTTTATTTCTGGCATCTTTCAACTTGTAGCCGCAGCTGGCACGAAAAATGCCAGCCCAACAACTTCAGCCCAAGAGTCCCTATCTCCGTATCTCCGAATCTCCGTATCTCCGTCAGTGCATCCTCGCCCCTCGGCGTCTTATTTAATTTGGAAGGCCGCCGCATGTTCGTTGACTTTATTTGCTGTATGTAATAAAATTAAAGCCCTTTAGCTATTGTACTTTCCCCTCAAAAAAAAAAAAATAAAAAAAAAACGAAACGAAAAAAAGAAAAAGCAGAAGAACAAATTGTATCCGTACACACACACACACACGCAAAGGCACACGCAGGCCATGTGGACCCAACGAGCCATGAATGCAGACTCTTAGCCCGGGATATGGCCATTAAGTTGGCCTTTTTACGACCATGCTCCTAGTTGCGTATGTCTGCGAGTCCAGAAACCCTGCATACCCTCTATACCCTTCATACCCATCCATACCCTCCAAAGTAGTTCCACATATGAACATCCGAAGCCGCAGTCATGTCGGGGATTTCGCGTACAATCTGGCTGGTAGTTGCTGCATGTGTGGGTTTGGTCGTTTTTGCCCAAGTTTGCCCATCACTTACGTTTAGGCATTGATAATGAACTCTCGTCTGGAATTTCGTATCAGAAACAAAAAACAACAAACGAAAATCTCGCCCCCCGTCCATCAAGACAATCGCAATCACACCGTTTAATCACATTCAAGAACTATTAGTGAGTTTATTATATTTTGTATTTTGCAAAATTAATTATTATTTCGGCAATTGCAACTTTGTTTCAAAATAATATTACTGTTATTATTTTGTTTTCGCATTATTTTATACACAAAGTACTATCCTGGCGGGCAAAGATGTATTCAATTTAACCAGCAGTTGTGGGGTTTACCCAAAATACTTATACTTATAGTTAGTTAGGTAATAAAAAGTGGTACTTTTTACTTTTCCTCATAACTTAGGATTGACTTTTATATACCCTAGAAAAAAGCTAAAGCTAAGCTACTGAAATCCATTTTGTTTCTGAGTCTGCTTAAAAATCGTTTAATAGTTCGCTTAACATAAGACACGAAAATTGACGATGCATATTATATTATAATAAATTATTGAATGTTTTCATAATCTGACATTAAGCATTAGCATTATTCAACGGCAACTTTGAGAAAGGTTTATTCACACCCAAATGGTATACAAGAAATGCAATCAAAACCCATTTATATTTTTTTTGTACTTCCAATCTTACCTAAAAACCTGAATTGTTGTGTACCTTAATACCTTGCGTAGGTATTTATTCTCGCAGATAAAATGTACCTTAACTAGGTAAAAAATCTAACATTTTTCCCAACACTGTTAACAAGTAAGGACTTTGAATAATAATTATTAAATTGTTAAAAATTAAGATATCAAGTTGCTAAGAAATATTAAAATATAAATTATTAACTCAGTATTATATAACTTGGCAGTAGGTTTATAGCCTTAAAATTAAATAAAATGATACAAAAGTAGAATCCTTTGGCAGTTTATTTAACAGCAATTCATAAAGAATTCATACCTATTTGACATTTTAGTTAAGGGTCCATTCTCTGTCCTTAAATTTTTTACAAGTCATACAAAATGTATTCACATTTGTTACTTTGCTTAGCTAAGTTTTGTTTTAAGCTGAAAATTTATACTGATATAAGGAAGTTTACATTTCAGAGCAAGTTAATTATTTATAAAGAAGGTATATTGACTTAAGAAATGGTTTAGATTTTGTAACCTAGTTTGGTTTTGAAGTTTAAATGCATAACTGATATACGAAGTTTATGTGTCTGAGCCCTCCGCTGTTTCCACTATGTATTTATTTTGAAATAAAACCTTAAATTCCTACTGATAATAGATAGGTTTGTATTTCCGATATTGTAACTCTTTATGTTGGTTAAGCATGACAAATGTGTGGCACTCACCTCCGCAGTGGTCCTTGAAGTCGTCGCAGCAATCGCCGAGCTTGAGGCAGGCGTGGTCGCAGTAGCAGGGCTTGTCGCTGAGGTCCTCGATGATGGCGTTGATCGGAGCCTTCTGGACGACGCAGGACGAGTCGCGGCCAGTGCAGCAGAGCTGAGCCTCCCGGCAGGACCCTCCGGCCACGAGGGGCATCCACTGCGGCAGGACGAGGGCCAATAGGAGCAGCAGCATGGGCGCGGGACTGACTGACATCTCGGATCTCGGAATGCGGTCTATATGCGGTCTCAGCCTGCGTATTTCAATTGCCGAATTTTAGTCCGTGTCACAAGCACACACACACACAAACTATACCAAAACCAAATCCACCCTCTGATGTATTAGTATGCAAATGCAATTTACGCCCAAGAGCGGAAATTAAAACTAAAATTGAATTATGGCCAGCAATTCGAATGGGGAATTACTGGGGGCCTGGCCAAATCGAAGCCAGCAAAAGGCAAAATCAAAAGGGCAAAAAAAAAAACAAAAAAAAAAAAAAAAAAAAAAAAAGCAAACCGCACACACAATACCAGCAGCACGACGAAGGGCATTACACGAAAATCGACAACGCACAAATATGAACTCCAAACACGGCCATCGAAATCAAAGTAGGTCGTCGCCTTGGGGAGGCTAAACTGCTACCTTTTGCCTGTAAATCAATTCCGCCAAAGCGAAGGGCTAGTCTGCTTTGCATAAAATATTGAGCAAATGGCAACAGCGTTTCCAACTCTCACTCCAATACAAAATCCATCTTCACATTCACCTCCGTTGGCATCGGCGTTGCCATTGCCGTGTCCGGGATAATAAAACAAAGACTTCAATTTTCATAAATCGTTGCCAAAGCGAATCGCAGCAGACAGCGAGAATTTATATTAACAGCTGTGTCAGCGCCCAAACGGGGCGTTCAAATCCAATCCAGTGGCAGTCCCACTTCCAATCCCAAATCCGACACTGAAAACAAACCTCTCAATACTAATAATTTATCGAGGGTTTTTGACTTGAACTGCAATAACTAAAATCACTTAGTAAATAACTAGCTATGGAGATTGTTAAAATTGATGATTATAATCTATGAAAGTTTCCACTTGAGGCAATCATTTAACTCAATTTTAACAACACTCTAATTAAAAATAAATCTTACTTAGCTAATAACGAGTTTTTGTTATAAAAGTAATAAATAAATAAATTTCTATAATATTTTATAGTGCTATTATAAGCTAGAAATTATTTCTATTAAATAAAAATAAAATATTAAAATAGATCCAATTACAAAATCTTGTCTCAATTTTAATGATTTTATATTTGTTCGACCTTAGCAAGTAAAAGCTAGCAAAACATCTCATAGCTAATTTTTACGTTACACAAAGATTGAGATCTCTATGATATTTTTCTCGGTGCTGTCCTGATTCCAAGTAATATCGGCTAGTACTCGCGATGCTCGTAAGTCCTTCACGTCTCCAAGTGACCCGGATGATTCAATCCACTCGTAAAGTGGCGCTCCACTCGCAATGTGTGGCGTGTGATTTAAACAGTCGCACTCAATCTGGCGAGGATTCGATCGCAGTGATTCCGAGTCTTTTTATGGCCGTGAAAGTGGGTATAACAACGCGTGAATTTGATGAAAGAAAAGTGAATTGGAATCGCGTGGAGCAAGGGATTCGATGCGACCACTCTCGATAACATCCAAAATATGCGGGAATTATTTGAAATCAATTGAAGATATTTACATGTTCCAAGATGATTTCTTCTTTAAATGGAAGAATATGAAACCACAGAATAGAGCATTTTGTTTACATTTGTTATTATAATAAAGCATTACGGCACTACTCCAAATTAAATAGATTGCTTTTTACAAAAACACTTTTTGTTATTTAGTATTTATAATCGAAGGGCAAGAAACTGGAAGTTTTCTTTAAAAATATTACTTCTTGATGGTAAACATTTATATACATTAAAAATATTGTAGTAGACAAGTTAGTATTTGTATAGAATGGCTAAATTAATAAAATAAAGGCAATTAAGCTTTAAGTTCATTATTGATTATATATTAATTATAAATATTTTAATAAAATCACCGTGTGGGTTATTTTTTAAATGAAAAAATGTATCAAAATGCTGTATAAAGTGAGTTAAACCTTTAAACTCTTCCACGTCACCGACCAAATTGGCATTAAATTTCAAAATTGGCCAAACAAAAGCGCTAAAATCGATTCGATTGAATGGGTCTCAATGGAATACAATGCGAACATCTTCTTCTAGAATTCACTTAGAGATCTGTCAATCATTTGCCGAAAACCGCGACAAAGGCAAGCACTTTTCACTGCACTCGGCCATTCATTCATACTCACTCGTTGACCCTCTCATTCACAAAACATCCACTCGAAAGCACTCGCTTGCCGCGATGTTTTAAATTTGGCGCAGGACTTTGATGAGTTTTTTTGGACGAGAAGGACCGTCGGACGGGACGAGGGTCCAAAAATAAATATTATGCGACGCTGCCTGTCTGCATGAGGGCAAATAAATTATTTCGTAAGCGTCGGCGACCCGCAGCCGTACCAAAAACAACAACAACAACATAAACTAAATTTTGCGGCAAATATTTTCTTTGGCCGCTCGTTTGTATGTGTGTGTGTGTGTGTGTGTGTGTGTGTGAGTGTTTGCGTGTGACAGCACGCGACATAAATGTCCTTAAATGATTAATAACTTTTCACTCCTTTTCGCGCGCACAAGCGTTTCAAGTTTCACTCAACAAAAAGAATACAAAACAATGAGGGACGACGACGACGATGTTGGTCTTATCCCATCCTGTTCCATATCAAAATCCAATAAGCCGCATCAGCAACGACAACAACGACCACAGCAAACATAAGCGATCCTTGTCACGTAAACAAAAAAGGAGTCCCCACACGTGTTGACAACGTTTTTGGCTTCTTACGTTCGTTAGTTTAGACGATTGGTGGCTGGAAAACGCGTTTACAAATCCCGATCTACGAGGCGCACGCTGCGAAAGCCGGTCGACGACTGTGCCTTCCGCTGGTCGCGTGGTGAGTTATAAATCCAGCGAGGCAGCTTGGCAGCGACGCCAGTCCTTCGGCTCCGCTCGGCCATATCCTTCGGTTCTGCTCGTCATTATCCTTGCAGTTGCGCCGCCGCTGCCGTTGCTGCGCCGTTTGCTGCGGACGCTACTTCCCCGTGGCCCCAAAATCAGGCACAAATCGGTTGCAAGGACCTGCTACCAGTGGTGAGTTCGTTTCACAGCTGCAGGCCATCGCCATATGGCCGTAATATCAGGCGACATCCTGCCGTGATGACGACAACGATAATGCGCCCGAATAAAATCAGCCAAGCAAGATTGGGGCAGCTAAACACAAAATGGGAGAATCGTACAAGCTTTGTTATGATTTCAATTGTGGAATTTGTATCTCGTTTACAGATCATTTCATGGGACTGCAAATTCACAAATACACAAGTCCATGAGAAATCTTTCTTCTTAAGTAAATACAATCAGTGCTGCCGATTTGTTAACATTTCTCTATTGTTTTTATTTTTGTTTTAAACTTTGAATCGATAAACACAGTTTCGGTATCTATTTTGAATATAAGTTAGAAAGCATATACATTACATATTTCTTGAGGTATCGAACAGAATATATTTACTAACTATCCCTGTTTTATGTTAATAAATTACGTATACGTAACACTAAAGTGATTATGACGACTTTCATATATAAAAAAAAATATAAAAATATATATATCTATAGAATGTTTTGAGTTTTTCAAGTCTTTTTTGGATATTTTTAATTACCTTCTGGCAACACTGTTGTGATTCCAGCCAGAAAATAAATTCTTTACTTGACCAAAAGCCTATAAAAAATGTTAAATGTATAATGATATAATATACCTCATTGATAGAAAGATCCTAAATTATATTCATAGCTATAATCGTGGCTCTGATTATGTTTAGTGCAACAAGCTCAAGTAATTAGAATTACAGTGAAATATATTAATTGTAGACTACAAATTCCTTAACTCCGTCATGTTAGGAAATGATTAGAATCCCAATTAGACGACTAGCCATCAAGCGGTGAGTCAGCAGCACCCAATTCCCCACAATGTGCCAAATAAGTCCAAATAAAGTGCTGCGGAGCACATCTGAGCTTTGGAACCAAATGCGAATGCATTTACCTGCGTCAATTACAGCCAACTAAATGTTGGAGTTGGCCCTCTCGTCCCTCCGCCCAAAAGAGAGAGTGTGTGAAATGGGGAAATGCCACCGACTGGGCCCACACAGGCCCAGACAATGGACTCGAGTTGACATACTTGCACAGATTTGGAGGAACTGAACGGGGAAGTGCAAGTGGAGGGGCGAATGTGAAGCGGCTGGAATGAAGTGACGTTTATGCTGACACTGAAAGTCATCATCAACAACAATATACAGTCTCAGCTGTGGCACACACCAAAAGAAATAACTTTATACGTTTCGATTTCTATAAATTTTGGTTTTTAACACAGCGACTTCATTTGAACTTGCTATATTTTATGTGCACTTGAGTTAACTAGGCCAAACCATACCTTAAATAAAATGGGAGTTTTTTAATAATTATTATAAATAAGATAGTGATTATATATTATTTGCTAATTATTTTAGACATATTAAGATAATTTGAGATATTTCCAAAATAATCATCTCTGTTGTTTTTGTTTCTTTCATTTATTTTGCAACAAATGTATAAGTTATTTGAAATGAATAACTGAAAATAAAAATCTTTCTTAAATACGGTGGTATTAATCAATGTATTTAGTGGCAAGCTTGGTACACCAATTTTCTCCAAGTGCATCGATGGCTTGAACCCCATGCCCTCCGGTTGAGTTGCAAATATTTGCCGCATAGGCAAACTTGTGCCACTGCCACAGGGCGACACATCCCCATTCCCATCCCCCATTTCCATGCCCATGCTCATACCCATATCCATATCTATCCACCTCATTCTGGGCCTCCGATTCGGCAGGTTTGGGCGAATGTTTCGCCTTGTTTGGCTGTCGCGTATTTGGCGCGCCTCCTGGCGGGGCAAGTGTTTCCTGGGGCAGTGGTTTAAGCATGGCAAGTGGGCATGGCAAGTGGGAGGCTGTCGATGGCAGTCCTCGTGTGGATGTTGCATGCGTCGTCTCGTTTCCGCTCCAGATCATAAACAAAGCGGACGCGTGCGAGGTTATGTACATAAATACATGCAAATTTGATGTCATTTCGTATGGTGGCTCCACCAATACACAGGCAGGATGGGCCACCCACATCCACTCGCACACACACACACACACACACACACACACGAACCTTCACATGGACCCGCGGCCATTTAGCATTGCATACTTTTCGACTGCCTTTTCCTCCTGAGAAACATCGAAGGGTACTTTTTGGAGAGATGAGTTTTCTCGCCAAGAAGTCTCTTTGTTTGCCAATAAACTAGTAGTAACATTAGTTGGCACACCCCCGCAGTGAAAATATGCATCCTTTAATTTATGCAAATATCTAATTTTATAGTGAATCAATTCAGGTAAACAAATGGAAAATAAATTACATAACTTGTTTACACAATTTGGCTTTTCAGTAAACCATACAAATTAATAGAAACTAAAAACTAAACTAATTATCTAGCCGTTGACCCCTAATTTTTTCAATCAATTTTGTTTGTCATTGAATATTTGTCTATTGATTAACAGTAGCGCTTAATTAGGAATCATAAAAGTTAATAATGGTTGTTCAACATTCGTACTTCAAATTTACCCTTACCTCTACTTGCAACAGTACATTTGATTACAATTTTTTTATTAATTAGAGCATTTTAGCCCCCTTGATGCACAATATAGCATGTAAAATTTTCATAATTATAATACGGTACATAACAAAATAGTTGTTTTCGAACAACAGAAACAAATTTGTTCATTTTCACTGATGGCATAGTACTGTTTTGATATTGTATACATTTATTTTTTTTTTGTTTATCAAGTTTTAATCACACCACATACCCTTCTCTTCTAAGTCTTTTCTTAAGTTTACTTAGCGTAAAGACCTTTTTTTTAACAGCTCTGTATAAAAACCAACCTAAAAGTAGATCGGGTTTCTTTACTTTTTAATTTATTTCTGAATCATTACGTTTTTTTTGTACTCGCAGGGTAAACATAATTCGAATCGCCAAGACCCAACAAAATCTAGATCATTTCCAATGCTGGTCTCGTTGTTTTTCCTAATGCCCGCAGGCGAATGCAATAAAAACAATTAAAATCAGCAGCAGCATAAAGAAGCAACATGAACTGCAACTAAAAAAGCTGACCTGCGGCATCGTTTCAAAACTAATTGAAATGCCCTCGCACATAAAGGGGAATAAAAGCTGACGACTCTATGAACACTTTTGACACACCATAAAAACATAAATGGCATATCTCTCTAGAAACATTTGAAAGTATCAACTGCAAGCAGGCCGGGAGTTTGCTAAGTCGGCTTAAGTTGGCCATCTAGTGGCGAGTTGGTTGAAAACCAATTTTATTTATCACTTACCAAAGAGAATCGAAACTTAGCCCCGCAGATTGTGGACTGGGTGGTAGAGTAGTTGGTGTGGTTATGTTTGAAGGGTGGAATGTGGAAAATGGAAAGTGGAGAGTGGCTTAATCCAGGTGATATCACCCGGGATGCACATCGTGTGCTCGGCCGTTTCTGACAGATTTCAGTTAAATGTAAATTATTAAATGGCCAGACATGTGCGCATACTCGAATTCATGCACACATGACGCCAGTTGGTTGTGTTTACCAAAGGTATTCTATTAAAATAATGCTCTGCTTAGGTCAAATCTATTCCCTTTGTGTACTTTGAATGCCGATTGTGAAATCAAATATGTGGAATTGTCTTTGATGCCGACCTTAAGACTTTAAATCGTGAGCCATATTGCATTAACAATTAGTTCTATAAAGCAATCAACTGGAAAAGACTTTAAGAGTTGTTGTTGAAATTTTACACTTTGTACTTGGAAAATGTTCTTAACACAGTTTAGGTGTGATAGGTGGGTTTTTTTAGGTAAATATCCTTAACGGATATTTAAACAAAAATTAAATTTTATTTGAACTATAAAACCTGTAATTAACGTAAATAATATATGTTATAAAAGTTCATACTCATACCCCTAACATAGTGAAAACAATAATTATTATCTATGACCGTGATTGGATTTCTTTCAACCATAAACTAAATAAATATGTTCTAAATATATAATATATAAACAAAATGCAGCCGCAAATCTAAAGAAAACATTGCTACATTTTGCACCTAAACAGAATAAACAAGTTATCTAAATATTACACAATATATTCGAATTTCGCAGGATTAGATATACAAATTTATAAGAAATTGCAGCCAGACAAAATACGCATGTGTTTATTTTTTACCCATCCAGTGCAGCTTGCAACAATCTCTCAAATTAATAGTGCTGCCCACTCGAAATAAAATTGATTTATCTGTGGGATGCCAGCGGAGGCACACACAGATTTCAAATATCCGAAATAAAGGGTGAGAGCTCGATCGCGATATATATGAGCAATTTAACTCATCTTGACATTGTGGCATTGAGGTGGCGCAAATTTTTTTTTAATCAGATGAGGTCTTGTGGCCTCTCTGTGGACTTGTGGCCAAAATGTTTTCAATATCATAAATTTTTAAAAATATCAACTGTTTGTGAGTGTGTTCTTGCGTGTGTGTGTGTGTGTGCGTGTGTGTGTGTGGGCTGGCCGGGTCCGTTGAATTTGAATGTGTGCCAACAAGTTGGGCGTAGCGCCGTCTCCCGATTTTCGACGTCCGACGTTCGACGACAACTCGACAGTTGCAATTTGTGCGTCGCGGCTCGAACAACGCGTGGCCAGAAATTCTTCTTATTTCCCACTTTATTTGGGCCTATTTTAATTTTTTTTTTTTTTTTTTTTTTTTTGGTTTTCACTTACTCTGCAATCTACTGACACATTTTTTCGACGCAATTTACGGGCACGATTAATTGACAAGTTGTTAAACATATCTATTAAATGCCAGCAACCTTTAAATAGCCCGTGTGCACCGCGTAAAAATTATCAATTAAAATCAATTAACAAGCAGCGGCGGGAAAATAAAATAAAATCAAATTTAAATACAAATACAAATAACAGCGATGCCGGGAAGAAAAAAAGTAAACAACGAAGGTAGCGCAACGCAAGTTGGGGGCGTGGCAGTGGGACAGGGCGGGTGCATAATTAAAAATTAATTAACCACACTGACAACGGCAAACAGTTGCAGTAAAATTAAAAGCACATATACATACACGTACAGAAATTGTTAAATGTGGTTTTGTTTTCACAAATGTGACTTATTCTACAAAAAAAAAAAATATGTATATACATATTATAATTATTCTAAAAATATATGTATTGATACATTTTCAAACGTTTGATGTGTTTTGTGATATTTCCTTGAAAGTATTGTAATACCAAAACAGTCTGCAGTTTTCAAAATTTGTTTTCTATGTGCTTATAGTGTATGCACCTGGCAATTAAAGTTGATCCCGAATTCACCCACCGAGTAATGCACTATAATCGAAGCCCATCAAGATGTATAAAAATTCCTGAAATGCGGCAACCACCCGACAAAACAACACAAATCTATTTTGGATATTCTGTGTTCAGTATTCGCCAGTCTCCGATTTTTTCAACAGGCTATATTTTTTTATTTTTTTGGTGCTGATGAAAAGGAAATCGGAGAGTGAGCCACTGTGCCTTGGTGGTTGGTGGGTCTACGGGCTGGTGCGATGCCACATTGTTGTGTTTTGTTTTATTTATAACGAAGCGCAATGTGTGCGCGGCGATATTCAAAAGAGTCGCCGCCTATAAATAAGTCGGATATGAATGAATCCGATATGCAGGCGTTGAGAGAAGCCAGACGTATGGAAATTGACTTTCCACAGACGCACACGAGTCGGTCATGAATCATTATCTCTGATCAGTTAGGAGCTCGAAACAATGGGCAGTGATATATCACAGGATTGCCGGTAACCACTTTGCATCCGCAACCTTTATTTGTTAACCAACCGAAGATATTCCATTAACTAAATTGGTGTTTAAGTAATCGAATTCAGCTTCGTACAAGAGCTTTGCCAACCTTTAAATGTTGAAAACGATGCATTTAATGCTTATCAAGAAAGGAAGCTAAAATCGGTTTATGACAAGTTCATATTCCCATTTAGTTATAACCGAAATATACTTATCAATACATCGATCTACTATACCAATGAAAATTTAGAAGTTCAATTATGATCAACTTTAATAAAAAGTTGGTTTGTTCTTATATTTATATAGTCATCTAATTTTGACAAAATTGAAACTGATATGATTTGCATACATTATTTTAAATGACAAGAAAGCTTCAAAAGTTGTAGTTTAAAAGATATTTTAGTTGAGAAAGATATTGCACAAAATTGGCAACAATCCAGTACGTATAATATGGAATGAGTTAATTTACATGTATATTGAATGCAATCTTAATGCTAAAAGTAGAATTTGGCAACGTTTCACAGTAAACGCTGAAATCGAATGGGAAATTTAGTGAAGCTAATATTGTCGGAGCATTTCCAATGACAATATATAACAAATAAACAGAAACAAGTAATTATCTTTTATTGACATTAGTTTCATATTTTCCTGGAGAAAATCTTTAAAATATTTTAGTGCATTTTCTTATTTTTCAATGAATTTAAGATATATATCTTTTTTTAATAGTTAAGTAAATTATATGAACCGTTTGTATTACTACAAATAAGGCAATGCATTTTATATTTTAGACATTTTTGAATGTCCGTAAAGAAAAGGTAAGTATCAATGTCATTTAAAAAGACGGACCTCATCGGTTATACTTTAAATTAAACAAGTTAAAATAAAATTCGATTCTTATAAAAATAATAATAGAATACAATTTAAAAATTATCTTTCTCTTACTAGTTTTAATCAATTTTTGAAAAATACTTTCTTTAAAGGAAAAGGTTTTCTAGTAAATAATTTAGAGTTCCCGAGGGAAACTAAAGAAATTACTTTGCAAAATGGCAACCAAATGGTACAACACCCATTGCCACTGTCAAACACTATGATTACAATATTGATGCCCAATAAGCCTGGCAAATGATGAAAATTGGCAAAACATGCTATGGCCATGGTGCATTTCCATTTAAGCCAGATCGATGGAGACAACTCGATGTGTGGACGCTGTGCATTCGAGCACCTGTTGCGGTCAGCTGAGTGGCATTTAATTGCCAGCTGTTGTCAATGGTCAGGAGTGGGTGTTAAATAGGGGGGATGGGCGAAATGGGGGGATGGGGCGGGCAACCAGTGAGTGGGCCATGGGGCGTGACAGTGGGCCGAACCGGTGATTAATGAGCGAGAGCAGGGGACAGCAATTAGAATACAATTAGCAACGGACGCCGCCACTAATGAGTGCTCTCATCTCTTCTGCTTGTGCTGCCCCCCAGAATCACCACAAAAACAGCAACAGAACCAGACAGCAGCAGCAGCAGCAGCAGCAGCAGCAAAGGGGTCAGCAGTCGAGGGATAAGCAGGATGGTCAAAACGAGCACAGGGACATCAGTCCGTCGCCGGATGAGGAGAAGGCGAAGGAGAAGCTGCCGTACCGCATCGCCCAGTCGGATGTGTATGGACGATATCTGGTGGCCAGTCGTCAGCTGGAGGCAGGTGAAATGCTGATCCGCGAGGAGCCTTTGGCCATTGGGCCCTGTGTGAGCGGAGATCCCGTCTGCCTGGGATGCTATCAGCCGGTGTCCTTGAAGCGCGACCAGTATCGTTGCCCTGGCTGCGCCTGGCCACTCTGCGGCACCAGCTGTGTGGGCCTCAAACATCGGCATGGTCACACTGAAACGGAGTGCCAACTGTACGCGGAACGCAGGGCGGTCGCCGGCGAACTGCTGACGGATCGCGCCGGTCCGGCGGAAGTGCGCGACCTCTACGAACTGGTGATGATCGTGCGCATCCTTCTGCTGCGCCAGCACGATCCGGAGCAGTTCCAGCTGATCGCCCGCATGGAGTCGCACACGGAGGAGCGGCGTCTCAACCAGGTCCTCTGGCATCACTACGAGGAGAAGGTGGTGCAGCGATTGCGTTCGACCTGGCAACTGAGGGACTTTGAGCCGGAACAAGTGCACGAAATATGCGGCATCCTGGACGTTAACTGCTTCGAGATCGGCCAGAACGGAGCCAAGGCGCGGACGCTATATCCGAGCGCCTTCCTGCTCGCGCACGACTGCACCCCCAACACGGCGCACACGGACGACCCGGTGTCCTTTGAGATCCTGCTGCGCACCTCGCGGCGCGTGCGCGAGCGGGAAGCGCTTACGCTCAGCTATGCGTACACGCTGCAGGGCACGCTCAAGCGGCGCGCCTTCATGCACGAGGGCAAGCTCTTCTGGTGCGGCTGCCGGCGCTGCGCCGATCCCCGCGAACTGGGCACCGACTGCAGCGCCCTGGTGTGCGCCACCTGCCGGACGGGATCGGTGCGGGCGCAGGATCCACTGGAGCAGACCGCCGACTGGGCGTAAGTATACTGAGATGATTGGGGCAGTTAAACTTACAAAACATTACATTATTCCAAAATGGATAGCCATGTACCTATTAAAAAAAAATACATAAATATATATATTAAATTTTTTACTCAAAGGGCGCTAATAAATGTTGGATGTTTTTTTTTTTGTGGTTTTGATAGAAAAACCAAAATTTATTTCGATTTTTTCAGACTTTTGGCAATTAAAAAAATATATATAATACCGCCTCAACATCTTAGCCCATAAAAACAGCAACCTTTTTAGTTTGCTTTTTAGATAGGTAAAGTACTATATTGTAGATTCATTGCCCAACCAACACTAGCAATAGGATGGCTAATATGTTAAAAAAAAAAAAACCGAGTAAAACAATGTTAATGCTGACCCTTATTTCACCCTTTCATATTAGCTGCGATCGCTGCTCCCACAAAATAGGAGCCAAGGACCTGGAGCGCCAGCTGGATCGCATCAATGACGACCTGGAGGCCATCGATGTGCACGACATTCCCGGGCTGGAGAACTTTCTCCTACGGTGTGTACCTCGACAATTCGCTCAAATTCGTTGGACAAAAATAAAAGAAACTCCACTCACATCTTGACATGCTTTAACTAATTTGAAGAATCATTTTAGCCCGATTCGGTCGCTCAAACTCAAAATGGACACACAAAAAAGTGCTACCAGCTACTACTACTACTACTACTACTACTACTATTTTGCAAAAGAAGACATTCTTGACCAAGTGCTATTTATATATTTAATTTTCATTCATTTTTAATAATCATTTAATATCCTCATATCGTTATGGATATGAACAAAATTATGATCTGAAATTAATATGTTCTTTTGGTTTCTTTGCCTCGTGATTACCAATCAATCAACCTCCTGCAGATATCGGGATGTCCTGCGACCGAATCACTACCTCCTGCTGTCGGCCAAGTACTCGTTGTGCCAGATCTACGGCAGGATAGAGGGATACTTGCTGCCGCAGATGTCGCCGGAGGATATTGCTCGCAAGGAGACGTACTGCCGCGAGTTTCTCGAGATCATAGACGTACTGGATCCGGGACTAACACGGTTGAGAGGTGAGTTATTCAGGCTTTTGTGTAGCAAGAAATGTCTTAAACAGTTTTCATTTTCCCCATGGCAGGACTCATCATGTACGAGCTGCATGCCCCTGTCATGGTCCTGGCCCAGTCGGCCATCCAGAGCGGACAGATCTCACGGCAAGAGTTCCAGCGTCGACTCAAGGAGGTGGTCAAGCTGCTCCAGGTCAGCCGGGATATATTGTGCCTGGAACCGGAAGGATCCACGGAAAACGCCATGGGACTCGCAGCAGCCGATGCCCTCGTTAAAATGGGCTGCTAACTGAAACTATTTGTAATCTAACTGCGTTCACCCCTAAGTAAAATGTATCTCAAAATGCAAATAGCAAATACTCAATATTTATTGATTTCTATTTTCGAAGTTTTATTTACTTATTATTTATTTTATTCTACAAAAAATATGACTGCTTGACAATAAGACTTTTGAATATACAAAATTCAGGTTACAAACGCCTTCATAAGAATACTAGGGCATTTAAGGGTTTTAAAAAACTCCATCATCAAATATTTTAGTTATTTCTGCTATCAAAGGCCAAAAGTAATTTTATAAATCTTATTTTTGGCATTTGTTGTTAAAGAAAGAACAAGGATTTACCTTAATTAACTAGTAAAGTTAATTACATTACATCTTTCAGTAAGTACTAATGTAAAATGGTTTTACAAGATAATCTTTCTGGCTCTTAAGCTTAACTTATAATATATTTTCTTCATATTGATTGCAAGCTTATGTTGAAGATTTAATCTTAGTTTTTTTTTTTTTAAATGTACTTCCAGTGCTGTGAAGCAGAGTTATCCCTCTCACAGCAAAGCTGTCTCGTCATTATTGATTCCAAACTTCAACTTCATTCAAAAGTTATTCAGTGCTCTTTCCCTTTTTCTCTCTCGCCGTTTTCACCATCTTTTCTTCCGTCCTGGCAATTTTTTGTCGAAGAATGTCAATAAGCGAAAACTCCAAGTGCTCCGACAACTCAACAGTTTTGAGTTTTTAGCCCAGAAGTCAGCGCCGCCTAATTGTGCGCTTCGGAAAAACTGGAAAAGTCCGCAAGGGCGAAACAAAGGAAAACTGAAATCCGCCATTGGGATGAGTTGTCATTGACTGGAGCTGAAGCTGAACCAGAAGTTTCGTATCCCAATGTTAATTAATGGACACATTTTTTTTTTACCATTCACTCGATTCACCAAAGGTCGCCATGGCGCTCAGTCATTAAAAATGTCAACTACTTTTGGCGGCTGCCTTGGAAAGTCGAAAGTGAAGTGGCCCAAAACATCTTATAGCTGGGCCCCGTATATAATCCATTGTGTTGGGGTAGAAAAGCTGCCCTAGGCAAAAACACTATTATGAATGCATTGAATTTTTATAATCATCCGCAATGTGGCCACATGCAGATAAAGTAGATACGCCCACATCCACACCCAGCTGCACTTTTCACTGCCGACTGCAGGTATGACGACAAAGGGGCTGCGACACGCCCCACAAATCACCAGGCGTATGTATAAAGCTAGATGTGAGCACACAGTACATGCCATGTACATATATGGCATCGTCAAGGACATAAATGAAACAAAAACATCAAAGAAACCCTGCCACCATGAAGCCAAGATACCCTTTGAAGTTTGCCTTCTTTGGTGCAACTCAATGAGTGGTTCGCAATCTTCAAGATATCATAATTTAAAAACTAAAAGGGAAGGGGAAAAAAACAAAATTAGTTACCCCAAATAGGCAATGAAGTAAAATCAGGCTTTATGTTTATATACAGCCAGAGAAATATCATGGTAAATACAAATATTTTCACTTTTAAATGCAAATTTTCGGTACTGATTTAGCACCGAGGGGTTTTGCGTTTAAATCCTTTTTTATTTTTAATTACAGAAAAATTTTGTTTAAAATAAAAAACAAAGTTTAAGTCTACAATTTTCCTATTGGATAAACTAATTAAATATATTAATGACTACAGTATCATGTTTTTAATTGCTAATAAATAAGTTTATATTTACATGTTACATAAAAATATTATAATGCCTTATTTTACCATGTGGTTTTTCAATATAAAAGAAAAGATTTTGATTAATCGTTAAATTTTAATCTAACGTGTTATAAAGAACTTAAATTAATAGATACAAAATAGTTTTTGCTAGGATAAATATTTAGACATTACAGAAATATGTAATTCTAACTAAAATTAAACTTTTTTTAAACCAACAAATCAAAGAGTATTTATGTTGTTGGAACTCTTTACATAAGAAGTATTTTTTTCCTGAAATTCAAGTCTTAGTCTTTACCAATGAAATTTGATTATTTCTTATATTTCTAATAAGCAATTACTGTTAAGAACTCAATCTATTGTGCTTGGTATCAAACGCTATGTCACAATGCATTAACTCTTTCGAATAAACTGTTTCTTGCAAAAAGCGGCTAGAACTAAAAGCGTACGATAAATATAAATTGCATTGTGCAATAATCTTCAAAGTGCAACAAAGTAAAAAAAACAACAACAATGGCTGCAAGAAGGACGACAAGGCGCCACGCACACACACACACACACACACACACAAACACACAGGCACAGCTAAGACACACGAACACACACACACATGTATGGAGCACAATGAGATGTTGCAGCATAAAGCCACATATAAAATAAGACGATGGCTTGGGTGGAAGGTGGAAGGTGGAAGATATAGCCACACAAAGTAAACGAGACGGTGGGTGGTGGGTGGCTGAGGGGCTGGTCCAGGAGGGATTACCGGGGACCAGGCTCTGCTTCCGGATCTGGCTCTGGATCTGGGGTAATGTTTTGCCACAAAGCCAAGGACATTGACGTGGCAGCCAAAAAGGACACCAGCCGGGAGTCTCGAAAAAGAGCCACCCAAATAGATCGCAATTGCGTGTCATTTTCCATTTTCGATTTTCCATTTCCCTTCACTCTCATTACCGCTTGTTCACCTGTTATCCTAATTTTTTTTTAATTGCCTAAAAAATGTATATATATATTAAATATCATTATTTTTAAATGTTATTTAAATAAAAACAAGCTTTTTACAACATTCTCAAGAAATAACATAAGAATTAGCTTGTAGTAACACTTTAAGCAGCAAATATTAAATCTTGTCAAAATTTAAATAAATTTATTTCTATTCTAAGGTCAACACTTAAATTAACTTCAAGAAATTTAAAATAATTAATAAACATAAAATGGAAAAAATCTTGCCCACCAAATTGTATTGCATTTTAATTTGGAATCTAAACTTTCAAGTCAAAGCCCTGTAGTTCAAAAGAGATTTTATTACAAGAATAAAATGTTGGGACAAATAAATATATGAGATATAGCCAGATATTACAATTATGTATTGATTTATAGAGGAATATTTCTATAAGAAATACTATTTTTAATCGCAATTGGTACTATAAACCCCAGTGATGGGCGCCTCTGCCATGGACTGCAACATTATGGCAGCTAACGGTGAGCCGATGATGCCGAGTATCTTTTGTATTTACTGCAGCGCCACAGCAAGGATGCGGCAAGGATATGGCAGCCAGGACAAGGACAGACCGCAGAACAAGTGCACAAACGGGAGGAAGCGAAGAAAGCAGGGGAAGCTCGACACTGGCTATCAAAAGTGTTGCTTATTAAAATAAAATTTATTGCTTGTTTGCAGATAAAAATGAAGACAGTAGCACGAGCAGCAGCAGGAGCTGCAGCTGCATCTGCTCCGTAAAAGTGTTAAAACGATAAGCGGAAACAGGAAGCAGCGCTGCAGGATATTTCACCAAACCACCGCAACACCACCACACCACCACAGCACCACCCACTTTCCTGAAATCGCAGTTCGAGAAGGACAGCTCTTGAGACCCCGAAAAAACCTAATGAGGGAAACTGGGAGGAAAAACGGGCTTGGGCTGCAGCTACTTGGTCACGGCCTCTGAGCAACGGTAGAATATACAAAAATCCATCAACTTGGACCGACCCTTTCAAGGACCTGTCTAGACGAAGACCAAACGAGTGACAGTTTCGATTGGGCCGATTCCACTGTGAAAAAGTAAGTTATTGGCGAAATGAAACGCTAGCCGCCTGAATAACCAACAAAAACCTAAGTTGTAAACCAAAGTGGCGAGAATTAAATTAGTAATTGATTTTTTCTCAGGAATTTTAAAAATTAGTTCGCCAATTTGTTTTACACAGATTTCTATCTTTAACTGTAGAAGCTTTACACTTTCTTATTGCAATCTTTTTTTTAAACCCTTTCTTCTTGAAAAATATTTATATTTATTGATTTTATTTCAGAGACTATACAAATTATTCTCTTTGTACAAATCGCCTGTTTGTTTTACACTGATTTATATAATTATCTGCACAATTAAACTCTCTTGTTACTAACATTATTTATTTCACAAGCCCCTTTAGTTTGTAAAATATTTACATAAATTCAAGCTGAAAGCTAAGTGGCAAGAATTAATTTAAAAATATTTATTGATTTCACACAGGTTGTACCCCATCTTATAGCACTCTGTATGTTTTTTACGAACCCCATCCGTCTGGAAAGACAATAAATTAATAATCAATATTTCCAGATCAATACAATCTCAAGCCAGCAAATACAAACTTGTTCTTTCCCTAGGTGAGAAATAGCCTATAATTAAGGAAAGCCAACATATTCACATTTACTCGTACTTATATTTAGGGACAATATACTGAAATTATAACGATTTCAGAGCCATCTTTCTGCTCAGACCGCCACGTATTAGTGTATACGCTATCCTATATTTATAGCCTATATATTGAGATTACAAAAAGGTTTGTGAACAACAAGAGCCAACTATTCGCACAGTGTGGTAAAGGCGGAATTTTCCGTTGACCAGTTGACCGCAAATCGCTGTGTAATTTGATTTGCTGTTACGTCCTGTGGCTGCGGCCAATGTGCTAGTAGTTGTTGTAGACGAATTCGCTGAGGAGCGAGTTGTTGGGACCATCGCCTCCGGCGGAGCCCGCAGTGGATCCCGTGGAGCCGTCCTGTTTGTTGCGCAGCAGGCGGTGCCGGAAGTGCATGCTGCGCAGGCGCTGCATCCGCCGCTTCAGGTTGCAGTACACCGGACAGCAGTCGGGGAAGGGCTTGTACATCAGCTCCTCCTCGTCGCCCTGCTCACACTGGTCCGGCAGGATGTCCAGGCAGCTGGAGGAGATGGGGCGAGAACGGGAGACAGGGCATTAGTTCACATTCCCCTAAAAAGTCACTTTTTTCGCATTTTTGGGAAAGGGGTGCTCTCGGGATTGGGCTGTGTGCGTGCACATGCTTGGCTAATATACATATATGTATATATATAGATATAGAACTGCATTGGTCAACTACTCATTCGGCCTAGACAATTTTTCCACTACGAAAATAGACCTGGAGCGGGGCATTATGTGGTTGTTCTCGCAGAAGAGGTTCGAGCACAGGCTCAGCAGGACGAGGCGGCGGGGCAGGAACTTCGACTGCTCCCACATACAGCGGCGAAAGGTTCCTGCATGGATAAAAGGGAAATTAATATATCACAACAATAAATCAACCACATGGTAACAACTTACACTTATTAAATATTAAAACATATATATCCACTTAACAATTAAAAATATATAATTGATATTTCGCATTTATATGCTTTTCTACATCATTTTCATTAAAGGGATTTTGAAAAAACAAAACGCCATTTGTAAAACATAACATAAAACGTATTTAAATAACACAATATTAAAAAAAAACCTTCTGCCTTTGCTGTTTAATATTTGATGGTGTTCATATCATGTTTTTTGTTAATTAAAATCGAAACTGAGATCAAGCAACTCACATCTTGATTTGATGTCTTGATTTGTATTTTAGTACTTTAATAATTACAATAATTTTTGGCAACAAAAGTAGCATTTATGATTAATAAGTTAATTTTAAGGTTGGGCTGAGTAAAATAAAAAATTATGTGGTAATTAATAAGTTTAACTGAAAATTGATTTTTGGTATTGCCTATATGCAAGGCATTATTTTCAGTAATATTACATTTATTTTATTTATTAATTGATATATAGTTACTTTGTTATATGAATTTGGTCTTCACAAGAATATTTCTCGAGTTTAGAAATTTATTCTAAAAAAAAACCAAGCTTTTTGTCGTTATAAAGTAACCATAGAAAGCATTTACTTGAAAATAAAGTGTTAATCAGTAACCAATCCGTAGAACGTTTATTTCGTGGATTAATGGCAATGAGTTGAGCTTTTTTCTCAGTGCATTTAAAGAGGAAAATACGGGAAAACACTCACGCAGCACACTGTTGTCGTTCTCGCCGGAATCCTCCTGCGTGTTGTAGTTGCGCTGCAACTGGTAGTGCTTCATGTGGAACTGGCCGAAGCCAAGGACGCCGACGAGGGCCAGGCACAGCAGGACCCAGATCTTCTCCAGCTGGTACATCTCGGTGACTCGGCTGGCGGGTGCAAACTACGCGCTTAGCTCACACCATGCCACACAGACCGAGAAACAGGGGCATTATTTAGCGGGCATTACGTATACGCAACGTCTGACGCTATACTCACTCACCCTGGCCGACCGACCGACTGACTGAGTGTGTGTGTGTATGGGTAAGTTAAATTGGCGTTTGTGCCCCGGCACTTGATTAAATCAAGAATAAAATTGCAATGCAAATTTTGCGTTTTACTCAGGCCCATGTCCATGTTCGCCCATGATTAATGCCCCCGACCAATCCAATTCCATCCGAACCGTTTCAATCCAAGTGCTAGGCGACAGAGAAACAAGCCCAGATTGGACCCAAAACAGTCTGTCATAATAATCGTTTGTTTTCCAGCACACGCAAATAATGTCAAGTGCAAGTTTTGTGGGCCACTCGAATGGCACTAGCACATGGAAATGGCGATCTGTTTATTTTATAACCTGATTGTTTTGCAAACAGGCATTAAACGGCCAAGTGATCATTAAATCAGTGTGATACTTTCAAAAATATCATGTGAAAGCGGCAAGGACGTAGGTCATTGTATGGAAAATACTTTCTACCTTTATAGCCTTTTTGGAATTGTTTTGCTTGAGATACTCATCTGACCAAAATCATAACAGTAGTTGGATTATTTATTTTGAATTTTTGAGAATACATTCTGGTACAGATATTTTATTGGATGATTTATATCAACAGAACATACATTTACATTTGAAAAAACATTATACTCTTTCAAAGTGAAATTACAATTATTCAGCTGCAATATAACATTTAGCTAATTTAGACACTGTGTAGTTTACAGAGCATACAAAAATGTGAATTGTAATCTCGTTGCTCTGCATTTATGCCCAAACGTAAATCCGCAGTTGTAGATTTGTTTATCAAGAAGTCCATTGTTGACTTATTCCGAAGTTGACTGCCCTTTGATCCATATGAATAGGGTTCATTGGGGAATTTACTTGGACCAAACTCCCCACTGCAATCGCTAAATGCGAACACTTGTAACCCGTCTGTTTCTTGCACTTTGTCCTTTCGATTTCCTGCTGCTCCTCTTTGCCTCGGTTTTGTGGGGCGTGGTCTGTCAACTCATTAGCTGGGTCTTTATCCTCCTCTGCTCCTCTGGAGACATCGCCCTGCCAACAACCTTAAGTAGCTTAAAAGCTTTTTTCCGAGCTGTCCCATGCAAGCGAAATTTTACAAGCAAAAAGAAAAACTTCTACGATGCATTAGAAAATACGGTCTTAGTTTATTTCACGTTGGTTTTTTGTCACTTTTCAAGTAGAATGACTGAAAATATCATATAAACTGAAAGTAGCTTTTAACAAAAACTAAGGGGGGGCAATTAATTATTCAAGATCGTAAGTATTGATGGCGCCCAGTAATCTTTCAGCAAGTAAAGTTGTTTAATGCTTTTAAAAATTCGTTTGATTAAAAGTAAATCCAAATTTTTAACCGCCAAAAGTTTGAATGTCATTCATCGTTGAATTTGTATTAAAACTTCCAAGCGAATCGCATTCACAGCAAAAAATGTTTGATTTCTTGAAATTGTATGAAAAAAGCCTGATGTACACCCTTAAAAAAAGAAAAAATAAACATAAAACTTTAAAAAATATTGCCAATCGAACGCCTATATTCATAACTTTGTTATTTTGAACACATTTGCCTACATATTGCTCACTTGTTATTAAAGTTTAAAATATTTTTGATACTAAGACCAGTATGGATTTGGGTGGCTTGGCGGTAAGTTGCATGGTCAGCAGGAAGAGGCTTCTGTTGTTGGTTACCAACGATATTGAATAGTGGAAGACACTGAAATTGGTTGAACTGACAGTGGGAAATCTGTTGCGCTCACCTCGATTTGGGGCACATGTGCCTTCATCCCGGCCCGGAAATTATAGGTGGAACTGGGAATTGGGGACTGAGGACTGGAAACTGAGGACTGGAGTCTGGGGATTAGCCCAAAGTTGTCGGTGGCAGCTGCTTTCAGCAGTTGGCCTGCGGCTGGCAACCGGTAAATGGATAAATGGGGAGCCGCTGCTGGGAGAGCTGCATCTAACTGAACTGGAGGAGTGGCAGCCACAAACTGCAGCGAGATGGAAAGTAAAAGTTCAATCTTGGCCTCCTCGAATCGCTGCACGCTCCCCGAATACTCCAAAACTTTCGGCTCAGATCCGCTAGGAGAAAAAAACAGAAAAAACAGAAAAAAAGAAAACCAAAAACAGAGTGCAAGTAAACGCGGTAGAAGTGGAAAACAACATTTTTGAAAACTTCGACTGGCATTTGGAGAGAGACTCGCTGGGAAAACTCGCATTTACCCCCGGCTCACAGCTCCTTATCCCTTTGCTCTGGCCCCGATCTCGAAAGGAATAGGAGCGAAAACGCAGAAGCGGCAGAAGCGGCGAAGGAGGCACTTTATTTATACTCGGTCGTACACTCTCCAACTGTCTGAAAATCGTATAAATAATTTCTTGACTTCTTTTCTTTTGCCATTTTTGAAGCATGCACTAACGAAAATGATTACAAACTTTCCCAAATGACATCGTAAAAAGTTAAATAAGTTTTCAGCAGTGCTGCAGAGCAACGGCAACAACGGCAACAACGGCAACAACGGCAACAACGGCAACAACGGCAACAACGGCAGCAACAGCAAGTGGGCAAAACGACACGCTAAGTGCTAGAAAATTCCATGCGTAATTGCATTCTGAATATTTATTTGCCGGAGAGTTGCAACAGTTTCGAATTTCTTCGCATTATTCAAGGCTGACGTATGCGAGTTTACGGCATTTGTGGGGGATTCCCCATCGCGTCTGCCTTTCGTCAAACGGAAATCGCAGCTCACATCACGTATACGCGGTGGTGTACGGCAAAGCACTAGAATTAGCTGCGCACTGAAGTGCGCAGGTGAGCCCGCAATTCAAAAATCACCAGGGAAACGCTTTAATTTAATTTATTAGGACTTTTCTCTTGTACTTTATGGGCATACTCGCGGCGGTTTTGAAATTAATCATATTTCAGGTTTGTTCGCAAACTTTTGTTTTTTAATATCACGAATACGCCACGTTGAACATGCATGGGCCAAATTAAGTTGCGTATGGCTTGATGAAACCGCCAAAGAGACGACATTATTTAATATATATGTTAGAATAAAAGCTGCAGTTTGTTATTCATAATGGTAGTAACTTCTGAAAATGTAAATAATTAATCGCCTTTTTGATCCTTTTGATTTATTTTACCCTTATGCTAGTAAAATATTATTTTTTATGATTTTGTTGTGCTTAAATATAAATGCATAGAATTGAAACTTATACTTTAAATCCACTGGAATGCGATATGAAATGTGTTTCCTTTTCCTAGTTTTAAAACGAATTTTGTTTCAGTGCAGACATAATAACATTAACCCATTTTACAAAGATTATCAACTGGAATTTCGAAAAATTGTTGTTTAAATTTGATTAACGAACATTTAAGTTCTCATTTAGAATATTCAAATTAATAGCCCATTGCGAAAGTATTAAATATAACTTTAAACAGACAAAGAGCCGTAAGTTCCAAAGCGACAGTACACAAAGGCACCCAAGTGCCTTCCCGCAACCACGCCCACCGCAACAGCGCTGCCCACCCACGGGCCACCCACCAAAGCTGCAGAAACCTGCTGTGTTTTATATTTAGCGCAGGCAACAATTAAGTTTGTAAAAGTTAAAAGTTTTCCAGCGACAACATTGTCTGCGCCGACCTTTTGTTTGCACGTGGCTGTTATCCACTCGCTTCGCCTCCTTCCCTTGGCCTTCCCTTCCCGCTTCCATCCCGTTCCAGTCGCGTTCCGCTTGGCCAATTCCACTAAGCCACATTCCATCCCTGCTGTCAGAGTCCTTCAAAACACCTGTGGGGAAGGGGTCACCTGTTCGTGTTGTTGTGGAAGGCGTAAACTGTATTTTTATGACACTAAGCAAACAATTAACTCGAGCGGCTAAGCATTAGGAAAGTGACTCAAAATACACTGCAACCTAAAACATTTTTGTATTCAAAGAAAATAAAAACAATAAAGGAAGCAAACTTCGGCAAGCAGCTATTGCAAAAATTAAAAAAAAAATATTCCTGAAAACATTAAACATATACTTGCGTATATGTTAAAAAACATTAAAGCGATGACGATTTGAAGTTGAATTATTCGATAGTTCCTATTAAGTCAAAACGAATTTAAAAAAAAATTTTTTTTATGTTTATATTTTGTAGCTTGGGAAATCGGGATATTTCTCCTTGAGCTAGAACCGATATGCGAAATTCGGGAAATTACTGGATACAAAAATGGGAAATTCCCTTAATTTTGATCTCGGATCTGGAATCTACGATTTGTTAAGTATTAGCTGTTGGATGGCTTGACTGAGCGCCTTCAGCGTCGGTGCGTCCATCTCACGGATGAGGGACAAAGAGGCGTTCAGCAAATTTCTATTCAGCTTAAGACGCCTCTGCTGAGCTACAATGACTGCCAGGCTCGGATGGATGGAGCTGGGCACAAGATTTAAATTCTGGACGGGACCTTCGCTTTTGGCTAACATCGCTGGCATGGCACCGCTGACATCCTGGCGGACTTGCTCCTTCACCGGCTGCAGCTCCTTCGGCGGCTCCTTCTGCGGCTCCTTCTGCGGCTCCCTCTCCCGTCGCTCGCGACAGTTGTTCATCTTGGTGTCACAAGTAGAGGGCGCCGACACCGCCACCCGAGCTTTGCTGACTTTCTTCTGGACCGGATAGGCCTCGTGGCGGAGGGCGGCCTGCAACTCCAGCTCGCAGACTTCCACACCGTCCAGAATCTTCAGCTGCGGCAGCTTGCGCAGCACACAGGCCCTGTAGTTGCTTCCGGCTTCCACGGTGCAAGGATTGTCCTCCAAGCAAAGCAAGGTCAGGCATCGGGCGTTGGCCAGGAAGTTGAGCTCTTCAAAGCTGGCGATTTTATTCTTTCGGATGTATAGCTCTTTCAATCGATGGCAGTTCTGAAGGCTGCTTAGAGTATCAATATTGTTCGCGTTTAGAACCAGTACCTCCAGGTAAGGCATGTCCAGGCATATTTTGATGTCATCTAATTCGCTGTTCCAAACATTTAGCTTTACGGCATGACGGTAATCGTGGCACCTGGACTTGCCCTCCACGACGTGCTGCGTCAGTCGATTCATAATCTAGATCTGTAACACATATAATAAAATTTGAAAATAAATTTATGTCGGCGGTACAAAAAAAAAAAAAACCTACCTATTACGTCTAAACTTTGTTAAAAAAAATATAAAGAAAAAAAAAAAAGTTTCTTCAAAAATTTCGTACAAATCGGAATGAAAAAAGTTTCACAAAATAAAACAAACAATTTTTACGGAGACTCGGATGTGCTCGTTCTGAGTGTTTGAATGTTACTAAAGAATAGGGCTTCCGCTTTCCTACAAGTCGAATCCTAGTGCTGCAAAGCCTACTATTCAGTAAAAATTTGTTCATTTGTTAAGATTTGGGGTCCGATTCAGAACTACTTTGATTGTGTGATTAGTAACTCCTAAATTTCTTTACTTATTTTTATGACGAATTCAGTACTATACGATATTCCAACTTTTATCCAGGGGTATCATACAAAAACCATTTTTTAAAGTTGTTTTTTTTTTTTTGTTTCTTAGAGATTTGTCAAAAAAACGCAATTCGTAGGAGTCGTTTGGATGTAACTTGAAGAAATGAGTTCTTTATTTTACTTATTCCACAAAAACAATTAACTGCATTTATTTGAAAATCTTGTATCCGCATATCAAAATTATTAATGTTTCTGTATTTTAATGTAATTATATTTTTAGTTTTTAAGTTATTTTTGTTTTATTATAACAAATAAATAAAATTTTATTAAAAATGCAAACAGCGTTAAACGGTCTTCAACTAATAATAATTTAGTTTGCTACAACAGCAGTTGAAACCTTTTTTAATATTAATAAAATTAATTTTTTATGGGTACATAACTTTAGACAGTTATTAAATAAAATAATGTAGCAGTAGTTATTCTAGATGTTTAAGCAAGATGGAAATTTAAGGAGACTTTCTAGACCATTTTGTCCAGTGTAAAGGTAGCCAAGCAAGCATGGAGCATCCTCCAAAAGTGCGAACGGCTTGTGCCATCCGCCAAGACAATGGACAACAGATATCGCTGCTGCCCCGCCCATTTCCATATCCCCCTTCCCCTTTTCCTCGGACACGTTGGCAATCACATGAAACTATGAAGTCCGCTGCCAGCCCATTTTCTGCCACGCCCCCCCAAGGCCCAGTTGGTTACTTTATTTTTGGGGCCCGAGTCAATTAGAATGCTAATTTGTATGCAAATATTTGTGAATTGAATGAGGTTGGGACGCCTTGTGTTGTGTTGTGTTGTGTGTGAGTGGGGGGTAGCTCCAGCATTCAGTATTTTAGCATCCAGTATCTGTATCTGGGCCTTTGTGCCATGCCCTTTGTTTATTTGTTTGTTTGTCCTTTATTACGAAACCGGAAATCAACTAAAAGCCAACCGAAAAGGAAAGTGAAGGATATTGCCTGCAGCCAGGCGCCAATGAACACCTCTCACAGGATCACGAGTGGAGTGTGGAGTGTGGAGTGTGGCAAGTGGTCGCAGAACCATTCATCATGAGCTCCAGGTGATGTGAGATTTTAAAGCAATCAAACCTTATGACTGTCCGTCACTGGAGGGCACTATTTACATAGAATAATACAAGCTTTGGATGGTAGACTGCATTTACTTTCCAAATTATACAAAAAAACACCAGAGTGTTTACTTTTCGTTAGATGTAATTTCGCAGTTATAAGTTCATTTAAATTACAAAACATTAAATTATTTAAAAACGAAGTTGTCTTCATTGGCATTTTTAGGACCGTTTTTTTTACCTCCTTGAATTTGTCATAAAATGTTCAATCTATTGACATTCACAGATGAAAAATTAATTAGCGAAAATTAACTTAAAATTTAATTTTTTAGCTTAATACGCCAAATGATTTTAAATTTTTATGAGGAACTAAAAAAATGTACTAGAGTGTAACTGTTGACCAATTTTTCCAGGGGTTGTTGATAAAAAAACCAATACTAGATTTAATGATTTCAGACTATTAAAATATATTTTTCCACATTTTTTGTTGTAACTTGGACAAAGCAATACGCAAAGATAAAATATTTTACAGTCGGTTGAAAAGTTTCAATTCTCGGCCAATATTAGCAAAAATAATTTATTTCGCAATTTAAAATCAATTTATTGTCATCTTAAGCGTATTTGTATATTTATAATAAGGCTAAATCTCTTTATACCCATATATATTTCAACATCAAGGAAAGGGAAATCCAACCAAAACCCTGCAAATCAATTAGTTATTCAAATCGGTCTGAAAGGAACAAAACAGAACGTTTTGTGAATTTCTGAATTTCGGCATAAATCTTAGTCTGATGCCAACGAAATATATAAATGCACAGCCAACGTGCAGAGCTTTTAATTTTCACACTTTCGACAAAGACAAACGCACGCATTGTTTTTTGCAGTAACCCATATTTATTGAAGCATACAATTCTTAGTCACAGATAGTATTCAACAAAAAAAAAAAAAAATTCGAAGGAGAAAGTCTGGGGAAGATGGAGCTTGCTTCGCCACGTGGATGTCAGAAGTTGGGCTCCTTGCCGAAAAACGAGAAGGTCTCGTTGCACCGAATCTCGTAGCAGTCCGGAAAGGATGTGAAGTGCCTCGATAAGCGCAGATCGAATATGAATTCGCAGTACGGGTAACTGAAAGGCAAACACTGAACACTGAGTACTGAGCACTGAACACTGAACACTGAAGACAGAAGGCCAACAAACGAGCCATTTTCAATGGATGTGGTTTTTGGAATGGAATGTTCTGGGGTGGTGGTCACGTGATGCATGCTGCGGATGCAAGAAATCGCTGATAAAATATTTATTCCAATGGTGATGGTGATGGCAATGGTGATGGCAATGGTGATGGCAACTCCTCGCTGCAACAAGAGGCAGCCAAACGAATCGAAACAATGCTGCCAGGCTTTTTAATTGTTATGCAATTCAAATGCCACACATAGTATAGTGTATAGGAAACCCAAGTCCGAAAGGCAAGCCCCAAGCAAAAGCCAAACAAGTTTATTTTAAAATGCAATTCACACTACAAAATAACAGAGGCATGCATAAATTGCAAATTGCATGTGCTGGCTGCTGTCTGCTGTCTGCTGTCTGAGTATTTCAATGGCACAGAACGGATGGTGGATGGTGGATGGTGGATGGTGGATGGTGGATGGTGGTAATATGGTGCTATAGTCAATGGCTATAAATGGGTGTGGGTGAGTGATTGCATAACTTACATTGGCGGAAACCAGAGAAAGCAACGATATGTGCAGAGTATGCCAAAGGGTCGCTTAAATTCTCCATCTGGCGTTTGGATCGAGCCGGAATTGTGCTTCCTCCAGCATTGCGATGCCCAGCCTGCAAATGGGTAACAGTTATTGCTGAACTAGTTGGCTATGTCTGTTATGTCTATTATGTCTGTTATGTTTGTTATGTGTGAAAATGACTAATCTGTGAGCCAGAGTCTCTTGTTGCGTAAGGACTTCAACTGCCAATTAAGCCCAAACCATTTTCCATTCAATTGTCTGGCCGCACATTTCTCTAAGGCCGGTCAGTTTCGACTTAAAAGAAAAACTAAAAACTTTGGTTATCCGTGGCGGGGGTGCAACACTTTGATATGCTTTCAGTAGAATTGAAATCGGATTCTTTACTGAAGCTCGGCAGGATTTTTTCTGATTGACTACAGTAAATATTGGTGGGTGTGCAGAAAATACAATCAGATTTTAGAACATATTTTTTACAATTTATTTAAATAATATATATATGTCACTTTATAAAAAAAAATATATATATATATTTAAAACGAAAAACTCTGTAAATGGCGACAATTTATTAAAGGCATTTTATGATATTGTTTAACATTCCTTTTGAAAATATGTTTGGATATAAATGTATGTCAGGTACATTCTCCTTAACCACTGTGACTTCAAAAAAAAATTAAAAAAAAAACGTTGCACAACTAAATATTTAAATATGAATTGTATTTTTAATTATTAGCCATAACATTATTAGTTTTGAGGTTTATACGGCTAACAATAATTTTTTATATATTCATTTAATCAGTTTACGAATTTTGTATCTTGGAAAACAATCAGTTAACCACATGGCGGATACGCAACTCAATTTCTGTCGAACTGATGATGTCACATAGAATTTTCACCACAAACACCCACTCGAAAAAAACGTGATCAAAACAAAAAAAATTTTGGAAATGGGAGGAGATGATTGGGACTACATACTTCCATAGTTGTAATCACATAAACAGCAGAGGATTAACAGCAAAACAAATGCGATTGTTGTGGTGCTTCTGCGTGTGTGTATTGCAGTTATTGTCGCTGCCGTAGATTTTGTGGTTCTCGTTTCTGTTATCGATTTGGCCATTGCACAGCAATCGTACACACGCTCGCCGCCAAAATCGGATTCGAAAGCCGAGACTGAGGCTGAAGCCAAAACTGAATCTGAATCTGAATCTGAATCTGAACCTGAGCCTGCCATGTAGCGACGATTTGGGACGCCTTCGGATGCCTCGAGTGCGATGCGTGGATGTCTCGGCGCGGTTTTAACCGCCGCCAGCGATGGATGTCGCGAATGTGCCCAAAATCACCAGCGAAGCGAACGAATCGAAATGGGACGAGAAAAAAAAAAACACATGATACAAATAAACAAAACGCCAAAGAAATGCCACGAGTTTGAGCTTGTGTGCGCCTAAATTGATGCCAATTGATAAATTATCGCATGCGGTTGTGTGGGTGTGCGACCCCATCTGCCTCCATCTTCTTCTCCTGCTTTTCTAATATGATTACCACACGCAGAAAAATTATTACTTATCAAAGCAGATATAACAATATCTTACATAGAAAAAAATCGTGTACTGAATGATCCATTTCTCCTAAGAGATAATTTAAAATAATTGCAACATACAATTACGGAACTCAATTAACATCTATATGTCATATTGGGTTTTCTTCTTCTCTCTTACCTAGCAGTAAGTTTATATAGCTAAATGTAGCGATACCAGTGCATCATCCATAATGCCCCACGTTGGGCGCCATTATTATATGTTGAAGAATAATTTCACAAAGCGTACTTATTTTTATTGCTATTTTTTCTCAGTGTAAGCCCAGACCAAGAGGGAGAGTCAGTCACACTTTGCCATCCTCGTTTTCCGTTTTTCGTTTCGGTTTCGTTTTCGGTTTCCATTTCGGTTTCAGTTTCGGATCTCATGGGATGGTAGTTGTGGCTGTTGGCACCTTTTGTGTGGCAAATCAGTCAGCTATCGCTCAATTCAGGTGAAGGGGCTGGTTGGGAGGCAGGGTGGCTTGCCATGATTGCATATTCTCATGGAATGCAACATTTTTTGTGAATTTGCTAGGTCACTTCAACTCGGCATAATCAGTCAATCACTCAATGATCTAATCAATCACTCGAATCAAATGTCAAATATCTACATTTTTAAAACTAAATTGCGTTATGAATCGCATTTCCAGCTGCACACAACCAGGAATGATATATACCTATTTCAATGCATTAAAAATTAACAACATTTTAGTTTGCATGTTAATATGTTATCTATAATATGACTAAACATGTAGAAATCAGTTTATTGGCTCAAAAAGTGGAAAGAAATAGAATAAAGGTATTTAGAATTTGAAATATTTTGCAATATGCAATATTTGTATGTAATCTGCTTACATGGGCACTCCGTATTGCCTGTTTCTGTTTGCCCCAACAACAAATGGTTGCACAATTTAGTCATAATGCGCAATTAATTTGTTTATAACTATTTCAAAATAATCTAATTCCCAGCCCCCAGAAACTCACAAATTGCCGTAATTTGCCAATCAACATTGAAATAGAAGCCACCGCCAACGCACCGCAATGCAATAAAGCGCGCAAACTACGCATTACGCATTACGCACTACGCACAGTTCCCCAAGCTATCCGATATTTTCCCATTCTACTGGCGTATACCCCATATACCTATGTTTATATGTGCATATATATATATATATTTATATAGTAATACAGAACGACCACGACCCAAATCCCAGTTCCAAATAGAAGCAAATCGAGTCGAGCCGCGGAGATCGCTTGATCTTCTGCGTTCTGTGGTGTGCGGCTGCGTTGGCCTTCAGCGATCAATGCCATTTCGTTTGATTCCATTAAAGTGCGGCCCCATCTGAGTTTGAGCGTTTGAGTTCGAAATTGCCGACCCACTCTACGGAGCGTTCCGATGGCAGTTAGTTGGTCAGAAAGGGTTGGGGAACAGGGGCCCCGCTGGCGCAGGTGCGCCAGTTAACAGCTCCATTGACTACAGCCACATAATTTATCTTATTTTTAGCCAGCACCTGACATTCAGTCCCCATCTCCCAACTTTTTCGCTACCCCATGGTACACAAATTTTCAGGAAACGCTTTGGCATAACTTTGACTGGCTTATAAATGTCGAACGATTTATTTGCGGCTGTTTATCGGGGGAGGGAGGGGCAGGAGTTTAGCCGAGTTCGGGTTCGGGTTCAGGTACAGCCATTGCCATGGACTAACCAAGATTGGTTGACTACCCGCGAACGCTTCTCAGCCATCAAGTTGAGCGGATATATCGCTTTTAACCGGACAAAAGTGGGGCAAAAATAAAGGGGAAAGCGGTAAGCGGTGGGCGAAAAAATGACGTCGCTAACAAAGTGCTTCAAATTTGTTTACTACAAAAAGTGGATTGCTTTTCTGGCCAGCTTACAGGTATGTGGCCATGGCCAGGTAATTGGGCGTGGCCCACGCCCCCGCAACCGCCCAATACAGCAAGGGGGTGTGGTAAGTTTCGGCTGGCTTGGATGGGTCCATTGATAGCTTTTGTGGCTTTTCAACTTTGCCATCAAATGGAGTGCGAACAGAGCGCTGTTGACTCACCGACTTTGCGGTAACTTTAAGTGAGACAGACACCAGCCGTGAACTTTGGACTGAATGTGTATATTTTATGTGCTACCAGCATAACTTCATCTTAAGTCGACATGGAATTGGAATAGTTATTGGTCCACTGATTCATGGCAACTCAAGAAAACACAAGCAATGTCTACAAGACTGAGTTAAAAGGGTATAATCAAAGGTTATACAGTATAAACTTTTGGTATAATTAAGCAAAGTATCAAAACTTTAACTGGTTTTCTCTTATGCTTCTTTTAAGTCTTAATAAAAGGTTTATTCTGAAACTTGCGAAACACAAAGTTCAATAATAAAGTATTCAAAGCTGTTAGAACTTTTTAAAAAGTAAGCATTATTCAATTATAAATCCTTAAAGAATTTTCAGCTTGTTAAAATCTGCTAAGCAATTTGTTGTTCCTTGAATAATAAATGAGTATTTTTGTACAATTATGTTTATCAATATTTTATTGCATTATACTTTATTGGATTATCAATTATTATTAGCTTAAAGAAGATGAAACGCAAGTTTTCGTGTGTACGTCCCATAATTAAAATGAAACAATTTATATTCATAAATTAGGTGTTTAATTATACTTCCTCTCTCTCCACATGTCCATATAAAATCTAGTATTAATCAGACTTATGCTATCCAAAAAAAAAAAGGCTTAATTAGATACACTAGTTACTCGAAGTAATTCAAAAGCGTACACTGGACGCTGGTACAGTCGGGCAGTGACGTAAATAGCACACAGGATAACTTATAATCGTAGATGAACTCGCAAGTGGGGAAGCTGCAACAATATATTGTAAGCAAACGTGAAATTTCCGTAGGAATCGGAACAAAATAACAGGCGAGAGCAGGACTAACCTGACGGTGAAGAACCAGGTGCACTTAAAGTTGCACAATATGCCATAGGGCTTCTTCAGCTGCTCCTTTTTGTTGACCACGGTGTTCTGCAGATTGTAGCCATCGTAGCGGCGCCAGCAGTGGTTGATGTTGCCTGTAGAAAATCAAAAACTTATCACATAACATATAAACGACTATGGTTTCATTAAAGGACACAAAAAGCTAGCTTTAATATAGAGTACTAATTATAACTCAAAGTATTGGCAATCAGTTTTTACGGGATCATAGGTAAACACAAAACATACAATTTTAAATGCTGTTTTTGTTTTTTTTTTAGATTTTTCTTAATAGTCAACTATATGTTTGCATTTTTTTGCTCTTACTTTTAAGACTTTTTTTTTAAATTGTAAATGATCTCTGCTTTTAAAAAATAACATGTAATTTGTTCGAAAATTAAACTTCTTACAAAATGGAATAGCATAGCAAGTTCACTTTCAGTTTTTTAAAAACACTAATACTACTAAAAACACTTTCTAAGCTAAGATTAATTATTTTACTTTTTTTTGTTGATAGGTTAAAGTTTTCGTCTTAGTTAAATTCCTAATAAAATAGGAGCTTTTGTACATTTAGATTATTTACTTGGTACTATCGTTTTTTGTCTGCAGTTCGAGGTTCTAATTGAAGTCTTTTCTCGACACACTTTAGAGACAATTTTTCATGGACTTTAGATGAGTTTTCCTGATGTGAGATTGCATTTTTTTCACGTGTGTACTTACGGCGTATGTGGTGGCTGCCGCCGTGGTGATGAAAGTCGCGTCCCTCCAGCTGCCCCCCGTGCCCGTTGGTGGCCTCCACGCCCATGCCGCCCATGCCGCCTCTGCCTCCAAAGAGAAGGAGGTACCAGAGCACCAGCGAGCTGGCGATGAAGATGTAAGTCACTAATTTGGCCATTTCCGGGGCACACTATCCTTTCTATTCCTTCTTGGCCACTTTCCTTTTGCTATCTCCTCGATCTGCTCGGTATGTGTGAGTGTATATACGTGTGTGTGTGTGTTTAATGTGTGCGTGTGTGTGTGAATGTTCGTATCTGCGGATGTGCGGGTGTGCGGGTGTGCTATGGCTGTCGCTTTCGTTGCCGCTGCGAATGTCGCCCCTGCACTGAATACATTTTCTAAATAAAAATGCGAAATGTGAATTCGAGTGGTCGCTGGTCGCTGGCTGCTGGTCGCTGGCTGCTGGTCTCGCTAGTCTCGCAGTTCGGCGGTCCAACAAAGCACTGCCGATTTGCTCGATGGTCCGATTTGCTTTTGCCTTTGGCTTTGGCTTTGCCTTTGCTCCAGCTTCACAGCTCTCCAGTCCCCACTATGACATTTATTTTTGGATCTCTTCGGACATCGGCCGCACAAACTATTCAATTTGAGCGCCATTCCGCCATTCCGACATTTGCCTCCATTGCCTGCCTTCCTCTGTCTGTCACTCATTTCGCTAATTTAAATAATCAAATGCGAATTAGCTGCGGCCAAAGGGGGTGCCCACATGGCGACATGCCGAAATGCCCAAATGCCCAAATGTCCAAATACCCAAAAAAGGGGCTACGAACCCACCCATCCCACAATTTGTGACCACTTGTCCAAGTACCCATCCAACGCATGCAGTTGCGACTTTGGTGACCAGCGAGCAGACCGAACAAAGTGGGTGATTCGCGCTTTCGAGAAGACCTTGAGCTATCGATATTTAAGGTATTATCATTTCCATTTTCCAGGATAACAATCTGCTTCAAACATACAAAGCAGAGTTTTGCTAAAAATACTTACTAGCTTACGCTTATTTTGGTTTTATAAGAAAATTTAAAACATATTTAAACGTGTTTGATGGGTTCTGTGTCTTGGAATTACAAAAAAAATTTTGATTAAGAAGGCAAAATGGCAAAAAAAAACCGAAATTACAATTTATGATATACAACGCTTGTTAAAAATATGAAATTTTGAAAAATTGTATTTAATCTTAGAAATATGTTAATCTTTCATTAGATTAAAACGAATCACACATAAGAAAACTTTTATAAAAAATCTAAAGATTTAAATAAAGCTAATTTTATATATATTTTATATTTTATTTATTAAGTTTCCTTTTCTTCCAAAACATATTTATTATTAAGTGCACTTCTCGCAAGTAAAGACGTTTGTCGCTTTTCTATAAGCCAAAGCGCCTTATCATTTGTCTTTGTACCTTATTCGAATATCAGTTACCATTTTAAATTATATGTAATAGCATATGCATTGACATTGTCTTATTCATTACTTTATACATGGTGTACTGCCATTTCATATCACAGAGCTCAATAAATATTTAGAGCATTCAAACGACAAAGGAAATCTTTCTTCCGTTTCAATTACTTAGATGGTTTTCAGCTGCATTCACCTTTCTTGGGGCAATATCCCCTAGCCATTTTCCCCCTCGGTCCACCCATTGCACAATGAATGCTAGTCAAACCCGTTATAAATTAAAATTTTATTTAGCTGCAGTTGACAATTTATTTGCATTTCATTTGCCACAAAGGCGAACAGAAAAGGCACAGTATGCAGCAGTTAAGTTAGGTTCGAATTTTCATTACCCTTTCGTTTAGGTATAAAACCTCACAGTTTCTAAAAATGTATCAATATTTGATTTGAATTTTTCATACCCTTTTTAATAAGATGAGTTGAAGAAGTTGTTAATTGCATTTATATTTTATTTGATTCAATTAATCACATAATGTCAAAGGTTTTTTTTTTTCGAAAAACTACAACCCTCAGAAATTCGTTGTAAATACAATAATGACTTTAATGACTTTAAGATAATATTTTTGTTTAATTTTATGGCTTAATAAAAATTTAAAGTTTAATATCTTTTAAAATATTAATAATGATGTCCTTAGAAAAAAAGATAATAATTTCCAGTCTTAAAATGCATAGCTTTAAAAGTTTTGTGGCCGCTTAATTTAGTGCAAAATTTGAAAGAGGCCTGTTATGCTCAACCTGTTAAGAGGAAGCAGCGACAAAAAAGAAAGCGGCAAGGAAAGCCTTACATCATAAAGGGGAACACGAACAAGTGTCCACAGGGATTGGCGGCAGCCAAAGGAAGTGGGTGGTGGGCTGAGGGTGGTGTTTGGTGGGTGAAAAGGCGGTTCCTACAATGCGGTTATGGCACTGTGGTGTGTGGTGTGCGGTAGGTTAGTGGGTGGGTGGGTGGTTGGCTGGTTGCTGCATGCAGTGGGCCATCCATATGCCATGGAAAGTTGTAAGAAAATGCAATGAAACGAAATGAATGTCGCTGAATGAACGAATGAATGCATGCATAACTAACACGACACCAAATGAACGGAAAAGAAGGTCGAAGGGGAGTGGCAGTGGGAGTTCGCGGTGGGAAAACAGGAGTGGGAGCGACAAGTTACATGTTCCCATATCACCACATACTATATATCTGATATCCCTAGGTCGTCTGCCTGCTGTTTCTGTTTCTGACTGCCACCAAAATGGGAACTCCGATGGGGGCTGGCTGGTTGAATAGAACTGGCTGAACTGGCTGAATGAAGTGTTTGACAACACTTTAACTTGATTAAAAATTTAATAGCCAGCAGCATGGCAAACATTGTGCGAAGGAACCACTGTCGAAGAACTCGTCTCAATTGGATTTCACAAGTTGCCACAACATTTGTCTGCTCTTGTGTGCGGGTTAAGCTAACGAATGCATTTCATTAAGATTTGCCACTGAACTAGTTCCTTAAATGCGCAAATTGAGTGTGACCAATACATTCGTCGAATTTGTGATCCCCTTAATTGAAGAGTGCCGAAAAACGGCTTAATTTAAGTAAAAGATTTTATTTGGCTTTCTAACCAGCAGAGAATAAACCAAAAATGTTGACAAAGTGGCTAAGTAAAATTGCTTCTTTGGAACATCTGTCATAGGGAAATCTTTAATTAGAGCTAAACAATATTCAATTTATAAAAGAATATGCTAATTTTTAAGGTTTTCTGAAACTATAATGATAAAACAGAAAAATATTGTACGGTCAATATTATATAAAATATATAAAAAAAATTGTATTTTTAAAATTTCACTTAAACTAATAAGTTCTAAACAAATTTAACGAATGTTTAAGAAATATTAATCTTTGCTAAAACTTTACAAAGTATTTAAACAATATGGAAATTTTAATGTTTTCTGACACTATATTGATAGATATTGTACTTAAATCAGTTAAATCAGTTTAAAGCAGTCAAAAATAAAATATAAATTATTAAAAAAAAAGTAGGTTATTTTTTACGCTTCCCTTAAACGAATGAGTTCTAAATAAATTAAAAGAACTTTTGAACGAATTGTTCTTGCTAAAAAAAAATACAAAATAATTTACATTACATGAATGATTATTCTGTGGCATACTAAAATAGAATAGCTTGTATTTTGCCAGCCCTAGATTTACCGATTTGTGATACACTTCGCCTAGTTATCTCCGGATCCCATTTCGCCCCGTATCTGTCCCGCTTTTGCCATCAATTGTGCAAACATTCTAGAACAATTTGAGGCAGAGTAAAGTGCTGTAATGAAATGTGGCCGATAAACCGCCTGACCTCCGCCGATCTCGTCAGAATCGAGAATCAAGAATCAAGAGACGCGATGCCGTTCGGAGTGGCGTCTTCAATTAAATAGTAATACACAATAATCAACGGACCCGAAAACAAAAATACAAACGAACCCAATCGGTCGGTGACTCGACTGTTGAATACCCACTTAATGGTGGGTATTCCTAATGCTATATTTATTTTATAATAGTTTCATTAAATGTTCAAGGCATGCTCTTAGAATTTATCAAAGAAAGAGAATAATTGGGGATAGGGTATTTCGAGTACAAATAGACCTCATTGCAGGAAGGGCAATTATAATTCATATAATTTTATTTTTATTTAAAATGTAATCTTAAGCTTAAGGCCTACTGCTAAAATTTTATATACAAGATTTCAATTTGATTTAACTTATTTGGGAATCGTGCTCAAATAGACCATACTCCCCCAGTAATAGGTATGGCATAAAATCAATTGATATGAATCTTTCTTCGTCATTTCAGTGGAAACGGGACGGAGCTACGACTCACTCGGCAATCTCTATTGAGTATGTACTGTATGCGGAGTGGACAACAACGCAACAACGATCGGAGTCCGGGTCCAAGTCAGTCGAGTTTTGAACACGAACGCGGTCACAATGTCCACGGAGCGAAACTCAAGTCCGCTGATCCCATTGGTAATCGCAGGCACCCTGCTTTCGATTTTGTTCGGTCAGGTGAGCGGATATTCGGGCCTGATACCGCCGGATGCAGGTAAACGAATCCCCATCCATTTACCTACACTATATATACATATATACATGAATTTATTCAACATCCGGACCGAACAGCTAATCCGGGCAAATGTATTTACCGCGGAGACATCCTGGAGCTGGGCGTCAACAATAACAATGGCATTTCGCCCTGCCAGCAACTGACCTGCCACAAGGATGGCTCAATACTTATCGAGGGGTGAGTTCAGAAGTTTAGAGTGCCTTGACCCGGTCATTAAACCATTCTCAATGAAGTGTGAAAAAACTCATAGCAAAACATTCCTAACAAACAAATATGTTAAAGTACTGGTTTTCTGCATCAAAAAAGAGAAGATAAAATCGCATAAATTTTTTCGCAGCAATGTAAAAATTACTTGCAAATGACTATAACTAGTCAACAATCTTTTTGAATTAATAAATCCATGCATAAATGCATTTATTATATAAAGATCACCTTTTAATATCAGCTATTATTTCAAAATAATTGAAACCTTTTTATAGTGACGTTGGCATGGTATTCGAAGATGGAAATCAAAAATACGTTTTTCTTAGGTTTTTTGCTGGAAAACTAATCATTTTAAAAAGTTAAACATTACAACTATCAATAAATAGAAATTCAGAAATGCTTAATATAAGATTAAGATATATTGTTCCGTTTTGCAGATTTCTAATATACATATTTACATGTTTAGCTTAGGAAAACCTAGAAAATCGAATGGATAGACAATATTATTTTTAAACTAAAATTTATAAAGTAACCAAATGGTAAAGTTTGCTTAACAAAATGCAATATTTTTACATCTCCGTAGCTAATTTTCCTAGCTTGCTATCATAAAAAAACCAAAAGTTGCATATGTAAGCTCAGCAGCTGGGGCAACCCAAACACTTTACCCTGAAATATGCATTTTTTTTCTAATTTTTCCCGAATTAAACAGTTTTTGTTAGTTGTATTTCATGGCACTGAATCACTGATAAGACGAACGAACTAACGCACATCCAACGAAACGCCGAAGATGACGCGTTGTCAACCATTTGCCACTGCAACTGTGACTTGCCGCCAAGTTTCTAGTTTTACTTTCGAGTTCGCCAAGTAGCGCAGAAGATGAGACCGTAATTTCTAGGTCAAGCTAAAGAGCTGAGAGCTAAATGAATTTCGAGGGGGTGTCCCCGCCTCTGACATCCTTTCGTTTGCGGCTTTTCATTCGTGGGGAGAGGGGAGAGGTGGGTTGACTAAAAACTAAATTGAGGGAAACTAAAAGTTTTGCCCCAGATCTGGGATGGAATTTGCTCTTCAGGTCTTAAGTGTTTTTTCGGTAGCATATTTTCGCTATGACAAAGTTTTTAAGGCAACGAATTCCTTTGTTCAAAGTCAGTTGCAATCTTCGAAACTCAAAGGCTTTATTTCTCTTAATGTGGCACGTTTCCCATAGTCATAATCAGATGGATAACTTTAGTGTGTTCTCAACGTTTGGTCGGTTAAATCTTTATTTTCCTAATAAAAGGAAACATTAAAAACATTAATCATTAAAAAGAAATGAACATAAACCCAGTAAGACGATGAACAAACTGATGAGCAACTTAAATTTTCATTAAAATTAACATTTATTTCTTGTGCAGCTTTCTTTAAACATTAATTTTCATTTTATATATGAAAGAAAGGGCTTTCCTAAGCCATGAACTACCTACTTCCAGTCCTTCTATAAAACATTAAGTATAAAAACAAAGCAAACTACATAATTACAAAGCTAAAAACTTTCGTGATTCACGATAAAATTAAGCCGATTTTTTAGCTGACTTGACTGATTTTTCTTTCCTAAAAATAAACTGTCAACAAAACCTCTGCGTCTGCAAAAAAGTAATCATATATAATTAATTATATGTAAAGATTTATTTTATAAAGCATATATGATTGATATGTTTATGTTGAATTATATATAATATATTTTAATTAATTGACGTTTAATTAAGAATTGGTAGAATTTACTTCACTGCCATTGGTAATATGTAAAATTTAAGAGTGGCTTATTCTGATTAAGCCCTAAATCAGCCATATAACTATTTTAATGTTATTACGAAAAACGTTATAAAAAATATTCAATTTTTCTCCTGTTTTTATCCCTATATTAAAATTTAAATTTTCCTTGTTTTCTTTTTTAATTGCATTTTGATTTTGTTTGCTGAGTACATACATTCATCCCCTTAATCAGCTGGGCTTATGTGGACCTAATTTGCTTGTTGGTTGACTAGTAAATTAAAACAAGAAAAAAAGCAACCTTTATTCTTGATTAATTGGAATATTTAAATGATTTTTCATATTCCTTGCAGATGTGGTAAGCTGCGGATCGAGAACTGCAATCGCGGAGAACGCATATCCCCGGGCGAACCCTTTCCGGAGTGCTGCAAATTGAGATACAAGTGCAAGGAGATCGGGGTGGCGCCCTACTACATCGAGCGGAATGCGGCGGAGAAGGTCTAGGACTTACCCGGAATTAGCCACCGGAATGGACCCACCAAAGCCAAGGACGCCTTTAATCTCTCCTAGATGCAACCTAGAACGCATACATATGTATAATCATTAATTTGCTAATTTATTTGTTAACGAGTATTTCTCAATAGGCATTTGATTTGATTTTTTTTTTTTAAATTGGTGTTTTTTTGTGGGTGGCTTTCACGTATGCCTTTTAGCCAACTCGCTACTTGGCGCCGTTAGTGAAACTGTTCTGCGCCGGGCCAAAAGAAATTGTTTAATTACTGGGCCAACCCGCTCATAAACAGCAATTAAGGCGAAACACGCCCCTTAAGTGGTCCTCAAGTGGCAGCAATACCCGTAGCAGCAGCACTACACCGACAAAAATGCTACGAATATGTCAACGGTGTATCGGTTTTTTTTGAGTTCCCCAATTCATGATTTGGAATAGAGTAATTTAGAAAATATCTTTTTTATATTCTCACATTGTTATAATGCTTAGAAATTTTTGTAGGTCGCATGTTCCTTATCTTTATCTATTTAAGACAACTAATTTTTGTTTAACTGTAAATAGTTTAGCGCAGTCTCGGTGTGCCTTTTGAATATTAAAGTACCACGGATATTGATTGAATACTATTAGCTAGATTTGTTTAAGCAGACAGGTAATATTACACGAACAATTGTATTTATTATTTTTGTCGATATTCTCTATTTGCTAAAATGTTCTTAAATAGAAATTTAGATTTATATTTATAACAACTCTTTGACAATTTTTGATGACAGTTTATAATAAATATATATATATGATATAGCTTAAGTATTTTGCAAATTCTTTGCAAAACTACTTATCTTTTTGTTTTTTTTTTTCTAAAGAATCTATTTGATGTTAAGACAAATTTTCTTGCAGTGTAGCAACTGTTGCAGCAGAGGAGCAACAGTAAAACGCAGTTGCAGTTGTAAAAAGAAAGCGCCACCTTTTGTCGCGAAACGTTAATTAGTGCGAAATAATGAAGGAGCAAATGGCGGTGCAAGCTGTGTATGTGTGTGTGTGTGAGAGAGAAAGTACAAGCGAATGTCCTGACAACCACACATACGTAGATGCATACATGTAACTTCCCTCGAAAGCAATCAAGGTGAGCAAATTACTCAATTAGTTCGAAAGCTTCTAATGACCTCCTTGCTAGACAATTGATTAGAGCGAGGAGGTCTTAGTGCATGCCATCTCTTTTTATGCCCACTTTCTGTGGTGACCTAATTGAAATGTTCAACATTTCCATTTCTTGATAATTGCGACTTGAGGTTGAGCAATTTCTACTATTTACGTGACTCATATTTAACAAAGATTTTATCTGAATTAAATAAAAAAACTAAAACAAAACTTTTAGCCTGCGAATTTTAAAATCGGGAACCTTCTTTGAACAAACTATACCTTGTTCACTAAATATATGTACCTCAATTACAAATTAGTGAAATTAAACTATACAAAAATAATATTTCAGCCTGGCAATTCTAAGATCAAAACTAACTTACTTGATTAACTAAAACTGATAATAAGCCTTCTTGCAAATTTGAACAAAAATAGTATAAGATAAATGATTGTTTCGTTGTTTTTAACTTTAGTTCTGTACGAGTATCCCTATTAATAGACTATTATTATTTGTTGCCTATTTTGTTCCTTTTGCTCTAATTTTTACTAACAATGTGCTAAAAATATTTTCATTTTTCGGTACTAGTACATTAAATAATAATTTATATTTGCTTGGATGCTAGGATGTCAAATAAATAAAAAATAATACTTACTATTGATCTCTCAATACCCAACTTTTAAGAATATCAATTTTAAATTTCCCGAATCGCGGAAACTGCTAGAGAAATAATATATAAAGCATTCCCAGCAAGTGAGTGAAACGCATTGTTAAAATACTTGGAAATACTTTTGGGCGTTGGATTCCCTCAAGAAAAATCGGAAAGCAATTGCAACACATCCTGATGGCCCTCAAAGTTGCCCTCTTTTATTATTATTTTCGAACTGCTTGTGCGAGGGAATTTCTGGCGCGGTTGCCTCTCAATTTATTTCTGGCTCGTACTAGTTGACTCTTTTAATAACCAATTTGGCACAAAGTCGGTGGCAACTTGAGGGATATTAGCGTTGCCCGGGCCGGAGTTCGCAGTTCATACTCCGTGGTCCGTATTCCATATTCCGTAGTCCACAGTACGGAGCTGGGAGGAGTAAGAAGCAAGGGGCTTGAGCAAACTTTTCCCAGGTAGTTGTGGGTATCGGGAAATGGGAAAAAGGGGAAACGGGGAAAACGGGGAAATCGGGGGAAACAGGGAAAACGGGTCCAACTTAATGGAAAACGCACACGCTCACACATCCAAACATCCAAGCATCCGAGTAGATGGCTGACGAGGGAGAAGTGCGGCTTAGGTCTTGTATTATGAAAAGCTCATCTAATTTCAATCAATTGGGCTAGTCGAAGGGGGGCGGGCGAAATTTTAAATGGTGAGCTGGTGAGCTGGTAAGCTAAACTTTCAAGGTGTATGAAGCAAATCAAATGAAATCAAATCAAATCAAATCGAAACGAATCGAATCAAAATGAAGTTTAAAGCGACCCATTAAAGGTAAACATTTTTGACAAATATGAAGCTGACTCACATGCACCATCAACTGGCAAAAGCCGGGCCAAATCAGGACCTCCTGTTTCTCCCGAAAGAATCCTGCACTTGTCATAAAGCCGGAGCCAGCGAACCACTTAATCATATCAGCACAATAAGTCAACGGGGCGACGCTCCCGGGGGCCATAAAATTAAATCCTTGCCGCGCTCTAAAGCTCAAAGAGCACCTTGCAGCACAAAAAAAAAAAAAACGTTAAAAAAAGGTAAAAAAAAAAGGTAAAGGAAATAAAGCACAAAAAAAAATCTGCCATAATAATAAGCGAAATCAATGGCAAGTCACCTTGAAGCCAGTTCCCGCTTCACTGCGGGGAAATTTCCGGGGAGTGGGTGAAAGTTAAGGCACGCAAAAGGCAGTTACTGGAAAAAATAAACCAAGGAACCAACCTTTGTTGGCAAATAAAGCAGGCATTCAAACCAAATTCGCGGCCCCTCAAATGCTCTATAAAATAGAAGAAAAACAAAGGAAATACTAAAAAAAAATTGCTATTTTTAACAAAACTTTATGTTATTTATATACAAGTAAAGGTATCTTACCAAACACTACAACATTTTCAATACCCATTTAATATTTAATACCTTTCAGCAATGTAAATGCATGTTACCTACATTTTAAATTATAAAATAAAACTAATTAAATAAATATTTTATTAACTTGTTGTATTTAATAAGTTTTTTTTTCAAATAAAATGGGTTTGGCTATACATTTTTTCATTTAGTATTTAGTAAAAATAGTACGAAAACATTTTTAGTCAATTGCTTGTAATAGTTTTAAAAGAAATCAATTTCTTTGAACTTTTAACAGGTAGGTAACATTTTTAAAACAAAGACACTTGTGATTGAGATACAAATTTTTAAAAAATCATGTAACTTAGAGATAGGGTATTGGAAAAGGTAAAGCTGCTTATTCGCATATTAAAAATGGTTTATTTATGTTCCGTTCTTCGTGGGTTAACGAGAGCCTGGCAAGGTAATCGATTTATGTGCTGCTATTTACAATTTTTGATTTATCCACCGCATTTTGCTTTTCTGAGCTCAGGCTTTTGTGTAATGCGATGCGGGGGAGGAAAAGTTTGTCAAAACATTTGACAAATCTGCATGTTTGTAAATGCGTGGTTGCGGGTGTGGGTGTGGGTGTGCGTGTGGGTGTGTGTGTGTGTGTGCGTGTACATGTGGTAGGCACTGTGTGCGTGCGTGTGTTCAAGAAAGAAAGTTTGTCAGGTGGTTTAATTTTTTTTTATATTATATTTCGCTTTGGGGGTGGTGGCTCCTTTTTCTACGCTGATTAGTTAAAGGACGACCTTCAAGAACGGTACCCAAACTCAGCTCTATTTATAGCCCTTCCAAAACCCTCACATCCCCGATTCATAGTATCGTCAAACTTTTGCACCAACGCTCACATTTAATTTGATTGTATTTTCCCAGATGAAAGCCGCCCTAAAAGAAAACGCAAAGAAAAACGATGAAAACAAAAGCCGCCGAAGGAAACTTTTTCTGGCCAAGTCACATTAAAAACTCGGCAAATTCAATAAAATTAAGCATAGTCTTGAGTGGAATTAGATTGGGAATTACGAATGAAAACGAGCGCTGAGAAAAACGCCTGACCCTCGATATATGGAACTTAAGAAAAATCACTTTTAAGGGCTGCAACTTTAAAAATATTAAGCTATTTCTAATTTCATAAAGCTTAAGTTTTTAAGATTATCAAAATGCAAAACCCCAATAAACATACCATATCTGAATTTATTAAAAGTCAAACATTTTGAAAGCTTAAAATCTGTATATCAAAGCAAAAAAAATATATATTATGCCATATATAACAAAAAAAATTGATTATTTAGCTTAAGCAAAAAATATACATATAACATACTCAAAAAAAGTTTTTTTTTATTTCAGTTTTAATCAGTAATCCTTAACCTTAATGTTTACGGAGTTCGTTTCGAACTACTCATTTTTGGAATTCAGCATTACCATATGTTAAAAATAGAAAACAGTGACGTATTCGTAGGAAGGTCTTTCTGAAGTAATAATATATTGAAATATTACAAATAAATTAATTTGTTGCATAATCTATATGGCAATGGTTCCCCAAAACTTTCGTATTCGAAAATAGTTTCTTAACTCAAAATTGAATGCAAATGTGACATTACAATGGCTTACAAATTAAAGCTGGCTTAGATTAATCGGAAAACTAGTTAGTGGTTATAAATTTGACCACTTCGCTTGAGACATTTGTTGTGAAGATTGAGGAGGTCCCCTTTTAAAGCCGGGAGACGCCTTCGTTGGCATACAGTTGTTTATCCTTTAGCGGAATGGAATCCCCGCCGGGAGATTCCCGCAGCGAGAGATTCTCCGACTCTAGCTGCTCCTCTTCATACTTCTGATCCTTCTGCTCCTTCTCCTCCGGCGGCTCTCCATCGAATCGCACTCTAAACTCCGGCTTGGAGCTGCCGACCGAGTCCGTCGTACTGGATGCGGATGCCATTTGACTGCGCCGCAGATCGGTGCTGATGGCGTGGAGTGTGTTGTAGCAGCGCCGGAAACTGGGCCGCTCCCACGGATCCGTTCGCCAGCAAAGCAGCAGAAGTCCGTAACTAGAGAGGCATTCGTTCATATATTCATTAAAAATTTTACAACAAAATATGGGACATGTAAAAAATGGTTTAATTGTTTCAGTTTTCTCACAAACCAAATACATATAACTATTTTATTTGGACATTGAGCGAGCTTATATTAATTTACCTTTCAAAATGTATATATTTTGTAACCCCTTGTAATTATGGTATTGACTAAAAAGTTTTAATCTTGTGGCATTACGTTAACCACCTATAAATAAAATATAAGCCCTAAATATTTAGTTTTTTTTTTTTTTTTTGTAAAATATAACAAATTTGATTTGATAGACAAATATTTTTTTTCTGTAAGTGGTAACAGTGATACAATAAATTAAAAGAACCAAAACAGAAAAGGCAATTTAAGTACCAAAACTATATCCAGAAGTTAATTTTAATGTTTTGAAAATTGTAATATTAATTTTATACCAAGAAAATAAGATTTAACAAGTCTTAGCAGAAATAAATAGTGATAAATTGTGAGAAAAAGGCAGATATATTCTTAAAAAGAAGAAAACCTCATATCGTATGAAATGATTCAGTGTTTCAGTTGGCAACTTACAGCTTTTCCGGGCACATGGGCGGCTGATGGAGCCGTCCGCCCTCCTTCACGTGGGCCAGCACCTCGAAGTTGTTCCTCGCCGCATACGGCTGCTGCCCCAGCGTGAGGATCTCCCAGCACAGGACCCCGAAGGCCCACACGTCCGACTGCGTGGTGAACAGTCCGTCGACGAGGCTCTCCGGCGACATCCACCTCACGGGCAGCAGTCCCTCGCCCTCCTTCCGGTAGTAGTCGCTCTTGTAGATGTCCCGCGCCAGTCCAAAGTCCCCGATCTTCACCGTGCGCCGCCGATCCGTGCCGCCCGACGACTCCGTGACCAGACAGTTCCGACACGCAAGGTCGCGGTGCACGAAGTGCATGTCCTCCAAGTAGCTGCACCCGTTGGCCACGTCGATGCACATCGCCAGGAGCTCGGACAGCGAGAGGCCTGCGGTGGGTTGCGGTTCCTTTAAAAAAAATATATATGATATTATCATGAAAATTTAAACATTTTTACTGCGATTTCTTTAGTATATACTTTTTATCAAGAAAACTGTGCATTTTGCTTGATTTTTTGCAAAAAATTACCAAACATATATTTAAATAAATAAATAAATCGATTGTTAAGTTTATGACGAATTCAACGATGATATTACAAGTTTTGGTCATTATTTTCCAGGATTTTAAAACAAAAACATTGTTTTTTTTCTCTTTTAATTTGACAATCATTATCACATATGTTAAAAGAAGAACGTAAATAAATAAGTACAAAAATAAATAAATAAACAAACAAATAAATAAATTAAAAAACAAATAAATATATAAATAATAAAATAAATAAACAAATTAATAAATAAATAAATAAATTTAATGGGACTGCAGCGATATCCTACATTAAATACCACTAATACGAACTTAAATTACCTGAGTGCTGGTGGTCCGAGCGGCTCGTAGGTAGCTGAGCAGATCGCCGGCCTCCATGTGCTCCATGATCAGGGAGATGGACTCGGTGTCGAAGCAGATTCCCACCAGACAGACGATGTTCTCGTGCTTGAAGTTGCTCATCAGCTGAGCCTCCTGCAGCAGCTCAGCAAATTCACTCGCTCCCTTGCGCAGGCTCTAGAGGATTCGGATCGAGGGAGTCATTGATGGAATGATTGTATTTTCGGCCAAGATGACTCACCTTGATGGCCACCCGCTGCGGCTCCTCGGAGTGCTCCGTCTGCAGCTGACCCTCGTAGACCTCGCCAAAGGCTCCGCTGCCCAGGAAGCGCAGCAGCTTCAATTGGCTCCAATTGATCTGCGGCAGCAGGGCAATGTCCGCATCACTCAGCGTTGTGGAGAAGGCGCGATTCCGGGCGGCCATCAGTTGCTGTTGCGTCTGCAGGGTGGACAGATTGCTCCAAATGCTGGGACGGCTCTGCTGGAGCAGTTTCTTGGCTCGCAGGCGACGCTTCTGCACTGTTAGGGATGAAAAAGCGCATTCGAATATAGTAAAGTATAAATTAAACATAAGGCATTATATTGGAAAAAATTAGAAATTTGAAATTTAATTTAATTGAAATTGAAATTTAAAGTTTACTTTAATTTGTTTTTAGTTTAAAATTGGTAATTGCACTTTTGAGCACCGGGCGCTGTTGCATGCGCATCATTTTTAAGCTCCTTCATATTTAAATTAAGAATAAACTCATAATAATAAATGGAATTCATGCTAAAATAAGTAATATTGAAAAATATTAAATCTAATGTGCAAAATATTGGATTTTACCTAATTTATTAAGGTAATATGTTTTGAATTTTAACTCAATTTTTAGATATTAAAATCGAATTTGAATATAGTCAATTGCAATGAAAAAATAACAAAATTGAGCACAAATTACCTGAATTTACTATAAAAAAAAATGGAATAGACAAAATACACATAAATTTACTTAATACATATATTAAATACAATTCATATTAAATTTATGATTTAAGATTCAAATATTAAGATTACTTTTTGAAATATTAAAATCAAATCAAAATCAATTGAAATAACTAAAAACCGCAAAGAATGGAAATCAAATCGATTCAAGATAAAATACTTGTATTTACTACGTATTTTGTAGCAGTGTTGTGGCTCACCTTTGCGCACGAGAACCAGGGCGAGGACGCAGCTGGAGACGATGGCCGCCGGCGCAATGATGGCCAGGACCAGAGAGCCGCGCTTCTCCGGCGAGACGAAGGGCTCGGCCACCCGCTCGCTCTCCTCGCTGTACGGCCCCCAGCCGTGCTCCACACTGCGGGCCCGCACCCGGAACAGGAGCAGCCGGCTGGTGTGCAGACTCTTCACGATGCAGCTCAGCTCGGTGGTGTTGCAGAAGTCCAGCCACTGGTCCTCCACCACCGGCGGCTCCTCGGCCCATGGCAGCCGCTCAACGGATCCCCCGCTGTCCGCATTCGCATCCCCATCCCCATCCGCCCGCCTCCTCCTCCGTCGCCGTCGACGTCGACTCTTGCGCCGCGCCTGCAATGCCTCCAGATTGTATAGAGCAATGGCGGCTCCATTGCCCCTGGCCGCCGTCCAGGTCACCCGGAACACCTCCTCGGCGATGTGCTCCAGCTGCGGCCTGCCCGGCTGGCTGGGTGCATCGCCCAGCGTCTCGTACTCCTCGGCCGCACCGTGGTACAGTGGAGCCCCCGGCGTGGCCGCATACCCGACGAGCAGGCGGCACTGGTAGCGTGTCCTCGGCTGCAGTGGCTCCACCACCATGCGCGTATAGTTGCCAGCCACATTGCGACGCAGTTGCTCCGCCGACGAACGGCACTCCAGCAGCAGCGATCCCAGCGGATCGGTGGTGCCGGCCCAGGTGAGACTCAGCGAATAGGGTCCCAGTTCGAGGAGCTGTAGCTCCGGCAGATCAGCAAAGCTGCGCACATGCACCTGGCCACTGGCGTTGCTCTTGCTGGCCGTGGCATGGGCTTGCACCCAGAGGCGATAGCCTGATCCCGGCTTTATTCCCGCCAGGCGATGTGTGCCCGCCTTTTCCAGACGACGCTCCTGTGGCTCCTTCTTAAGGCCTCCATTCGGGGCATCCTCGCCATCCTCGCCATCCTCGCCATCCTGCTCCTGCTGCCAGTGCAGCATGTAGTAGACACTATTGCTGCGCAGCTGCTCCGGCGGCAGCCAGCTGACCTCCAGTTCGCGCGGACTCAGCACACGGACGCTAAAGTTACGGGGGGCGGAGGGCGTGGCCGAGGCAGTGGTCAGCTCCAGCGGTGGCATAACCAGACTGGCCAATCCCAGCCTCCTTTGGTAGTAGTTGCTGAGGCTGCCCTTCAAACGATACCGGGTAAAGGGCTGGAGTTCGGTGATGTTTAAGTCATCTCCGGCACTGAGCAGCCACTGGAACAGGGGCTCCTCGCTAGGGGATGATACCTCCACCTCCTCCTTATCGCTGGCCAAAGTGAGATTCAATTGATACCGTACCCCGGGCACGGGCAGTGTGCAATCCTCGTCACCCTTTGGCAATGGCAAGTGCAGCAGACATTGCCGCTCCTCGCAGACGGGCTCCGCTGGAGGAGATGCCATAGCCGGTGGCAGGATTAGGCACTTTTTGGCCGGATATGCCTGATAGTTGTGGGCCCGCAGCAGACGCACTTCGTCCGGCTCCAGTTCGACCATATACTCCAGCTGCTGACGGCGTCGTCCGTAGGCGCGTATGCTTACGTTCCTCAGGGCATACAGGTAGCCCGAATCCTGGGCCAGCTGTCCGGCCGCCGCGTCCTCGCCCAGCAGACTGAGCTGCGCCCGCAGGGCGCTGGCCGTGCACAGCTGGCGGGCCACATCGTAGACGCACAGTTTGCCCTGCTGATCCACCAGGTTGAGAGTCTCGGCACCGGGCTCCAAACTGCCGGCATACAGCCGGCTGATTGGCTGCACCGTGTGCAACTGCAGGGCGGAGCCATCGGTTAGATTCCGACCACTGAGGGAACCGTTGCGCGGTGCACCCTGGTCGTACTCCAGCCAGAGGAGAGTGCGTGCCTGGGGCAGGGCCACCAGATCGCGCAACAGACGACCCCGGGCGGTGCTCCACACACGTTGACCCTGCAGGATGCGGCCCTCGAAGTGGCACAGATCCAGGCGATGGATCACTGCCGCCTGTGCCGTTCCGCTGCCATCCAGTTCGGCCCAGTAGACGATGCGCTGCACCCAGTCGACGGTGAGGGCCAACACCTCGGCCCGCATGCGGGCCAATTTGGCGGGCGGCGAGCCGGGGACATGGGTCAGCAACTCCACATGCTCGTTGACCCACAGCAGACGCTGTTCGCCTTCGATGCCGACCAAATGCTCCACCGGACTGGCTGTGTGCACCAAACGGCGGCGACTGCGCGTGTCCAGATCCAGTTGGCCAATGAACTCGGCATTGGCGTAGAGTAGGCGTGGCACTGACTGCACCTCGGGCGCCACATGCAGGGCATGGCTGGCTGCCCCCGCAGCCGCTCCAGTGGCCGCCACCCGTGCCTCCACCTGAAAGTGATAGGTGTGGTCCGGCTGCAGTTGCTCCACTCGCGCCTCCAGGGCGCTCTGGTTGAGACGCATCTCTGCGTGCAGTTCGGTGCCCAGCCAGCAGCTGATGTGATACTCCAGGGCCTGCACCGGCACCGCCATCAGCACCTCCTGGCCGCCCTGGGTCTCCGGGGCATCCCAACGGAGCAGGGCACTCACATTGGCCTCCTCCTGCAGGGCGGTGGACAGGCGCTCCACAAAGACCCTGAGGCGACGTGGCTGCGTCGGTGCCGCCGGCGGGGTGGTGAGCTGCACCCTGGTGGTGGCACCACTGCGCCAGGCGGTGCGCGGCGTAATGCTGATCTTCAGACGCAGTTGGGCCTGCGGCAGTTGGGTCAATCGGGCATAGGGAGTGCTCAGATCCAGGGTCTGTATGCGTTGGCCAAACTCCAAGAGCAGGCGATAGGAGACACTGTGATTCCCGGACGTCGTCGAGGGCAGCCAGCGCACATGGAAGTCATCCCAGTGGCCATCGTCCAGGCGTATGCTGTCCGGGGCGACGGCCAGGGGTACGACACCCTCGTCTGGCGGCGGCACAGCCAGGCCATCGAGCAACTGGAGGGCAGAGGCTGGCGAGACTTCGGCCGGCGTCGGCAGCTCCATTACATCTTGGGGGGCAGTGAGGCGGACTAGGCGTGCCCGCCGGCCACTCCCCTCCAGCCAGAGGAGGGCGCCCAGGGGACGCAGCAGCTGCAGACTCAGTGGCACTGCCTGAAGGTCAGCTCCCACCTGGTGGAGCAACTGCAGTGAATCCCCGTCAGCTGGGCTCAATGGAGCACGATAGAGACGCAGGGCGGCAGCTCCGCTGACCAGCCAGTAGAGCTGATCCAGCTGGGTGTCCAGCAGGAAGGATGAAATGCTGCCCTCCAGTCCGTTGACGCGATAGTAGGTGACCTCCTCATCGGACGTGGCGCCATGCCGCACGAGATGCGACCCGGTGGCATAGTACAGGTGACCCTGGCGCGGATCGAGGGCCAGGGAACGGGCCTCGAAGATGGGCAACAGTTGGCGACTGCCCGACCAGGGATCCATGCGCACCACACACTTCCTGGCCAGATCCGTCCAGTAGATTCCGCCGCCCCGCCAATCGTAGGCAACGGCGCCCACATGCTGCACTGGCTCAGCCAGCGGACATCCACCCTGGCCGTGCCGCAGGCGGATGCAGTGCAGCCGCCCCCCGCCGCTCACATAGTAGGCCACGCTCTCGTTAATCCTGGTCAGGGGTCCGGCTGATGGCTCCAGTTGCTGCTCCTGCAGCACCTCCAGTCCCTCGCCCAGTTCGTTGGTGGTGCGCATAGGTCCTCCTCGTCCACTCAGCCAGCTCAGACGATGTGGTCCGAGGGGCCAGGTGCGGGCCGCCAGTGGAGCCGTCCACTCGCCCGGTTCCCCATCCACATCCACACCACTGGGCATGGCCCGCACCCGCAGCTGATAGAGATTGTCCGGCTGCAGACGCTGCAGCCCGAAGAATGGCCCGCGAATGTTGCGTATGCTGAAGGCACTTTGGCTGGCCACGTCCAGCACCTCCAGCTCATAGCTCCAGCTGCGAGCGGCGTCCTGCGATTGATAGGGATTGCGAGCGGGTTCCCGCCACGAGATCTTGGCCGCCTGGGCGCCCAGCTGGGCCTTAAGGCTGTGGGGCCGGCCTCCGCCCAGGGTCAGTGGCTGACCTCGAGGGTCGAGGAGTATGGCTGCCCAGCAGTCGGGCAATTGCCTCAGCGGCCACGTGCCACTCACTGAGGCCTGAGCCTCCTGTGACTCCTCCTCCTCCGGCACCAGCAACAGTTGGCTAGCCGTTGGCAGAAGCAGCGAGTGATCCACCAGGGCAAAGGTCTGCCAGGCAGCTGACGAGCCATCGGGATGCTGGGGCAGGGGAAGGTGCTGCCTGAACCCACCATCGTAGCTCAGCAGCAGGCACTTAGCTTCGTGCGGCAACATCAGGCGGATGAGGAAGTGCTGCGGCTGCACCACAAACCAGCCCGGCTGTCTGATCCTCACCAGACGATGGCGCATCCGGCCATGAAGGTCCTCACGCCACAGGGTCTCCTCGTCGCGCCAGAAGAGCCAGCCATTCAGGGCATCCACTTCAAGCTGCTCCACCGGCAGTTCGAGGGATTCACCCTCAACGGCAGCATCCACCGCTCCGCCCTCCAAATTCGTGCTGATGAACTGCCACTTGGATTTGGCCTGGCTGGGGTCCAACGATTCCACGGCCAGGTACAGGCGTTGGCGCAGCCAGTCGAAGCTCAGCCTCCGGGGTGTCATCCACTGGCCACTGGAGATGTTGGCCAGGTCCAGCGTCAGCTTTTGCACCGGACTCACCATCTGTCCCGAGTCAAATTTTAGGCTGCGATTTTGGGATTTAAGAAACATAACTAAATTAAATTAAATTAAAAAATAATTGTTCTTAACCATTAAATAATTTCAAAACTTTTGAGACTGTTAAGAACTTTCAGGATTAAGGGGGCATTCTGGTCAGGAAGCCTGAATTTTGGGCATTTCTTCAAATAAGGTAAAAAACAAAAATGAAAATTAAAAATTTCAAAAATTAATTTTTTAACATACATTTTTCTATATTTGTTTTTTATTTACATTTTGAGAATATAATAAAACAAAACTAAAAGAAAAAGAAAAAGAAAAAGAAAAAACAAAACAAAATTTCGAGAAAAACGCCTTTAAAGTTTAGGAAACAATTATACCTTTCTTCGAAAATAATTAGAATTTTGAACAGTCCGTTTATAATCATAATTTTGAAAGTCAAAACATTCAAAATATGCAAACAAAATAAATTTTTTTTAAATTTATAGAGCAGAATACCTCCTTAAGTTATGGCTATTGAATAAAACATTGTATAATAAATATTTAATTTCTCAAGTAAAAGGCATATTAATTGAGGTGAAAAATATTAAATTTTTCAAATATTAAAATCAATTATAAAAAATTTATTTATTTATTTAAATTGAATATAAAACACTTGCATTTACTACGTTTTTTGTACCAGTGTAGCCAAGACTCACTCGAATTTCCCCAGTTATAAGAATTTTACATAGCTCATAATATTTATTTAACCTTAAATAATAAGAACGCCGAAATATTGTGTAAGTTGATAACGATTTGAACTGAAACCAGCTTGCCCGCTGTACAATTTTGTAACATCTTTTCCATCCAGTATCCCTATTAATTCAGGTCTAACCTAACCGTTAGGTAATAGCCCTGGTATCGAAGCTGACAGGAGTTTTTAAGGATAAACTCAGCGCTCTCCACATCGACATAGGCATAGATGTCATAGTCGTCGCTACGGATGCAATTGTAGTCGAGTGGAGCTAACTGCCACGGTATCATGCTTATGACACACCACTTGCTGGTATTCAGTCCTGGGTTGTCATCCTCGAGAGTCTTGAAATAATAGGGGTAATACGGTTTGCTCACTAATGGCCAAAATAAAATGCATCGTATCGGATTGTTGCTATGCAGTGCGTCGACTTGGGCCATCAGATCCTCTGGATCATCCACATCCATGGGCTCCACAGCGTCGCCGGACATAACGAATACTGTTTGTTTACTTCAAATTGTAAGAGAAATTTCTACGAGAACAATTTCCTTTTTAGCAAATATGCTTGTGTAGCTTAAAGCGGAATATGATCGACATACTGCGCTAAGTTATTTTGTTTCTTTGACTGAGGGATCGCTTTAGAGACAAGGTAGTGAATCAATAGTCAATCTAAATATTTTTATAACCAACTTAATTGGTTAGAGAATAATTTCCAATATTTATTCCTAGAAGTCAAATTTTTCTCCAATATAATATGTTAATATACTGCATATTTTGTGAATAAAATATGACAAATCCAAATGGTGGTTTTCTGGCTGATTTTTGCAGAATTTTAAAAGCAAGAATCCGAACAATAATGGTTTTATTATCTCAGCTATTAACACTGGTAAAAAATGCGACGTAAATCCAAATATTTTGTAATCAATTTTAATTTATTTTGATTTGATTTTCAAATTAAGTTATATTTATATATGTATATATATTTTAGTTATATTAAATAGGAAAATATTAAAAATTTTTAATTTTTCACCCAGAGAAATATCACGATAATTCCCAAATACTTTCTTTGTGTTTTAAGTATGAAAAAATGTAGTTTAAAATTTAAAAAAAAAAATTAAATCTACAATGTTCCTATTTGATAAACCAATTAAATATGTTTATAATTACATTATAATGTTTTTAGTTTATTTTAAGTAAGTTTATATTTTGGAAAACAATGTTTCATTCAAATATTTTAATGTTTTATTTTACTATGTTTTCTCTGGGTGTATATAAAAGCTTTATAGCATGCTGAAATATTCACCAAAATGATGCTCATTACCTGCTCAATTCCCCATGGACGTTTAGCAGCCACAACTGCTGATCTCGCTGTGACCAGGCCACATCGGCCAGTTCCTCCTGGGACTGATAGATCATCGAGCTCTCACCGGCCGGTTCCAGGGACTGCCACATGACAGCCCTTCGTCCTGCCAGCAGGACACCCCCAGTCAGATCCTTTACAGGTCTATCACTTGGGGAGGCATGCGTTTCCACAAACCCCGTGGCCAGTGGACCCTCGCCCTGTTTGTTGATCATCGCCAGTTCCAGCGTGTAATTGGTTCCCGATTCCAAACGGGAGAAGATTAGGCTACCTCGTCCCGCAGGAACCAGCTGAAAGTAGGGAATTTCAGAACATTTGTGTACTAATTCTTTTACACTGGTAAAAAAAAAAACAATTAAAATATAGTTATTTTAAATATTAAAATTTCTTAAATTTTTAATTGTCTATATACGGAATAAGTTTTAATATATAAAAATCTTTTCTAAATTGAACTCAAATAATATGAATTTAAATCAAATAGGAACAATTTTAAAATCAATATACTCAAAATTTATTAAAATATTTTAATATTCAATCATGCAGTTAAATATGGATTGTATTTAATTTAATTAATTTATTTAATCAGTGTAGAGAACAACATTACAGTTTTATTTATATATCGCATAAATTTATAAAATAATAGATGGCTAACCTGCTCAGCTGTGAAGTTTCCTTGGGAGGATCTCATGGTCAGGCGGTATCCTTCGAGGGGTCCATTGGTGAATCGACCCGGATGCCAATGGACTGCCACGTGGGAGTCGTCCAGGCCCAACAAGTGTTCGATGACCGGGGCCGAGATGGGCGCGCCCTCGGGGGGCGTTTGGTAGGCGGGCGTGGCCGGGGAGTAGAGCACCTCGTCAGTGTTCTCGCCAAAAGGCAGCTCGAAACGGAACTGCAAAACGAAATAAAATTAAACGAAGCCTATCATTAGTAAATTATAATCATAGTTCCTTTTAGTTTCAAGGTATTTAAACTATCGACATTTCTAAAATAACCTTTTCTGCTTAAACGTTGTAATTTGAAGATTTAATTTTGTGGCCCATCAAAAGGTGTATTTTTTTTTGGGCTAAGGTCAATAAATGCACATCAAGGGCTTTACCTCTACAATTACTTAAAACAAGTACTAAAACTTTAAGGATACACATTTTTTTAAGTATTTATGTTCCTTACCTAAAGTATAAAAAACGTAAAAAATAACAAATTTTTGAATTACATTTTTTTTAATTTATCATTTTGAGGTCAATAGGTTTTTTGAAATTGCAGTTTTATAATTATAACATATTTTAAACGCTTTGGCAACTCTGGTTGTAGAAACCGTAAAAAAACAACGCAACAATATTATGCATATCATTTCAATTAACGAATCTCTAAGTTGCAGTGAAATTTTCATATTTTATTTTAACATAAGGTGGCGAAAAAAATATAAATTGAATTTAGTGGTATCAAGTTATTAATTTACCCAAGTGAGGTATAAGGTACCAAAAAATGTGCCTAGATACACCCCAACACTGCAGATGAGTGGCTTATATGTAGGCTGTATATGATTCCAAGGTAACTCCATTCACAACTTACCCTGTACTGGGTGTAGGGTATGAGGGACTCCAGTATCTCGCAGACGTAGTACTCATCGCAGTCATAGTCCGCCAGGTTGAACCAGGCACTAGCCACTGGTGCATCCTGCGAGCGATCCTGATCGTCCTGCTCGAGGTCCTGCTCGAGGTCCTGCTCCTCGCCGTGGTGGTCCACGTACTGGTACTGGATGTTGAAGGGTCGGCTGGCCAGGTACTGCTCCGGGAAGTGCATCGCCCAGCGGATGGTGAGCGGCATGGCCTGGCCGTCCGCCCGTGGAGCCCGCTCCAGCTGCGGCTGCGTCCGCTCCACCAGGTGACTGATGGCCAGTCGCTGCAGGTGCCAGTAGTCCCGCTGGGCCATTTCGCAGGACGAGATGCAGGGCATGTCGAACGGGTAGAACTGCAGCGACAACTGCGGACGACAACGGGTTAAAAGGGGGACACAACGGGGTCAGCGATTGGATGTGGATAGGGGTGATCTTTGACGGAGACGGATTAGGACTGGATGGGCTACTTACGCAGGCCTCCTGGCAGGACTCCAGCTCCTTGAGGGCGCGATACCACTGGGCACAGCCCTTGGTGCACTGTGAAAACGGAACAAAATATATACGTTTTCAATCTGTTTGAATTCAATTCATTTAATTTAGACATTGGTGAAGGAAGACATTTTTTGAGTTTACAATTTGAAAGAATATTATACATATATTATATAAAAAAAAATGCATAAGAATGAAGTCAAGAATACAAGTCAATTGATAATCTATTTATTTATAAAATGAAAAAAATATCACAGACCGATTTAAGACTTCAAACATTTTCTGATATACAAAAATAATGCACATATATAAATTTGTTTTAATTATAACTCGATTTTTATTTAAATGCGTAACATAACAATTTCCCAATTGTAAGTGTAGGCCACTTGTTCTTAATGAATAACACATTGAGCATTGTTCAATATAGATAACATGTCTATTATTCCGTAAATGCCACAAATTAAGAGCAACAAATATAGGTACATACATTTATAGTAAAGTGTAATAAACAGACGCTATTAAATTTATAACAATAAAAAAGTTTCCTCTGCTATTAAGCGGAATTCATTCTAAAAGCCATGTTTACATAAAAATGCAAAAATAATTATTGTCCTAAGGCATGGCAGATACAGTAACTTGTTTTATTTATATATTTTTAAATCATATTAAAGTAAAATAAAATTCTGGGTTGCAAAGATTAAGGCATCTTAATATTATTTATCACTTAATCTATTGATTTATTATAAAAACATATTTAAAGTATCCAAGAAAGAAAGGCCATTGTTTTGTAGAATATTTTAACTAAACAAACAAATTATGCAATTTTAAACTAATCTATGGATGTCGGATTTCCACTATGCTACCATGAAATATGCATATAAATTTTACTTCTGATAGAAAAGCCACCGCAAAGGCAACAAAAACTGTCTGATAACTACACTAACATGTTTTTCAATCCGAGCGCCATAAGTCAGTTACTTAAAAGTCTAACGTTACACATCTAACTAAAGTATAAATTCTTTTTTTTTTACTAGACTACTGCTCAGAAGCAATGCAAGCAGCTGGTAAAATTGATCGTAAAGTGTGAATTGGCCCGACTGGATAGTCCAGTCATGAGCAGCATGATGCAGGCAAGTAATCCGCTGAAGAAACGGACGGACAAGGAGCCCAGGACCAGGGCAGAGACCATCCGTAGGGAGCCCCTGAAGCTCCTGTTCGATGGCTTCATCAGTGGTCTGGAGAGGGAGAACGACTGGCAGCGGATAATGCACTTTGAGTTCGTGTCCAATTGACCCTGAATGTTCTGAGTGTACTGCCAACAGAAGTGGTTAGCCCGGAGCGAGCAAAGAGGTGTCGGGTTACCCCACATCGACCCACCACATATCCACATATCCCATATCCCATTTCACCACTGGCTCCCTGAAGTCTCTGACTTACCCGTGTTTTGTAGCACTTGTCGCTGTTGTCCGCCTTCTCGCACTGTATCCCATACTCGTCCAGAAACAGATCCTCCTGAAAAAAATCAAAAATGTGAAAGCCAATTAGTTTCGAGTTTTTTTTTTGTTTATTTTGGGCCCTTGGGAACGGAAGTTGCGGCAAGTTTGTATGGGAAAACAGTGCCGAATGAGACCACATTTATAACAATAGCAATGACAATATAAATGCGAATTCTGTGCCAATGCCAATGGCTCAATTATTTCGATCAATTATCATTGGGGAGCAGGGAAAGACTTCGGACTTCGCGCATAACATAAACATAGAAATATACTCTTGATTAAATGTGCTTTGTTTACATATACATATCTATCTATATATATATTTATATATATATATGTATATATATTGATATTATTTTTTGCATTGACATACGATTTTCGAGAATCGCTGATGCTGCATAAATTTGATAGAAACAAGTTTGCCACGTGAGCCATGGAGATCTCTTGAGAGCCGAAATCTATTTGCATACCCTTGACTTTGGCCTGCCAAGGGTTAAACGTACCGGCTCAAAACGGGGTCAACTAAGCAAAACTCAAAGATGATAGATGGAATGAAAAACAAAACTATTCGCAAGACATTAAAAAAACAAACTGGCCTGAGAAACCATTAAAAAAAGGCATTTTAAGATGATAGTTGGAATGAAAAAACAAACTGTTCGCAAGACATTAAAAAACAAACTGGCCTAAGAAACCATTAAAAAAAGGCATTTCAAAATTAATAAACTGGAACAGAAAACATATTTGTGCCCAAATTTTTTTGTAGCCTTTTAATAAAAAATTAATATACCAAGAAATACGTAAATAAAATTCGCAATTAAAATGAACTTATTGAATCATTATTTATTTCTTAATAATTTTATTTTGTAATGGTTTTAAATCTATGTATGTTTAAATAAGTTTGTATCAACAAATTCAACGTGACTAGCGCTACAAATATAAGTGTAAAAAATTTTATAAAAAGGCATCGCAAACATTATTAAAGTAAATTAAAAATGCCATTAAGTGTATCGTTTAAATTTCGTGTGAGAGAAAATTAATATCTACTTAAGCTTTGGCCCACAAAGTGCACAATCCGTTGAGTTGTTCCCCAAAAGAGAAAGCAAGCACTTAAAGTACAATTTAGCGCTTTTGGAGCTGCCCCCTGCACCAATTACAAACTCCTTAAAATGGCCAACTTTGTTAATTGTGTTGCTTCGGCTTGGCTTGCTAAATGGACTAGCAATTACCAAGGGATTTTCCCTCACGCACACGGATTTTCCGCATTCAACCAAACACACACATGCACACACACACACGAAAAGTATTTTTCTGGTGCTTGTACTTTCCTTTTTTTTTCGCACACGCGTCAATTTAATTTAGAATTCTACGTAATATAATATTAATTTAGCTTGATTGGCTTTTTTCACAAACAGAAATAGCTCTTGAGAACGAGAGTTCTCTCGTTCTGCACAAAAAAAAAGGGAAAGAGGGAAAGCTTCAGACCATGAGCGGATCTAAAGGGGATTAGAGGAGCGGGGGCTTAAGTCCCCCCCTTTTTTGGGATAAAAAGCGATAGAAAACAGTGGTATTTTAAAAGTATGTAACTAATCATTTGAATAAGAAACAAAAACCCCTTAAAATCAAATCCTGAATGCACCACTGCTCGAGACTAATTGGCATTGGGGGTTTTCATGTCGTCATTGCTCATCTTTTGTTGTACAATTTCTATTACATTAACTCGGAAACCTACCCACACACACACACACACACACACTGAAAGGTGGGCGGGACGGGGGGAAGGCCACCAGACTGGGTTGGTGTGTTATTGACACCATTATTGTGCCATTGTTGTTGCTGCCATCAGGCTCTGGAAAAGCAAGCCAAAGAAATTACACTTGTGCGCTGATGAACAGGCGGGCACACACAGCATCGCTTAAAATTATAGTACTTACAATTGAAGTACAAGTAAATGATATATTCAATAAGTCTGACAAGGGCTTAGAAACTAAACCACCTCAAGACTGCACTTTTCTTAACTGAACCAATCATTGTTTTCAAATTTTTTCATTTTTCAGTATCCATTAAAAATTGCTAATTAAATATGGGAAAATAACCTTGAAAAGTGATTTTACGAAATTAAGCAAAGTTTAATATTGGATAATTTTAAACTATATGCCACCCCCAATTATTTTAAAAGCTTTAGTTTGTTTTAAAACAAAGATAAATCAAGGATCAATAATTCAATAATTCAATCAACAAAACAAGAACATAAACAACTAAATAGATATTAATTGATTACAAAAATATGTATAGTACTTTGTATTATTCATTTGCAATAAATCTGCTCACCACAATGTTACAAAGTTTGCTCAAATTTTGTCGTTCCTCGAAACAGACTCTTATTAATTGGGCCTCGATTGTAGGACTACCTACACATAAATTGACTAAACATTTAGCTCACTCTCGAATTCAGCAAGGCAAAACATCTTAATAAAATTTCTTTTGTTCGCATTGGCGTTCTAGGTTATGCGAAATCCAGTTACCGGATGAGTATTGAGGTTTGGTCTAGTTTGGTCTGGAGAAGAATGACCAGCTGAAATGATTAGCTGGAGTTATAGTAACAACTCAAAATCTTAATTGAAATTTGGACTAAAACCTCAGTTTATAATTTGAAGTTGAGCTTGGCACAAATATGCAAATTAAAAAATAGTTTAATAATATTTTATTTAACAAAAAATGCATAAAAGATAATAAAATCGTTACCTTAACAGCAAATTTATCTTACAATATTTGTGTAAATGTATAACTAAATCACTGATACCTACATAAAAATATATGCAAGATGTGTTGTTGGAAAATGCACAAATAAATAAAGCTGTAGGCTTGAGGTTCAATCCGTTCCCATACTGTTGCGAGCAAATTAATAGGAATCCCAGATATCGCTCAGTTATCATTAATTTTAATTGGCGTTGGGCTGGTGTTACTCGAGTGTCGAATTGCGGATTACTAAAATGGCGCATTGCTAATGAATGAAGTGCAAGCCGAGCAACTGATTACCATGCAGCCTACTCCTATTACACACTCTCCAATAATATAGTAATTACTGTCCGTACATTTCGTACATTTGCACAGGGAAATATATGGATGCTGAAATGCCGACTCACTGCCACGCACATTAGCGTATACTAGTGCATTTCAGTAAATGAATCGAAATATTGTGGAACTTGACGTAATCACTATCCCAAGCCCATATTTTGTTATTTACAAAAATCATCTCTTATTTATCACCTGATATTAACGTTGGTAAAGGCTTAATATTCAATTATAAATTATTTTTCGGACCCACAGCGATATATTTGAAATCAGTATTATTTGCCTAGACCTTATATTGTTTGTAAACATTTATTTCGATATGATTGTCTATACGACCGAAAATAAACAAGCACCTCAAAATATGACACCAAACTGAAAATCGCTTCTGGTTTATTTTAGTTTTTCATATTAAGTTACCATTCTTGTAACAAGAAAAGTAATACCTCTCTATCTCTAGTAAATCTGAAGGAACGATGAAAAATAAATAAATTTCAATCGTTAATTTAACAAAGCATTCAGACAATTAAATCACGCTTTGGAAACCCATAGCATTTGTAATTATGTGCATAATTTAAGAGTATAAAGTTGCACTTGTATTTAACACCTCATATAGTAAAACACATCAATCCACCTGCAATTAAAACATGAACACGAACATGCATTATTAAGCTTTTTAATTAAACTCCCCAAAGGATTCAACCAGGAGCGCATTAATAATAAATGTTTATTTAAGAGGGAAATGAGTGAAATATAAAATTGAACTAAATTAAATATCGGGTGCCATGGTGTAGCTGTACAAACGGGCGACATCGCACAAATGCCAGTTAAACACACATAAACCCACTCAGAATGCAAATTGCAATAAAGCCGAGGAGCTGAGGTAACCCAAATAATGAGAAAGATTCTAATCCCGATCTGGTGAGCGAGTTGGTGCTAAATTGAAATGTCAACTCTGGCATGGCATTTCATCCACATTCACATCCACATCCACAATCGTGGGATGGATCCAAATCCACATTCACAACCACAACCACGCAATCACCGACTTGACGATCTTCAATTATACATATCATTTAATTAGCCGTTGCAGCGCGTGCAAGTGAGCGATTAACGGCCACTGAATGTGAATGCTCTAGAAATTCATTCAACCCAACTGAATAATCTGGCCAGTGAATGTCTGAAAAGAGTTGACCTTTTTTATTTTTACACATTTTTTGCTGTGGGCCACGTGACTTCGCCGCATTGCACTTGTTCAGATTGTTTTCTGATTATATCGTTGACATATGCAAAACTAGAAGAAAACATTACGTACTCCGAGTGTCGCTTTCTTTGCTGACAAATGATGGATGGACGTTGGAGTAGCCCTGAGGCATTGCCTGTTTTTGTTTCATATTTTGTGCAAATGCCACATATTTTGACACTGTCACGCAATAAGCAAAATAATACATCATAAAAACCGCCTGGGATATGGCAAAAAAAAATGGATAGTTAATATCAAACACATTTGAAATATTTTCATTTCAAAAATGTTGTTATTACTAAATTATGATTATAAAAGAGGTTGCCGACTCTAATGTTATGAATGTTTGCAAAAACACTATCAGCAGAAAAGATATTCTATTAATAACTTGAAAAGATAAGAAAATGTATTGATAAATAACAGAGATAAAGTTTTTTAAACGCAAATCTATTCTGTTTACTCTAAAAACTCTCACTCAAAGAAGACAAAAATATGGAATAAAGAAACTTAAATGAAGTCACTACAAAAATAAATATAACAACGCAAATAAAAAACTTTTTTAAGTAACAAACATATTTAAAATGATCAAAAATGCATATAAACAATTTAACAAAACTGTCCAAATTTTTGGACTGAACATCCTGACAAAATCTCTCCCTCACATAAAAACGTGGAAAAAAAATGATAATCATTTTGATGAAATTCCATACAAATTTATTCTTAATTCTAAGCATTTCACTTTCATATGTTTGCATGCAAGAAAAAAAATTACCGTTTCATAATATCAATAACACATTGTTAAATGGTAAAAATTTAAAGTATTTGTTGACCTGTGAGTAATTAATTTATACTAACTCTTCTTTTTTTATTGTTTTTTGTTTAATTTTATAAAAACTTTTCTTTGGGTTAGTTAAAATCCTAAAAAATTAATCATAATAGCTAACAAATACTCACCTCAACGATGCATCGCTGGACACAGTCACGAGTGACCCGTTCAAGGACTACCCGCTCGTCGACTCCATGATGCTCCTCTGGGGGATTCGGATTCGGATTCGGATCCGAAACTGGAGCCACGGAGGTCTGTGCCCTACTGCTGATGGCAATTCCCTCAACGATGCTCGGCGGTGCTGCTGCGGCGTGCTTGTGCCAGATGGCTACCTTCTCCACCACATCGCTGTCCAGTTTGGGCCGCAACAGGCCGATTTGGTCCTTCATGCCGGGTTCCGGACTCTGGTGCACCGAGTAGTTGTGCGATCGGCAGACATCGCAGCAGATGGAGAGGAGAATGAGCAGCAGGAGGTTGATGATCAGCACCGTGGATATGCCACCGTGACCATCCTGACCGCTGGTCAACTGGCGACCCAAACGGGCCAATTGCTGGCGAAGATCGAGTGTGCTGCTCTGCTGATGGACCACTATTTTGCTGGGTACGGCGGGTGCGGATTGTACATTGGCTGCCGGTTGATTTATGTGGGTGGTGGTCATCTTGGTGTTCACATTCACCGCGATCTTTACATTAAAGCTAATGTTCAGTCTCTTCATGGGACCTGCATTATTTTGCTGTTTGTTCTCCTGATCCGCCGATTGATCTACATTTTGATGCCAAAACATAGTCATTGAAGTCGAGAGTCGAAAGTTCTTATCGCGAACTACTCAATTACTGTTCTTTCTCCGTTCGAATTTACATTTTAGCGCCGCAATTGACTGAAAACGAAACTGAAACCAAAACATAAACAGAACCAAAGTCAGAAAAAGAAAGAGAGTAAAAGAGAAGGTGGAACAAAAACACACACAAATACTATAAAAAATCAAATCTCAAAGTCAAAAAACCAATTCATTGGGATATGTAAAGTTCATCAGGTAATTTTCATGTTATGTAAATTTAAAAAATAACACAGAACGAGAAAGGGACTAACAAAGTTTATTAAAAGTAACTTTCAAATACTCTATTCCTCACTTTTCTATTTTATAAGAAATGTAAATATACATGTACATGTAACATGAGAGATCGAAAATAATGGAAATTCATTTAAGAACTAAACTAAAATTTGTTCTAACTAAAAAAAAATATCATACATTCTACATACATGTTATATAATTAGTTTCCCTCAACTGATTTATACGAATTTTGTACATCTGTTTCATTTGAAATAATTGATTTATTAGGCATACAATTCGTCAGTTCGATATTTTAAACACAACTACAACAAATTCTGTCTAATAAATAAAAACGCAAGTACTGTAATTACAATGTGCGAATTTTGCCCTTACAAAATGCAATATGACAGTCATACTTGTCAAACCCCAAATCATAATAATTTAGATGATGAAATGTTACAAAGACTAGCAATTAGAAAATATTTTAATTTAATAGTTGCTTGCTTATACTATATGCATAAAATTAAGAACATATAAATTGGTATTTACTTAACATTTTGATAAGCACTACTTTGTAAACAAATTAATTTTTTATCTACGATGCATACGTTTTTAAAATCACTAAGAACTACAAAATACTTTCCCGAGCTGATATACCCAAACCAAAAAATTAGATAAATCGCAAACAACTCATTTCAAATGCGGACAGCTCAAAGGTTCAATGAACAATCGCAACGCCGATCGATAAGCCAACAATCCCGATGATCTCAAATTGTGTTTAGGGGAACTTCGCCCTCCACCAAAAAAAAAAAAAAAAAACACATCCAGTTCGCTGTTTCTCATACACAGGACATGGCCAGGGTCCAATTAATATTCAGTCTGCATAATCAGCTAGCCAAGCGACAAGTTTCAATTAACATGGCGTAATGCATGGCCAATAAGTCACGCCCCCTTTGTGGCCGCCCACAACAACTAAAACAACAGCTTGAAACAAGAATAACAAAAACAATAACCACAACCCACAACAAGGGGAGCGGCCATAACAAATTTATCCTCATTAAGATGCAAACACATTGGCCGGACGGAGAATAATCGACCGGAGTCTCTTTCGAAAACGGAAATCCCTTTCCCAGCCGCAAGTTCAACGCACACAGCGCACAAAAAATATTAGTTAATTGCACTTTAATTTCATATTTACCAGGCAACAACAACAACAACAACAACAGCACTGCTCACTATTAAAATGTTAATTAAATAGCTCGCCGAACAGACTAGACCGGAGAGAAGAAAAAAAAAAAAGACAAAAATAAATTGAAAATAAAATTGAATAAGCCGAGCGAAAATAGCGAAAACATGAAAGATCACAGCGGATTAATTGCATCAAAGTATGCAAATGCCGGCCAGCGGTTCACCATTAATTAGTTAACGTGGTTGGTGGGTGGTTCGAATGTATATTAAATATAATATAATATTAATCGACCACATTGGAAGTCAAAATGTCACCGGAGAGAAGCAAAGAAACCGGAGTGATTGAGCCCCTAAACTCTTCTCACCCACATTTCGTTCAGCTCGTTGTTGAAGTTGTTAAGCGCAGTTGACGCGGTTTAATTCAATTTATTGTTGATTTGAGCAGCTTAATTGCATTTTATTGTTGCATTTGTTGCCTCGACTTAACTACAGACACTTCACATTCACACACACACACACACTGCACATTGCACACGAGAAAAAAAATACGATCGATTCGGACGGATATGGCATTAAAATATTCAAATTTCATTTGTACTTTGGGTGTACTTTCTGTCAAACATTTGTCATCGTTGAGTGTGTTTAAGTGAATATATATATATTGTTTGAGGGAGAATAAGAGCGCATCGTAAACTCACTCGACGAAATGTCGCAGATATCTGAATATCTGATTATTTGAATATCTGAATATCTGAATATCTGAAAACAGAAACAGAAACAGAAACTGAGAATATGAGCGGCGACACGTAGTGCGCAGTGGCGCGATCGGAGCAGAACTGATTTGCCGGCGAGCGGCGGGCTTTAACCAAGCCCCCCAAGCTTGAACCGCGAACCGCGAACCTCGAAGCCCCAAGTCCAAGTCCAGTCCAGGCCGGTCCAACCCCCAGTTTGAGAATCGGAAACCGAATGCAACCGAAACAATACAAATGAAACCGAAACTGAAACCGAAACCGAAACCGAAACCGAAACCGTAACCGAGACGAGCTGTGAAAAAACCATGCGAACCCATTGATCTTCGGCGCTCTTTTTTTTCTTCTTTTGGTGACGCAGCCACGGTCACGATCACGTCATGGGCATGGGCAACCCCTGAAACTCTTTTTCTCTTTGGGTCAAAGTTCAACAATTAGTCAATTGGCATTAAACATTAAACACACTTATGAATAACCATTTTTACTTTTATATAAGATCCAAGCTCTATTTTAACTCTATAAATATATATGTTATACACATATATATTTATAACCGTTGTAGAGTAACGAATACAATATCGTTAAAAAGTATGTAAGAGGTAGAAGGAAGCGTTTCCGGCCCTATACTATACATAGTATATACTTGATCAGGATCAACAAATAACTTGAACTATAAAAGTCGAGATCTTGGAAACTATAAAAGCTAGAGATTAGGGATTTAAAATGTAGTTTTAGCTATGCCCAAGCAGTGCAAATTTATTTCAAAATGGGGCCACGCCCAAAAACACGATTATTTTCAGGGGCATATTTTTTCTTTTCTTCTAATTTTACATATGTTTAATTGTAAGAGTAAACTCCAAAAACTTTTAAACTGATTACATTTTTGATAAATCGAATTCGGTAATAGTTTATGAAATGAAGATTAAAAAAAAATCTGGGCCACGAATTAATTTTCGGTAACATAAATCTTCTTTTTATTTTTCCCACATATAAAACAATGTCGATTTTCTACCGTTGGCAAATCGACTTGCTTGTTCGCTTTTTGCAGTTATATGTCCCAATAAATTAACGTGATGGCAAATTTATTTAAATGGCTCAGCTGATTCACTATGAACACAATTAACTAGGCCCTAACATTACTTTTAAATTGATTATTGAAGCTAATTGATCACATGCAACAGTTGACGCTCACGAATAATTAAATTCAATCACGAATGAACCTCCACAAAAGAGAATATAAGTCTTCCAAAGCTTTTTGTGAAATAAATTCCTTGGAAAAATGATAAAAAAGTAAAAGCTTTAAACGCAGAAAGAATGAATACATTCTTAAACACTTGCTTATTTTAAGTAATTAATAATGAATTTAATGGATTAATCATACATGCTTGAATGACATTTTTCTCGGAATTAATTAATTAATACCTACTTCAAAACATATTTCACATTTACTATAATAGACCGAAATATTAAATTTCAGAGAAAAATGAGTATCTACATATATAAAATTTAATCAGGCGCATTTAATTATAATGACAACCTGCGAATATTTACTTCAAAATACAAAATAGGTCGAAAGCTTTTTGAATCAGCCAAAAGATCTTCATTTGTTTAAACTTGTTGAGCCAATAAATATGCAATATACCGAATTGCCAAGTATTTTAAACGCCAACAAAATATGCAACCTTTTTAAACACAAGTTTTTGCAAATGACGACTCACTCCGTCAAAGCTGGAACCTGTTTAAATTGGACCGAGAAAGGAATGGAATGTAAAGGGTTTCGTGACAGTCTCCGTTTCCGTTTCCGTTTCCGTTTCCGATTTGAAGTTCAAGTGGCGTGCTTACGGATTTTTCAGCCGGAAAAGATGTCCCACAGACATCCAAGATGCAATCGTGCGCGCATTTCTTTACAGAATTTCATCCGCGGTCGTCGAGGTCATCGAAATCGCTCTAATCGATTGAAAAATTCTAGAATTGATAAGACGACGCACTGATTAGCCACTTGGGATGAAATGAGGGCTTATCTCCCCCGGAGATTCTCAATGAATCCGCTTACCGGTTATGTGTTATACATTTAATTAGACAGCCGTCACAAGTGAATCAAATTGCCGTTTATTCGAAATCGGGAAAATCCCGGAAAAGTCTAATGAACTGTATGTTAAATGAATTTCAATCTGAGCACTGGCTTGTATAATGGATATTAACTTTATTAAAAACAAATTCAAACTGCTAATGATGATAACAAGTAACTCTTTTCTTTAAACAACTGTATGAGAACACAGTTTTTTCCCTGCGCTGGTAAAAATAATGTTTTTACTCAAACCGATAAGCTACCATCAAAATATACATAAGTAATATTAAAATTTGGCCATATTAATAAATTCGAACTAAAAGCACCTTGGGAATGCTTTATTTCTAGTTGTGAGTCATTCGTGCCCCAGTGCCCGACTGTCTGCATTATGGCTTTAATGGCATTGGATAATCGGCCGGAGCCAGCGGTGGAGCGATCCAAATCAAAACATAAACAAATTCTTAAAATTGAACTTTAAAATGCCAAAGCATGTAGAAATTTACAGCAGCGGTCGAATTAATAAAACCCTTTTAGGTTATTATTTATCAGCAATTAAATCATATCCGTATAATTCCATTAAATTTGTCTATATTTTTTTTTTAATTGTTGAAGACTAAAAATTTAAAATATAATTACAAATTATTCTTAACTAAAAAAATTAATTTTAATAATAAAGTTAAACATTTTCATTGAAAAAATAATATTTTTTCAATTGGAGCTATTTTTCTGAACACAGCTGTTCATGGGGGATATAAGTATTCAGGCTGATAGACAATAGGTCAGACGTCCATTCGTACTTCACACACACACACACACACACACTCACTGTGGGCCTATATTTGTTTCTTTTTGCATATTGCTATGAATCGTTGTTGTTGTTATTTTCTTAATTACCGCGAGGCGATAAGCACAGCATTGTAAAGTGCGTTTCATAGGTGTAAGCCCTATTATAATTTTAATATTATTAAAAAATTCTAAGTATTTACTGATAACATGAATGGTACTAAAAAAAACCAATGAACTTAATTTTTGAATGACTACCACTTTCTTGAAAGACATTTAAATTAATAGGATTTTTTTTATTAAAAATTAAATGAAACTAAGTAGATATACCTAAGTATATTGATGTAATTCTTCTTTTTTTTCGCATTTCTCACAGAAGGAAATGGCGATTTGAAAACACTTTAAAAAGTATTTAATTGTATGCCCCAAAAATCACGTCAATTTATTTCAGTTTGTAGATAAAAAAAAAATCTGAATGATCGTATAAATATCTATGAAACGCACTGTTAGTGGGCCAGTACGCATAAACATTCAGCAGATTCGAGTAAAAATTGTTACATTTATTGTAGAGAAAGCGCGCAAATGTCGTAAGTGTGTGATTTCATACAAATAAACACTGTACAATGTGTTTTTTAATATAAAAATGAAGAAAGATTAACTGCACGGACCTCAGTTGTGCGCCAAACTTTGCAAACGTCGGGCTACTTTTTTCTGCCGATCTGTTAATATATCGAAAATCCTCCAAAATGGAGTCACTCAACAAAGTGAAATATATAGTCCTGCTGACGTCATTGATCATTGCGGGAAGCCAAGCGGCATTGCCCTATCGCCGTAAGAAATGACTATTCTATTTTAGGACTAGTTTTTTAAATACATAATACATAATTTTACATTGACATTCATTTGTGGTTGCTGGAATAATGGTTGCTTTTCCCTTTGGCCAGCATATGTGTACGATCAGCAGTTCTGCATGGACACGCTGACGGGGCGGCAGCTTTACATAGGCGAGGTCTTCACGCGACAGGGCCAGTGCGTCCGTGTCCAGTGCCTGGAATCGCAGCAACTCTGGGAGGACAGGTGAGTTGAAAACATATCCTGCGAGTCAGAAAGCCACAAATTTAAATGTAAACCATTTTTGTAATGTTTTCGACGGGCCATACATACATATATCTTTGTCAAGAAAAGTCTGGACATAAATATATGACAAATGCCTAGAATTTTTTTTTTTAATTAATGAGATTTTGGGTTTTTACCAAAGGTTGTATTTTTATAGCCGGTAAGGATGTATTTAAAAAGTCAGACATCAATATATGACAAATGCCCAGTTCTTTTTTTTCAAAATAAGTGTTTTTAGGGTATTAAACCAAAGAATGTATCCGGTAAAAGGAGTTTATTTTTGACCCTATAAAGGTTTGTACTTTACTTTACTTTGTAAATCTGTGAATTTTGTTGCCACCGCAAATGGAAAAAATTCCTTTTTCTGTAGAAGCTGCAGTTTAACAGGTGTAGATTTATATCCTTAAAAATAAAGGTTGCGATAATTAGAGTGAATTTGGTATGATCGTTAAAAATAACCATAATTATTTGTGATTGATATGTTGTATCCCACAAAATTTAAAAAACATAGCATAAATGTTTTTCTACTACTCCCAGTTGCCAGGTGCCGAATCTGACTGAGGGTGATTGCCGACCAGTTGCGCCCCCGGGATCGAGTACGGAATATCCCCGCTGCTGCCCACTGTACGAGTGCAAGAGCTACGAGTCGTATGCCGGGGGAACCATGGAGAAGACCAACACATACGATCACTACGGAGCGCCGCGGGACTCCCGTATCACCGAGATGATAGTGATCGGACAGCGATCACCGGGTCCGTCGGAGCAGATTCCCGCAGCACCTGTGAAAAAATATCAGGTGTGAAAAGTGCCACGGAAATACCACTTAATGCCCACTGTGCTTCGCCTTGGTGTTGTGATTGTGTGAGCTTAGTTAGATTTAATACAGCTGTAATAGCTATGTTGGATGAATAAAACGAAAATTATTACAGAATAACCACTTATTAAGTATTTTTATTAAATAATAATAAATAATTTAAATTTTTGATTTTATTGAAATCAGGGTAACCATAACTCTTATTTTGACATTACATAACCGAATCGAGATTTAATAAGTCAACTACGATTTTACAATAAAATTTCTTCTGTAAAAAATTTTTAAACTGAAATGTGAAGTTTAAAACAATGTTTTTGGTGAATAGATATTTTTTAAGCGATTAAGCTCAGAACTGAGTTTTTTAAGGAAATAAAATCTACAATTTTTAAATTGTCGAAAATAGCGTATAAATATAGTATTTATTATGAATGAGAATTTGATAGCATGAATAGCATTTGAACTCAGCGCCCTATCGTTGCCCCTGTCGATTGTTGACAGCACTTATCGATATATTGCGTCACTCATCGATACTTTTTTCCCCGCACGCCAGCTGTCATCACTAAAACCGAATTGCTAGAAATTGCTACGAAACAACAAAGTATAAAAACGCATTAGCGGGAAACAGGCACAGTTATTTGGATAACACACAAAGGAAACAAGTAGAACAGCCCAAAATTCAAGCTAAATAGATAATCAGCCGAGGAGAATCAGTTGAAGTGCAACCGAATTTCATCACAACACCAGAATGTTGCTGCGTCTGGCACTTTCCGCCGCCCGTCCCGCCGGGAGCCTCAAAATCCTGGCCCAATCTCCGGCCCAGCTGCTCCGGCCCAATCCCAATCTCTCCGTGGTGCGCACCTACGCGCGCGGCCCAGTTCGCACCCGTGCTCCCGTGGAGCAGCAGCAGCTGAGGACTCCTTCGCTCAAGGAGAAGCTGATGGGACCACCGAGTGCCAATGGTAAGGTTATAGGTTGTCCGTTCTTGTGTAACCAATTCTAATCCCTCGCTGTCCGGATGTTTCAGCCTACTCCATGGGCAAGGGCGCTGCCGCCGGAGCAGCCGCCGTGGGACTGGGCGCCCTCTGCTACTACGGCGTGGGATTGGGCAAACACACCAGCATCGCCGACAATGCCATGTGAGTGGGTCTTGCATATGCAATGTTAACAGGCACCAGACCAAATAATAGTGCATATATTCAAGATGATGTCTTTCGAACCATTTTCATGAAATACCACAAAGCCTCAGATGCCGCAGTTTAAGTGGTAAAGATTTCATCCTATGGAAATATGTACATCTACATAGATGTGTTCTTTTAAAATATGATCATTTGCATGTCTTGCATGTACAGTGTCATAAAACATACATTCATGATAAAACTTTGTTTATGAAATACTACCAACATAATTCGAAACCATAGCTTTCATCAACTTTGGTCTATATGTATATGCACTCAAAACTTTACAAATTTTTTAATTTAATTTTTGTTAAGTCAATATGTTTTGCAAATCATTAGAAAGTTGGTTGATAAATGTTAACTTTAAATTTGTTATGGCTATTTATTTTTTTAATCTGCTATCCAATTTATTTGATAATTTCTTGAAATAGCTGTTTGTATCTGATACTAGACACATAAAATGTTGTTATATTGACAATTAATATTAACAGTTAACTGAAATAGTTTCCATTTCAGTCAAAACGTTGTTATATAAGCTCTTTATTTGATGTACATTGATATCTGTTTACTTTTCAAAATGCCTGAATTTAATTAAACCAAATTTTGAGGTCTTGCTAAAATTAATAGCGCTACCTAGATTCTAAATTGTCATAAAAAAATTGATTAAAATGATTAATTTATGGCATAAATACTATTTTCTCAAAACGATTTAGCTGCGTATTAAACAAAAGGATTATTAGATTTAGGTCTGTCGTAGTTTATACTTAAGAAGATAACATTTTTTGTAACTTTATACTTTATATTTACACTTTATATACACAACTTGGTCAACTGCAATCTTTGATCATTGTTAATCTTTCAATATGTCTAAATCCCAGCTTGTAAAACTGCAAAGCTTTTTGACTTTTTCGGTAATGCCATAAGCAGTATCTTAATTCACAAAAATAACTATAAATGTTAATTTATGGTATTCGCTTTTGTTTATGAAGAACAAGAAATCCATTTAAATTGTAAAAATGTCAAACTTACCATTTCCATCTTGCAGCATGTGGCCGCAGTATGTGAGGGATCGCATCCAGAGCACCTATGCCTTTTTCGGCGGCTCCTGCGTCCTGACCGCAGCCGCTGCTGCGGCCGTCTTCCGTTCGCACCGCCTGCTGGAGCTGGCCTCTCGTGGCGGCATTGTGGTGAGTCTCTCAAAACATCCTGTACATTCCACACCGGACACAACAGAACATAACGCAACCTTAACCCGAATAGGCGACCATTGCTTCGCTGGCGCTGGTCATCGGCAGCGGGGCGGTGGCCCGCTCCATTGAGTACCAGCCGGGCCTGGGGGCCAAACACCTCGCGTGGGCGGTGCACTGCGCCATCCTGGGCGCCGTTATCGCACCCCTCTGCTTCGTGGGCGGACCAATTCTCACGCGCGCCGCCCTCTACACGGGTGGCATTGTCGGTGGCCTGTCCACGATCGCCGCGTGTGCCCCCAGCGATAAGTTCCTGTTCATGGGCGGTCCACTGGCCATCGGCCTGGGCGTCGTCTTTGCCTCCTCGCTGGCCTCCATGTGGCTGCCGCCCACCACGGCGTTGGGCGCCGGTAAGTCTACAAATTAGTCGATAAATAAGCGAATTTCTAGTAGGGGTTTACCACCATTTTTGATTTCAAAATTTTGTTAACTAAAATGGGATGCCTCTTTTGGATGCTTAACTAACTTAAAGTACAATTTTTAACATTTCCTGTCGATATTTTTGAAAACTGACTCAAGAAATATTTTAAAACAATTTGTATATTTTTTAGGGACCTAAAAATAAGAATTTTTTTAAATTTACACATTTGTAATGATCCTAGAAAAGAATGCGTTACACCAAAATCATTTTTTTTGTGTCTAAACAATGCATACAAATAACAATGCAATGGTAAATCATTTTCTATATTCTTTAATGCAAATAAAGATTGATGAGTCATTTAAAAAAAAACAAAATTAAACACAAAAATAATGATTATTCAAGATTTTTATTTTATTGGACAAAGTAAAATTCAATTGTACTTCACTTCTGTTTTGTTAGATTTATCAAAATCGTTTCATAGCCTTGTAAAGAGATCACTTAGCTAGTAGCAAAGAATTCATATTAAAGACCAATTTTAAATTAAAATGCTTATAAAATATGTTATTTTAGATGATATATTGATAGTATAAAATAGCTTTTATAGCTTAAAATGTATAAAAATCTGCCAATTTTGGCTTTGCAAGTGGTGGTAACCCCTTAAACTTACTTTCCGCAGGTCTGGCCTCCATGTCCTTGTACGGTGGTCTCGTCCTGTTCAGCGGATTCCTGCTCTACGACACCCAGCGGATGGTGCGACGTGCTGAAGTTCATCCCCAGTATAGCTACACTCCCTTCGATCCCATCAACGCGTAAGTTAATAACTCGTTTTTGCCATGCTGAAATCCATTTAAATGTGCCAATTTCTTTCAGCTCAATGTCGATATATATGGACGTGCTGAACATATTCATCCGCATCGTCACTATTCTGAGTGGTGGTCAGCGCAGGAAGTGAGCACTGAACGATAACATGTGATGCAAGCATATATTGTATATTTATACTGTTGTTAAAATAAACCGACCGAGTTGATAAGCAGCATGTAAAACCTTGTGTTTTTCTAGCCAAATTTGTATTATGTTGGGCTAAACAAAGCTGGATTTTTGATTTTATTTGAAGTCCTATAAAATCATATATTCTGACTCTTCAGATTGAAAATAAAGACAAATTATTACAAAGCATATTTTTGTATATTATTTTTAAAGATAGTTTTGAATCAACCTTATTTGGAAAACACCTTTTCATGTAAATATATATATATATATTTTCATATAAATCCAAGTAAGGGGTATTTTAGTTTAATAAACAGTCCTTAAATATTGTACTTGGTTCTTAAATAAGACAAATATCATATATTTTCAAAAGTTGCCAGGTGTGAAAATGTCTTTTTCGTAATTATTGAGCTTTTAACCGATATTTACCATTATTAGAGCTGGAAAAGCTGTTATCGATAGCTGAAAGATAACATAGATAATAAGATACTAGTTAATAATTATTTTTAACTTGTTCATATGATAATTTGGCAAACTATTTTCTAATATTTAAACTTCGATGGCAGAAGAAATTTGTAACTGCGATTCATCGATAACATATCGATATTTCATGCAGCTTTTTTTTTTTGACAGGACCAAGCATATAAAATGCCAGGAATTATTTAAATTTTTCAAGTTGAGCAGCTTGGCAGTTGTAAATCAGTTGTCCAAGTTTTCCGCAATCCAAGTGGCTGTGAGGAAAGTGTCGCACCAATTGACCAAATCTAAACACTTGACAAACATTCTCCTGCCTTGAAAACACAGCTCACATTTTGGTAATAAATAATAATACAATATAACGAAAATAGTGCAAGTAGTTTATACAATATTGGTTAATTTTCAGGTTCAATTGATTGCCAGGAGGTATTCAAATAAATCTCGATTGCCGTTTCCACCTGAGACAGGTGAGTTTTCCTATGGGGATGTGTTGCAGGAGAATGAGGAGGAGGAGGTGGAGGTGGTGGCCAGACACATGGCCGCGCCCTTAAAGCCGGCAAATCGATTTCTTTATAACTCACTTTAAAACACAATAGATTAATCAACATTACTTACCCAAAACAGCTGCCATTGGAAGTCCAGCGCGAGGGGAACAGAAGCAGACAGGTCAACTGATTAGCAGGGCCAATCCTGGCCAGAAAACCGACATGGAGCGTCGCTACCTGAAGAATCCCTTTGCCGATTTCGCCGGCGGGGAGAACACACCGTTTGCCAGCGACGAGGAGCATCTGAAGAACCTGATCTGCACCTATGTGGACGCCATTCTGGAGCACTGTCATCCGAACAGCGATGAGGAGGACAACCGTGGCGATCTGTATGTGGGCAATGCGGGCATAGCCTTCATGTTCTGGAAGCTGAACAGCTGTGAGCAGACGCGCGATCTCTATCCGGCCCTGGAGCATGCGGCCGCCTTCATTCGGAACGCCAAGTCGAATGCCAAGCGGTACAAGAAGCGCTCTGCCGAACGCTACTCCTTTCTGTGCGGCAATGCCGGGATCTATGCCGTCTCTGCGGCCATCTCACAGGCGGTCAAGGACACCGAGGAGCTGTCCAACGATCTGGCCAACTTCAAGTCGGGCATCCCGTCCAGCAAGGAGTTCATGCACACCAAATACGGCTGCGACGAGGTGCTGGTGGGCCGGGCTGGCTATCTATCCGGTTGCTATTGGCTGAACGATGTGCTGCCCGAGAAGAAGATCACCGACGACGACCTGGTCTCCATTTGCCAACTGATCGTGACCAGCGGGCGGGAGTACAGCAAGCTGAACAATTCGCCATGCCCGCTGATGTACCAGTACCACGGTACGGAGTATCTGGGCGCCGCACACGGACTGTGTGCCATCCTGCACATGCTGTTGGACAGCCCCTGGTTCCGCACCATACCCATTTCGGCACCGGCTGCCGAGCTGCGTGACATTAAGCGCTCCATTGACTTCTTCCTGGAGCTGCAGGACGAGGATGGTAACTTTCCGGTGGCACTGGAGGATCTGCGCTCGGGACGGGACAAGCGCCTGGTGCACTGGTGCCATGGGGCACCCGGCGCCGTCTATGTGCTGGCCAAGGCCTATCTGATCTTCAAGGAGGATAAGTACCTGGTCTCGCTGCGCCGCTGTGCGGACCTGGTCTGGAAGAAGGGATTCCTGCGCAAGGGTCCGGGCATCTGTCACGGCGTGGCCGGCAATGGCTACGTCTTCCTGCTCCTCTTTCGGCTGACCAACGAGATGAAGTACCTGTACAGGGCGCACAAGTTCATGGAGCTGCTCACCGATGCGGAGTTCAAGTTGCGAGCCAGGACACCAGATCGTCCGCACAGTTTGTATGAGGGCGTGGCCGGCACTGTCTGCTTTCTGGTGGATCTCCTTGAGCCGGAGCAGGCATACTTCCCATTCATGGACGTATTTCACTAGGTGACAAGGACCAACACACACACACCCACACACACACACACCCACACAATGCTCAACAGCAGCAGCACCACCATGCGACTTTCAAATCAGGGAGAGTTACTCATCATTTCTAGTCACTTGTTTGCCGATTCTTCATTGTTGCCTTTGCATTAACGTTGGAGTGGAGGATGCTAGATGCTAGTTACTAGTGCTTAGCAGCTAGATCCAGTTGAAGTCCGATACCGCATGCAGGATTGTTTTTAGCCATTCTCATATCAAAATTCTCTGTGCTTTACGCTAAGCAATTAACTTAATACATTGATACTTATATACACAGACATATTACATATACATTATATTTATATACAATTTATATTATATATATATATATATACATATATTAATATATATATATATATATATATACATACTTGCGCTGACATCTATATACAGACAAAAACATAATACTTAAAATGCATAGTGTGCTTTATACCTACGAGTAATCCACGAAGAGCTCCAAATCTATTGTCAATGAGAATCAAATAAATCATTGTGCTATTTTATACAGATATGTACAATCCTGTGGCCACGTTCGATGGTTATACGGGTGAATACCCCAGAAACAAGGCTTTTATTTCATCCCTCTCGAGTTGACAGCTGTATGATGGATTGGGAATTCCATGGGGGAACTGCCATTGAAAGCAGAGAAATTATAGATGAAAAAAGGCACTTTCACTGATTAAAAAACTCAAATATTCACCTCATTGAAACGTAATACTTTTAACGTTTCAATGAATTCTTTATTTTGTATACGTTCTTTACTTAGTTTTCATAAAGATGAGATAATAAATGGAACCTTGAATTTTATTTAATAAAATAAGCAAACATCGGTTACATCCACTAAATTATATTTTCATTGTCTTAATTATCTATAAAGTAATTACCTAGAGTTTTAGTATTTATATATAAATATATATATTTACACTGGACAATATTTATTTTGATGGCATACAATAATTATATTAATAGTAATTTAGAAATGCTTTGGTTGTACATAGATAACATTTAAATATTATAAAATTAACGAAACAAAAACTTATATGACTATCACTACGATGGCCTTAAATATTGATGCAATTTTATATACATATTCTTATTTTATCATTTGTTCCGTTTAGTTATAGCTATTTGCTGGCTTATACAATTGTCAAAATAACTATTTAGAAACCTCATTTTGTGCAAATCAATAAAATTTCGTTGTTCATTTCACATTTTTTAATCGTGGCAAACCGCAAAACAGAATTATCTGTCATATCTGAAGTGCCTTGGCTATAGCCCAAGAACTGATTAAAATCTGGTTTATCAGCGCCTAACTCACCTGATATGATTCTATATCTATATCTTACTTCCATCTTTGATTAGCGACCTTTCAATGGGCTGTGCTGATTGCTTGATGGGTTTTCAAGTGAACCAACTCACCGATCGGTGAGACATAACTTTGGCCTTAAGTAATCCCTTGGCAATACTCATAATCTAAATGTAACCTTGAATCTTGAGTGCGTATAATGGGATTGGAAAAATCCAAAGGGGGGTGGAGTAGATACTATGATTATGGGATTGAAGTGGCGATAGAGGATATTGTGGCCATATAGCCCAAATCATATACCTAGATAGCGCAAGGATAAATGGGTTTCGTCTGCCGCTTAATTTGTTTTTGTGGTTAACCATCAGGTGTAATAAACCAAATCGGTCAGCGACTATATCTATATGGCTGAGCCAGAGCCAGAGCCATGAGGTGCCTCCGTCCAGGTCCCACGTTCATATATTTTGTGTGTGCCAGAACGTAATAAAAACACGCGGTTCGGATGCAGCTGGAGGATTAGGAGGAGGTTGGGGGCTCATGGCCCACTTGAACCCGTAAGTGGCAAGCATGTGTAACATGTGTCAGTGAGTGAGTATCACCGGAGTAGCACCCTCCGTATCCGTTTCCTCGTATCTCGGCCATACGGCTTATCGGCGATCAATGAGTGCATATCATTAAGTGCCCCATACACTGTACGTAGTTTATTCAACTTTGGGAGAAGTAAATGTGGAATAAACCTTGTTTCTAAAAATAATTTAAAAATTAAGTACTGCAACGCAGAGAAAAATCTGGTAAATTCAAATATTTTCACTTTGAATTAAAAAAAATATTTAAGCTTCAATTTAATTATTGGAAATTATTGGGTGTAGCTATAATAATTTCAAGCTAATTGCAAACTGTTTTGCACAATTTATGACTATAAATTAGCCAAAGCTCATATTTTAAAGTTTTAAAATTAGAGGTTCGCACACTTACAATGTGTAAGTGAAATAAATTAAAGCTTTTTCTATTTTTATTTACATGATGAAATCGTTACTCTGCATATTTTGACTATTTTGTAAATTGTTTGTTAAGCAAAGACAACATGACGTATGAGTAATATACATACAAGCCTTTCAATAGAATTCATTTATGTGATTACTGATCTCAATAAATATAGATACTGAGATTTAAGTTTTAATAAAATGTATTAATATATTTAAATATTAATTTTAAATTGCAATATTTTTTTAAACTGACTAAAAAGTTTTAAAGCAACAATATTTTACTCAAAAAGGCAATACATATTTACTTTCCAAAGCAAAAAGATTTGAAATATTTATAATTTATATTAAATTAAGAAAACAAAAAAGACAAAGTTTTAGAATTATACTTTTAAAGTGTGTTCATTGCATTGATTATTGTAATATATCATTTCTTCGTTGCATGAAAAATATTTGAAAATCTAATTTGGAACAATTATAGCATTAATTAGTCCTTAAATTTTTTTTGGAAACACTTCTCGAATCAATGGGCCGTATCCGGCGAATGCAGGCCGAGAATGAAGTACATTTTCGGCTTATCAGAGAGAGGGGCACCGTACCGTTGGCCAGATCTCCGATCTCAGGGCCCGAAATCGAAATCTAAAGCGAAACCCACACCGAAACCCATTCAGAATTCGCAGGCGTCGCATTGCTGGCGTTTTTGGCCATTCAGTTGCCTTATCGACGGCCATCGGGCTGGGTGTACTTACACCTGAATATACTTTTCATTGTTTTTTTTTTTGTCGCCCCCCCCCCGGTGAATATTAATTCGAAGTGCGGTTGGAGAAATGGCAGCCCGAATCGTTTGCTTGTTGTTGGCCGTGATTTTGGTGACGGTGGCACCTTTGGAGGCTGCCAAAAAGGAGGGCTTCCCCGTGTCCATCATTCACATTAACGACCTGCACGCTAGGTAAGGCGAAAAACCCCCGTAGCCTGAGCAACTACACAGAAGAACATTTTTTGTCTTTTTTGTTTTTTTTTTTATTAATCAAACAAAAACACCTCTAAGCGAGAAAATAAGTCGTGACGATCGCACCTTCAACATATAAAATAACTGATATCAAATTTTGTGACAAAAAATGAATAAGCATTCGACTAAATAAATATAATTTTCAATGTTTCCTTTCGGACCGCTTCATCCAGGTATTTTGCCTACACAGGAATTTTTTTATGTCAGCGTGACGAATGGGAATAAAATTTAAACTGTGTTAAAAAAGTGGACTATTTCACCAACCCAAGCCCCTTCTCCTCAACCAATCAATACTCCTAAATTAATATTAATATTATCGGGCCATCACAGCAAATTTTCAAATCTGCGGCTTTATAATAGTTGTCTTGGTGCCTTTCGTCACTACATGTTCTGTCGTCCATAGAGATATTGTTTTATTTAGAATCTGTCCTCCAATGGGATAAACACTAAATTTGAAGTAAGAAATAATACTCGACTTGATGAAATTCCGTATTAATTTGGTGTCTTACTGTGATACCCTTACGTAATAAAAACTTTACGTTGTTCAAAAATACAAGTGATACACGTTTGTTGTCCTCTGAGAATCTGAGAATTGTTACTTTCAATTTTTCACTGTGTAATCAAATTGAATCGAAACGGTTTATGGTCAAGACTGGGCCGTAAACCATGGCGTATCAGGCCCACATATTGATTCCGATTCCGATTTCGATCCTGATAACGATACATGGGCCACGAGGCCACACGAGCCCACTCCAGAGTTAATCCCCGCTTGCGATTTCTTTGATTCTCGATTGCCAACATGATCATGATCATGATCATCATTATCCGCAGGTTCGAGGCCACCGACACGTCAGGCGGAACGTGCGACGAGGGTGAGGAGTGCATCGGCGGATACCCGCGAACCGTTCACACCGTGAGGCGACTGCTCCGGGAGCAGGCGGAGCTCAATCCCATCTACATCAATGCTGGCGACAGCTTCCAGGGCACCCTCTGGTACAACATCGGTCGGTGGAACGTTACCCAACAGCTCCTGAACCTCCTGCCCGCCGACGCCATGGTAGGTGCTCCTCTTAGTCACCATGGCATAGTTTAAATATCAAATATTCTGAATATTAATTCAAAAGTTATTTCAATTAACATTAAAGTATATAATATCATATATATTATTTAATATTCAATTATTACAAATTATGTGGTACAAATTTGCTGCTATTTGTTTAAAATGCCTTAAATTAAGCAAATGAGTCATCCTGAATTTTAGAGACACGTAATTGAATTGACTTCAAGTAGAATGACTCGGTTAAGCTGATAATAAGCATTATTTTTATGATACTATTTATAAACAGATCGACCAAACAAACAGGTGCTGTGACATTGAATTCCCAACCTGAAAATGAAAAACATTGGATTTTGTGTAGCTTAATTTGTATTAGTTAATAAACATAATTTAATTGATTTTATATATAATGCAATGAAAAACAATATTTTCATCAACAATTTTTTGTTCATTCAATGCGCAATCTTGTGAGCAAATGTACTAAACTTATTCTTAACTTTGAGTCAGAACTAAGCAAATGTTTCGAAAACCATTTCAGACGCTGGGCAACCACGAATTCGACCACGGAGTGGAGGGCGTGGTGCCCTTCCTGGAGGCGGTGGACACCAACATGCTGGTGGCCAACATGGACTGCGCCCACGAGCCCACCATGGAGGGCAAGTACAACAAGTCGATGATCATCGAGCGGTCGGGTCGCAAGATTGGACTGATTGGCGTCATCCTGGAGACGACCTACGTGAGTAGAGATCCCTGAAAGCGGCACAATGACTTAACCATATGGTGCCCTCGACCAGGATCTGGCCAACACCGGCAAGGTGATCTTCCGCAACGAGAGCGACACCATCCGCGAGGAGGCACAACTGCTGAAGTCCCAGGGCGCCAACATAATCATCGTGGTCTCGCACTGCGGCTACGACGTGGACAAGGAGATCGCTGCCAATGCCGGCGACTGGATCGACGTCATCGTGGGCTCCCACTCGCACACCTTCCTCTACACGGGCACACCGCCGGGTCCGCACCGCCCCGTCGGCGACTACCCCACCGAGGTGGTCCACAGCTCCGGCCACCGCGTCCTCATCGTCCAGGCGTCCGCCTACGCCCGCTACGTGGGCAACCTGATCGTCTACTTCGACGACAACGGCGACGTGCTGGACTTCGAGGGCGACCCGCTCTACATGGACCACTCCGTGCCCGAAGGTCAGTACACAGAAAGAAATGGCAATGTTTCGAATCTATATTTTCATATCAAATCACAAAGGCAAAAAAGGTCATTCTCAAATAACACAATAGTCAAAAGATTAACAGAAAAATTGCAGTCCCTTTAATATTATTATTATTATTATATATTTTTTAACATTTACCCACATTTTAAGTATACCAAATTCAATAATATTAATACAATAAAATACAATAAAAATGTAATTTCTTAAACTACGTGATAAAAGTAATTTAAAAATACTGTTCAGTTAATTGCACCTTTTATTTTATAAATAATTATTAATTCACATTTTGAGCAAATCAAACTAAAAGTTCAAATTTATTATTTTTTAATCTAAAATTTCTGCGTGGGGTATTGTTTTGGCATAATCATTTGCTTAAAATTACTCAGCATTTCAAGTTGACACAATAATTTTTCACCAGTCACGCCCGATTAAGGCCAATAATAATAGTGCCTACAATTAACATACGTTTTCAAGTACATAAAAATAAGGCTATCAGTCAATAAATTTGTACCGAGGATTTTCCAATTTTATAGAACGAAAAATCTTATCCTTAACTGCTTTATAATTCTTAAGTGGTTATTATGCTGGCTTCTTTGTTTATGCGTTTGTGCCTATCTCAAATATATTTGTATTTAATTTTTTTTTTGTGTTTTATGTTTTTATTTGTTTACTTATGAGCTTGTTTTTTTTCTGTGTTATCCAAGTGAATGGCAAGGAGTGTACTTATAATATATAATACATATAATATGTTGTGATTATCGTTGTTTGTTTATTTATGTTGTTTAAAACCAAGCTTTTTAAACGTGTTTTATGTGAAAGTCCTTCGACAAAATTGTTTTACTGGAGTGTCTTGTGTGTTTGTGCGCAGATGAGGAGGTGCTGGAGGCCATGCAGCCGTGGAAGTTGATAATCGACGAAAAGGGCAAGGTGGTAGTGGGCAGCACGAAGGTGGACCTTACAAAGGACGACTGTGCCGCTGGAGAGTGTAACCTGGGCAACTACTTCTGCGACGCCATGGTGCACGCTGTGAGTTGGAATCCCTGCTCTAAAATTAGTTATAAGACAACACTTTACATCCCTTGTTTTAGTTTGTGGGAATGGCTCCATATGACCAGAAGGCCTGGACAAATGTCTCCGCCGGACTCATGAACATCGGAGGACTTCGCGTGCCGCTCCTAAGAGGCAGTGAGTGCAATAATAAATTATATTAAATTTTTTAGGCAGACACTTTTCCTTTTTTAGTTGATTTACAAGTCAAATCTTAAAGTAACAATCCAAATTTCTATTCATCTAAATTTTCAGTAACTTAAGCATTTATATATACAACATTCTTATGGATTAACTAGTTTTTTATATAAATTCCAAAATGTATAGTGCAATGGCAAAATGCTTAAAAAATTGTTTGGTTTTCAAGCTAAATTTTAATTAAAGACTAGTTTTGAGCCATTTACTTTTCAACTATACTGAGTTTTTTTATAATAAATAAAATAAAATATCCTTCAAAATGGTTAATTTTGACCACAAAAAAATATTCGACATTTTTTCATTAACAAGACTAGATTTCTAAGGATCAGCACTAAACGATGTAAACTGAAATGTAATCGGTTTTAATCACACCAATTTGCATACCTTCCACAGACCTCACCTATGCCCACATAGTCAGCATGTCGCCATTCGAGAACACGCTAGTGGCCTACAATCTGGCGGGCAGCAAAATAGTGGAGGCGATGGAGTGGGCCGTTGGCAAGGTGGACCTGGAGAACGGGGTCTCCGGATCGTACATCAATCTGCAGTTCTCGGGCATTCGGGTGAAGTACGATTACACCAAGCCAATCGGATCGCGAGTCGTCTCCGTGGCGATGCGTTGTGCGGACTGCGAGGTGCCCAAGTACGAGCCACTGGTATCCAACAAACTATATCGCCTCGTCTCGCCCAACTTCCTGCAGGCGGGCGGCGATGGATTCACCATGCTCGCCGAGGGCACAGACCTAGAGTACGTACAACCCAACTAATCTCAAGATCGTATGAGACCTAAAAATGTATTGCTTTAAATTCAAATATTCGACACTGGTTAAACAAAATGTGGTAAATCAAGCTCAAATATCAGCTTTTGCGGTTTAAAGTTATTTTAAATATGGAAAAATCCAAACCAAAAAAATTAAACCTTAATTTGACTATTCTTTGGATATCTAAAAATATATTTATATTTAATATATTATATTAAACCTTAATTAATTCATGTATTCGTTTTTAATCATTGAATTCATTTAAAACAAATAGGACCCAAATTTAAATCTAACATATTTTAGATTCATTAATAAATATTGTTATATATATAGTCTTACAATTTGCTATGCATTCGATTTAATATTATTATTAATTTATTTAATTAACTTAAATTTACTTTATGAAATTAACAAATTGGATTCAATATCCAGATATTTATTTTCATAATTTTCACAATTATATTCCTAGAAATTTCGATAGTTAAAAAAAAAAAAAGGTAATTCCACTTATTGTTATGTTTTGCTTGCAGGTGGGGAGTCACTGACTTGGATGCCCTGATCTCGTATGGCCAACACACCAATCCCATCTATCATGGTCGCGAGGGACGCATCACTGTGCTTAACTGATCACGGAATTCAAAATAGCTTTGTTCTGCCAATTTGTTGCATTTGTCCCCCAATAAACTTTCCACAAAAATTTGAAAACTTTCTTTTCTTTGGGTACACTAAGTTAATGTTACTAAAAAGATATTAATTACTTTATAATTATATTTTAGGAATTGGGTTCCCATGAATTTGGTTCTTGAAATCTGATTGAGTTGGTTATTGACATGATCTCGAGTCGGCCAAACTCTAAATTGAAAATTAAATTACATTTTACAAAATATTGCTTTAATCCTAATATTCTTCAAAGATGAAGACGTTCTGCGGGCTATGGTGCCGTGGCAAGATGTGATGGAGCCCCTAGCCAATCGAGTCGTGGGTCAGAGTAGGGTCTTCCTGGAGCAGAGCACCTGCAACCGTGGAGAGTGCAATCTGGGGAACTTCTTCACCGATGCCACTCTACATGCGGTAAGTGGGGATAGTTTGTGCGTATTTGTTAAACTAAATCCCCGCGAAAATCCCCAGTTCATCAAAGATGCATCGTACATTGATGGTAACTGGAGTAACGTGACCATGGCCCTGACATCGCCGGGAACCTTCCGAGTGCCCATTCCTGCTGGCAGTGAGTTTGAGCTACTTAAGTCTTTAAAGATATGTATATCATTAGTTTATGAATGGGAATCGATACTTGGTTAATAATCGCTGTTCGCATAGTAAAAGGAAAACGAGAAGAAAAGGTTTTCGACCATAAGAGTATTTAATATGAATATTAAAGGCTCTCGTTTCAACACATATCTTATGGAAATTATTTCATTAGCTGCCTGAATATAGACATTCGCGGAAATCCAAATTAAGTATTGATAATCAATTCAAAATTAAAAATAGGCTTTATAATTTCTACATTTCTAAATAATTATTAAGAGTGGGAGATTATTGGAAAATTTTGTAAGTAAAGTTAAAATATTTTTATAGAAGTATACTTTTTTAAAACTTCTATATTCTGTGATTAAAGGATTTAATTTGTAATTTTAGTTGTTTGAAGCTTATTTTCATTGCCCATCCTAGAGCTTCCATATGTTCAATTATATATATACTACCACTTACATTCAATTTTTCTTATTCCTTTTATCTTGCTGATATATGAGCTAATCAAATCATACAGAAGAATTCTGTACTTTAAACATACATATGTAATTGTAAAAGTTCATGTTACGATTAAACATAAGTTTAGAATTAATTTTTTTTAAATGTTATTAATTAATTTATTTATTCCTTACCACAGACATTACCTACAAGCAGTTGTTTGCCATGTGCCCTTGGCAGAATCGATTGATTGCCCTAACTCTTCGCGGAGAGCACATTCTGGAGCTGCTGGAAAACGGTGTGGCGTCCATGAATGCCAGCTCGCCTTCGCCATGGTCCTCCCGATTTATGCAGGTTTCCGGACTTCGAATCATCTTCGATCTCAGGGCCAGCGTTGGTCAGCGCGTCTCCAGTGTCCGAGTTCGCTGCTCCAAGTGCCAGGTGCCCGGCTACGTGCCACTCGATCTGAAGGAGAAGTACCGCGTGGTGGTCATGGACTACCTGGCGAGTGGCAAGAACGGCTTCAGTGTAATCAGCGACAATGCCGAGGATCTTGAGTAACTATTACACTTAAAGTACAATGGAATTTAAGCCCTGATTAACGAACTCACTTGTTTTCAGAGTGGGTCCTTTTGATTTGGACGCCTTAATGGACTACATGAGCGCAGTGGGACCGATTACCACTGGAATCGAGCATAGGATTCAGATTGTCAATACGTAACTTTGGTTCACCAATGTCCGTTGTTTCAGCAGTGTAAATGTGTAATATATTAAGGGGTATGGTATTAGCTAGCTTTTAATTAAAGCCATTACCATGTTTTTATTTTTAGGAAAACAATTGTTTTTTCCAAATAAAATCAAATTAATAAATAATTACTAAATATAATTTGTTTTAATGCAAGTAATGATAGCTGATAATTTATTTAACATTTTTCTTAATCGCCGTCGAAAAACCCCTACATCTAAAGGGAAAGCCCCTAATTTAAATTCAAACTATGGTGACTAAAGTGTGACCGTTCATGGACAGGCTCAAATTCCGTTCAATTATAATATATACCGAATGTACTAAGACGCCTATTGTTCCTTAATTGTTCTAAAACAATCGATAGTCACTTCATAGTTCGAAATTCAACATCGTCGTTTTTGTAATGGCAATGTTAAACCTTCGTTTACTAACAGAAATCTTAAGTCGTAATTTTCCGAACATAAATGTAAGGGCACTCTGTAAGGAAAACTATTATTTAACATTTCTGTTAGGAAATCGATGATGAGAGGTGGGGAACATCAATGTAACCGATGATTTGAAACATCGATGACTCGATTGTGGCATCGAAGTTTCTATCGACGTTCCCCCATCTCTACTGGCCATCTCTAAGTCACATTAAGGTTAGGATTGTGCGCACATTTCGAAGCGAGTGAAGTGAGCTTGTTGTTTTACATCAAATAGAATCGGAAGCATTCGTTTAACTGTCTTGTTAATATTTCGCAGTACCAGTTTAATTCACAGTAAGTTTTAATTGACTTCCAGCGCCTGCATATTTCCCGTTTTCCCACCTGCGGTTTAAGTTTGTGTGTGGGGTGTGTGCGTTTGTGTGTTTGGCGATTATATAAGAGGGGACAATCTGGCAGATAGCCGGCAAACCGTGTTTCCAGAAAGTTCTACTCATTGATTAATGGAAAGAGGATGATTTCTTCATCCTATTAACTTGTTAAATCTTAATTTCTCGTAATCACCTTAATGCACACACACAAACGCACTCTGGAAAGTAAAGTAAAAGTCCAATAGGAAAGCGCACATGTTTTCCACTGCTTGCCGGCAATCGAAAGCAATTTCACATTTATCAGGGGCATTGCATGTGCTGCCCTTCTCGGGAAAACTTCCCCTCGCCTTGGCCCATCTTGGGATTATTGAATAACAGTCCCTCCGATTTGGGTGTATCTATTTTTCCCTCGGCTGGTTACATAAATCGTTTCTTCTGGAATGCTCGGTGTTGAGATGCCTTTGTTGTTGCCACCGTCGTTCGTTCCAGCGGGAACTGGAAGGGGGCCTGGCCGGTACAGAGGAACCTCGTTGATAAAAAAATAAAGATGATTAGATCTCTAGAAAACAGTTTATAGAACATTAATTTTAATTTATTTATATTTCATAGCGCGACAAGTGAGTACTCAAGTACATTGAGTAAAACTAAATTTCATTTTATAAAACAAGATGTTTTGTTGTTATCTTGTAGTCTAGAAAAGTTCTTTCTTTTTTTATTTAAACAAAACTGCTTAAAAATTGGAAACATTTATTACATGAAAAATTTCATCATTATATCAGATAATTAAGCAGTTATGTATGTTCCCATGTTTACAATACCATTACTTGTATGTGCACGTTTTTTTTTGTTTTAAAGTTAAGTAATGTGTTTACACATATTAACCAAATTTAAGTGTGTGAATTTTGAATTTTGGAATATATAAACCTTTGAGTATGTAAATTTTAACTAAACTTATGTAATTTCCATAATTTTTTCTTTCTAAATTTATCTGTTTTAAAATATTTTCAATAGAACTTGCTTTAGTTAATCAATAATTTTTTAATAATATTTTTAAGAATACAAGTCTAAATGATTTATAAATTATTAAAAAAAAAAATTAGCTAACTCATTTCAAATTTCAAATAGTTTATGTAACTTTGTATAATTTTTATGAACAATTCAGTCTTTACAGCATTGCCAAGCTATTTTTAAACTAAATAGTAGCAGTTGAAATAATTGTCAAATATTTGAGAGCATTACAGCTAGCATTTTGGTAGAAGCAAGTACAATCCGTGTGTAAAACATCGATTTTTCCAAAAAGATTTTTACTTATTTTTTTCAAAAATTTTCCATTTAACAAAGACGAAGAGAATTTAGTTTCGTACTTTGACCCACTTAAAGCGCTTCCCTTGCTTATCAACTATCAACTGAAAAGGTACGGGGTAAACAAGACAAAGACACCAAATCTTTGCGGAACTCTTGGTCGGAGCACGTGCTCCGTGTCGGCCCACGATCCCAATCTGTTGAACCTGACTAATCCCTAATTTGCTTCTTACCCGCAGATGTTCCGTTTGCCTGTTTCGCTTGCTCGCACCTCCATCAGCCGCCAGCTGGCCATGCGCGGCTATGCCAAGGACGTGCGATTCGGTGCCGAGGTGCGCGCCATGATGCTGCAGGGCGTCGATGTGCTGGCCGATGCGGTGGCCGTGACCATGGGTCCCAAGGGCCGCAACGTGATCATCGAGCAGTCGTGGGGCTCGCCCAAGATCACCAAGGACGGCGTGACGGTGGCCAAGTCCATTGAGCTGAAGGACAAGTTCCAGAACATTGGCGCCAAGCTGGTCCAAGATGTGGCCAACAATACGAACGAGGAGGCTGGCGACGGCACCACCACCGCCACCGTTCTGGCGCGCGCCATTGCCAAGGAGGGCTTCGAGAAGATCTCGAAGGGCGCCAATCCCGTCGAGATTCGTCGCGGCGTCATGTTGGCCGTGGAGACGGTGAAGGACAACCTAAAGGCCATGTCGCGCACGGTGAAGACACCCGAGGAGATCGCCCAGGTGGCCACCATCTCGGCCAACGGCGATCTGGCCATCGGCAATCTGATCAGCGAGGCCATGAAGAAGGTGGGACGCGATGGCGTCATCACCGTCAAGGACGGCAAGACCCTCAACGACGAGCTGGAGGTGATCGAGGGCATGAAGTTCGATCGCGGCTACATCTCGCCCTACTTCATCAACTCGTCCAAGGGCGCCAAGGTGGAGTTCCAGGACGCCCTGCTCCTGCTGTCCGAGAAGAAGATCTCTTCGGTGCAGAGCATCATTCCCGCCCTGGAGCTGGCCAATGCGCAGCGCAAGCCGCTGGTAATCATTGCCGAGGACATCGATGGCGAGGCCCTCAGCACCCTGGTGGTGAACCGCCTGAAGATCGGCCTGCAGGTGGCCGCCGTGAAGGCTCCCGGATTCGGGGACAACCGCAAGAGCACCCTCACCGACATGGCCATCGCCTCCGGCGGCATTGTCTTCGGCGATGATGCCGATCTCGTTAAGCTGGAGGACGTGAAGGTCAGCGATTTGGGACAAGTGGGCGAGGTGGTGATCACCAAGGATGACACACTGCTGCTGAAGGGCAAGGGCAAGAAGGAGGATGTGCTGCGTCGCGCCACCCAGATCAAGGATCAGATCGAGGACACCACCTCGGAGTACGAGAAGGAGAAGCTGCAGGAGCGCTTGGCCCGTCTGGCCTCGGGCGTGGCCCTGCTCCGCGTCGGCGGCTCCAGCGAGGTGGAGGTCAACGAGAAGAAGGACCGCGTCCACGATGCTCTGAACGCCACCCGTGCCGCCGTCGAAGAGGGAATCGTTCCCGGAGGCGGCACCGCTCTGCTGCGCTGCATCGAGAAGCTGGACTCCGTGAAGACCTCCAACGAGGATCAGGTGAGAATCATTTTTTTTCCCCCACCTCCCCCTTTTTATACCTTTGCAGAGGGTATTATAATTTCAGTAAGAATTTAGCAACGACCCAATAAAGTATAAGTATATATCCTTGATCAGCATCACTGGGATATAGTTTGTCAGTCCTTCCGTCCGTAACGAAAGCATATAGCTCCCATAGGAACAATCGGGAAAAATAAATGAAAAATACTATATCTGTTCTTTTAAAATTTTTTTTTCTGTACTTCGAGTTATATTATTAGTTTAATATTTGCGAATTCCGATATAAATTACATTAAAATCGCCCGAAAAAAGCTCCCCTGGAAACAAAATATATATAAAAAAAACAAAATTATTTTCAACATTCGTAGTAATGGTTTTAAATTTCAGAATTACGCTTTTAATCTTATTAAAACCGAAAAACGATATCATAAATGAGCTTTTTAAGCATATACTCATATAATTCGAAATTGAAATATTTCAATGAGTATTTTAGTTTTGAATATAGCTGCAAGGGGGTATATAGTCTTTTTTCTTGATTAAACTATATTTTATTACAACTCGAATCGCCCACAGAACCTCGGCGTGGAGATTGTGCGTCGTGCGCTGCGCATGCCCTGCATGACGATCGCCAAGAATGCCGGCGTGGATGGCGCCATGGTGGTGGCCAAGGTGGAGACCCAGACCGGCGACTACGGCTACGATGCGCTGAAGGGCGAGTACGGCAACCTGATTGAGAAGGGCATCATCGACCCGACCAAGGTGGTGCGCACCGCCATCACCGACGCCTCCGGCGTGGCCTCGCTGCTGACCACCGCCGAGGCTGTGGTGACCGAGATCCCCAAGGAGGACGGAGCTCCTGGCATGCCCGGCATGGGTGGCATGGGCGGCATGGGAGGCATGGGCGGCATGGGTGGCATGATGTAAGCCAGCCAAAGCCCCAGCCCCATGAGACTTTGAAGCCAGCGTACTGTTTAAGTCATGATGCGGAGCACGGCGGCGCAGAGGAGGTCCAGCGAACGGAGCCCCAGTTGAGGCGAGACCCACCAATATCTCTTACATCGGTGCATCCAGAGCCAGGTTCACACTACACACTACACACCCACCACCACCAGCAGCACCTCTGTTTTGAGTCACATACACCACACACTCTAATCCTCTGATGAAATATGGTTTTGCTTCGCATTTATACTTTGGCAAATAGCAAACATGCCACACACAACAACAACAACAACACATAAACATAAACATCGGTCTGGATGTGAGCTCGCCGAGACTCCTGCGTTCGCTCCGCCCCGCGCCCCCGCTTCCATTATGTTCTACGTTTTTTTAACTATTCCTTAACTCTATTTTTTTTACATGTTATATATGTAAAGATACCGTTAGTTGTAAAATATAAAATAAAACAGAAGTTAAATTGAGGAAAAACACGCTATTTCTTTTCTTATGGCAGACTGAAATGTGGAATATAATATATAGCAATAAGTCCTGATCCTGATTCTGTATGCTGGTTAGATCGAAAAAACCTTTTCAATTCTCCTATGGCAGGTTGAATATTGGATATATATATATATATATATAAATATGTCCTGATCTTGATTCTGATATTTAATATATAATATCTCCTGATTCTGAGTCTTTATGCTGGTTAGAAATATCTCTAGATTCCTATTTTAACTGAAAAAATAGGTTTTAATTTTACTTTAAATAATGCCGCACACTCAAACAAAAACGTGAAATTTATAAGTTTATAACAAAAAAAATCAAAATACTTAATAAATGTTAATAAAGAAAAATATTGGCATCTTGAAATAGTTCAAAATCAACAATGATCGATACTGATTTATAAGAAAATAAAGGGATTGACAGTTTATAATGCCGCAATATATATTAAAATTAAACCTATAGTTTGTCCAATCAAAAAAAAAATCATAGTTTAAAATTATGATTAAGTTCCTTAACTTTAAAACTATTTCATTATTAAAAAGGATCAACTTTAGTTTAAAAATAAAAAACCAAATCATTTATTATATGATTTTGTATTTTAAAAACTTGGATGAAAGTTAGGATATACTTTATAGGGTTGAAAAGCTCATTTTCTTTGCCTTTTAAACATCTGAAATTGTAAAGATTATTTTTACCCTTAGCAATGGTTAAATATGCAAAATCATTAGTCAGCTGGTTTAATTGTTGTGCTCAAATTTATATTTGTTGCTTTTTCGCTTTTTTGTTTGTTTTGTTTATTAATTATAAATACATTTAATAAAAAAAAACCTAAATAATGTAACGCTTAGATGTTTAAAAGAAAAAGAAAAATATGTTGCATATACTCCGCATACGGTTAATGGGAACCAGAGGGCCAGGAGGCGTCTGTTCTATTCTGGTTTGGATTGGGTTGGCTCCAGCTTTAGCTTCAACTCCAGTTAATCCCCTCCTGGCGCTGGCCTTAACGATTAACGATGACACAATGGCAGTACGTATGTGATCGATGGCGTTGATGGATCGTCGGCTGCCCGCGCCGACGTCGCCCTCGAAGCCTATGGCTATGACTTGTCTGGCATGAGGATGGCATCCACCATCACCTCCTTCTCCTCCTCCTCCTCCTCCTGATGCAGATTCTCCGGGCGACGCTAGCACTTGCGCTTGGGCGTGCGCCGTTTGACACCGCTGGAGTTGTCCACCTTCTTGCTGCCCTTGGCAATGGCCAGCAGCTTCACTAGCTTCTTGTGCGAGTCGCCCACGATCCAGCCGTGCTTCTGGTACGGCTCGTTCTCCTCGAAGTGCTTGCCGGGCGGCGATGGCGAGGCGGCCTCCTCCGGCTGCAGTCGATCCAGTCGGTCCAGGCGATCCAGTCGATCTAGACTATCCAGTCGATCCCCATCCCTCTGCTCGCCGCCGGCTTCTCTGGCATTGGCCAATGCCTCGCCCTCATCCTCGTCGTCATCGAGGCGTCCGAACTCATCGTCGCTGGAGCTGCTCCAGTAGTAGAGTTGCTTTTCGCTTGCCGGTCGCTTTCTACGCGCCGGCGATTGACGATTCGTCTGGGATTTCCGCTTGGCCTTTAGGTTCTTGTTGCTGCTGCTGCTGTTGTTGTTGTTATTGGTGGTGTTGGTGTTGGTGGTGTTGGTGGTGGTGTTAGTGGTGGTGCTGCTGCTGCTGGTGGTGGCCACGGAGCTGCTCCTGGGATGCGGTTGCGTTTGCGTTTGCTGCGACGGCGGCGGCGGTGGCGGTGGCGGTAGCTGTTGTTGTGCATTGCCATAACGCGCCTTGTTCCTTTCTTTTTGGGCAGGAGCAGGTTCTAGTGGTGGCTCTATCTCTGGCCCAGCTTTTCCCCTGGGCTGCTGATGCTGCTGCTGCTGCCTAGAGCTGCGCGTCCTGGTCGGTGGCTCCACTTCCACTTCCACTTCCGCTTCCGCCGCTTCGTCCTCCTCCTCCTGCTCCTCCTCCCGCTGCTTTTGCTGTCCGCGCTTTTTCCTGTTGCTTGTGACCTTGGCCGCTGGCGCTCTACTCTTAACCGATGCCTTGGATTTACCCTTTGAATTGGTCGTGATCTGGTCTGGTGGCTGAGTATTGGCGGAGGCAACAGAGGGTGCAGGTGGCACTGCTGCTGGTTGCTGCTGCTGGTTCCTTTGCCTGGCCCGCGACTTTGGCTGCTCCACCACTTGCTCTGCCACTTGCACCACTGTCGCTGCCTTCTTCTCACCGCCGCGATTCTTGCGCTTGGCTGGAGCCGCTGCCGCTGCCACCTGTGCCGCCTGTGGCGTCTGTGCCTTCTTCGCGACCAGCGGTGGAGCGAGTGCCTCCGGCTGGGTGGTGACCTCACTGGTCTTGCGCTTGCGCCGCTGCTCCTGCTGCTCCTTTTGCTCGATCAACGCTATGATGTCCTTGGTGGACAGGAACTCCTCGTACTCATCGGAACTCCAGGTCTCCACCAGCTTCTTGGGTCGATTGGTGGCACAGCGGCGCTTGGACTTGCGCTGGCCCTCGTCGATCAGCTGCTCGATCTCCTCGTGGCTCATGCCAAGCTCCGATTGCAACTTGGTCAGATCCTTGCGTGGCTTGCGATTGGACGCGGCCGTTGAGGTGGCAGCTCCAGAGGCGCCCCCTCTAGATTTACCCTTGGCCTTGGCCGGCGTGGCTTTGTTGATGGTGGCAGCGCTCTTCTTGGCACTGTTCGCTGTGGCCACATTCTTCGGTTTTCTGCCCGGCGGCAGGGCACTGGGTGCTGGCATGGCCGCTGGTGCTGCCGGAGCAGCTGGTGCCGCCATGGGCTCTATCTGGTGGTGGTGGTGGTGCTGCTGATGCTGCTGATGCTGCTGCTGCTGGTGGTGATGATGATGATGCTGGTGATGCTGCTGATGCTGCTGATGGTGGTGATGATGTGCCTGCTGCTGCTGCTGCTGCTGATGCTGCTGATGCTGATGCTGCCTCTCCCAGCTTTCAGGGAGCAGAGAAGGCGGTGTGTCCATTTCCGAAGACTTGGCTGTTGGATGACCGCCACGCAACTCGTCGAAGATCTGGTCGAGATTGGCCTGGTTCTTGGGCAGCGCCTTGATCTTGGCCAGGCCCGCCGCCACACTGGGCCCGGGCAGCATAACCGCCGATGTGGCCATCACTGCCGTGGCCTTGGCGCTGCTGGCATGCTTGAATATGCGACCCATGATCAGCGACTTGTTCTCGAACGTTTTGGCTGTGGCCCGACTGGAACTGCTGCTGCTGCTCCGACTGCCACTTCTCGAATGCTCCGCCGCCGACGACGAGGACGAGGAGGACGATGAGCTGGAGGTTGACACGGCTGCTCGTCCTCCTACGCCAACTTCTGCTCCCTGGGTCAGCACCACTCGCCCGGTAGTTTGACCACCTCCACCGCCACCGCCACCGCCACCGCCATCGCCACCTCTGACCACTGATTCTGGGTCCGGTTCCACGTCGCCGTCGCAACTTAGGGTGCCGAAATCATAGTCATCCCGATCCGAGTAACTGGCCGTGGAGACGCTGTTGTTGTCCTGCTCCTGCAGCAGATTGACGCACGTCTTGGGCTTCTGGAACGTGATGGGCGCCTTCTCCTCGAGTCCAATGTTCTTGAACGGCCTGTCCGGAATGATGATCCGCCCGGAGACCGGCGGCAAAGTGGCCGAGCTGGCCACACCCGCCGCCGCCTTGATGATGGAGGCATGCATGATCGTCTTGGACGACGTGGAGCTCTGCTGCTGTGCTTCCAGCGGACCCGTTGGCGTCACCGTCGGCGTCACCGTCGTCGTCTGCTGGATGGCCATCTGCTGCATGGCATTGGGCGGCAGAGTGGCCGGCATTGCTGGAGCTGCTGCGGCGGTTGGAGCGGGCGGCAGATGGGGCAGGAAGTCGCCGCCGGGCTTCTCGCTGCCCAGCGCAATGTCCGCCAGCTCGGTCAGCTTGCACACACCCCGGCCGCCCGACTTGGCCAGCTCCAGCATGTCCAGCTGCATGTTCACGTTCTCGTAGCCCTTCATGGCCGCCTTCGTCTTGAAGCGGGACGTGGTGGTGGTGGCCGAGAACTGCGACACCGCCGAGTAGCTGGGCGACAGCCTGTTGTGGTTGCTGCAAGCAGAGAGGACAGAGGAGAGAGGAGAGAGGTGGGTCAATTACTAATCAGTCACCTGGTGTTGACAGTGTTGTGGTCATATAATCAAGGACAAGTTAAATATAGTCAAGGAATCAAATGTTTTATTTCATTTTTATATTATTAAGCATTTGGTTTGGGAAACATACAAAAAAAAATAGGGGTTGTATTGTGTTTAATTCTTTGTATTTTGCACATGTACCTCAACCTAAAGCTAATTAGTAATTTAAAAATAAAATTAATAGTGATTTGGAAAACATAAAATATTATCTTACAAAATATGGTTTCATTTTGTATTTAAATTTCAAAAAAAAAAAAAATAAATAGAATTAGATTGTTATTTACAAAATGTAAAGTAAAATATATAAATTATAATATTTGTTCTGTCCCAATAAAATTTATAATAGCAACTGATTATTTAGTAACTTTCTGCTTGTTTAATTCTTTTGATAAGAGCACTAAGGTCTAATTTTTTTATTCTTAATTATAAACTGTATATACGTAAAGTGAATCACTATAACATCAAAATCAAAAGAAATTCCTTTCGAAGGTGTCACAGAAATGAGTTTTTCGAAAGGTATTTAAAATTTGCAAAAGAAAGTTAAACATTCAAAGAAAAGCTTTTTTTTTCAATTTTGAATTTAAAAGGGTGTTTTTAATAGTGCAAAAATATGCAACAGTTAAAAAAAGAAGCGTTTTCGATCCTATAAACTACATTTATTTCTACAATATCATTTGTGTCATAATTAAAAAATGTTAAATTGGAAACATTAGATTTAAATGTTTTTTTTAAATTGTAGTTTATTTGCTTGCTAAATATGAGGTCATGGTTGGTTACAATATTACAAATACAAAATGTTTTTATTCATTATATATACAAATATTATAAACATGACCCCTTGTTTACCAAGCATTTAAACTTATATTTATATATCTATAAAAAGTTTACTAATTGTGCTTTTAATCGATTGGTTAAAATTTTGCATATACAATAACATTTAAAGAATATTTTATGTTATCTGTCGTTCTTTTTTTTTTAAATTTAGTAATTTTATAACTTAAGTATCTGTAAAAAAAAAGTTAAGGCAAATCCAAAAATGTGATTTATAAAATTGTGTTCGTTTTGTAAAATAACGACCCATTTGGCTGATTTGTTACCATTTTTTCCCTTAACATAATGGTTTCATATAACTTATTTTCAGTTACTTGCTTATAAATGGTCTCACTTACGTGGGCGTTGTGGTGGGCGTGACCGCGGGCGGGTTGCGGAACAGCTGTTGGATGACCGGCTGATGGCACACGGCAGGCACTGGCTGAGGACCAGGATGCGGATGCGGATGAGGATGCGGATGAGGATGAGAAGCAGGTGGCTCCGCAGGTGGCGGCGGCGAGGGAGATGGCGACGGCGATGCCGGCGGAGGCAGCGAGAGCGACGGTGAGGCAGGAGGTGGCAGCGATGGCGATGGCGAAGCTGGCGGAGGCAGCGATGAGGACCGGGATGGTGATGGCGAAGCTGGCGGCGGTGGCGGTTGCTTTCTGCCCGCCGTCACTATCACCGATGTGGTGGTGGCTGGACCGCCTACGCCTCCGCCCCCGCCCCCACACCCTCCTCCGCCGGTAAGGGGGCGTGGCGTCTCGGCACTCTTCAGGATGTTGCAGCACTCGTAGAAGAGACGCTCGTCGGGATTGAGATTGAGGCGAGAGGCGGTGGGCGGTGGCGCTGCCTGCGGACTGTGCTGGTTATCGTGCAGCCGCAGGCTGGCCTCAGTAATCACATGATGCACTTGCTCCTGCTGGTGCTGATGCTGCTCCTGCTCCCGCTCCCGCTCTCGCTGCAGCTGGATTCTCTCGTGCTCCTGAATCCGCTGCAGATCTCGTTCATGCTCCCTTTCCCGCTCCCGCTCCCTTTCCCTTTCCTGATGGGCCATTTGGTTGGGCAGCATCAGCACCGAGGCTCTCATCTGCTGCGGCGGAGGAGCTGCTGCCAAGTGGTGTTGTTGTTCCTCCTCCTGCCGCTGATGCTGATGCGGCTCCTCCCTCCTGTTGTTCTCCGCCAGCTGCCCATCATTCAGTTGGACATCCTGCTGCTGATGCTGCTGCTGCTGCTGTGGACTGGAGGGAGCCGTCTGCGACTGCAGGTACTCCTGGGCGGACAGCTTGGACACATGGGCCAGGGTCATGTTGTGCTTGGACAGCGAGGTGGCGGTGAAGAAGCTCTTGCCGCACAGCTGACAGCCGTACTTCTCGGCATCCAGTTCGCTGCGCTGCGTCCGCTTCTTGGGCCGCCGTGTGAGCAGAACGCTTCGGCGGCGTCTCCGCCGGCGCCCACGACCGCCACGTCCCAGATCCTGGGAGTAGCTGGTATACACACTCATCTCGTCGTCCAGGTCCATGTCCATCACCTCGGTGTTGGTGTTGTCGTCGCACATGGAGCCAAAGTTTGAGTGCTCGTCGTTCAGATTGGGCGCACTGCGCACACTCATCGAGGTGGGCGGGCGATAGTACTTGTCCTGGTCGTGATCCGGATCCCGATCCTGATCCTGGTCGGGATCCCCTTCGCCGTCGAACTCGTCGTGGGCAAACTCAAAGTCCTCGTTGGTGGTGGCCGACATGATCTTCTCGTTCACGTTCTTGGCAATCTCCGTGAGATAGTTGTCCTCCTCCTCGGCATTGTCGTTGTTGGTGGCCACATGCTGCTCCCTGACCAACTCGGACCTTTGCTGCTCCGACGCCTGCTCCTTGTGTATGTTCTTGTTCAGCCGTGGATCACGACTGAAGGTGGCTGGTATGTGCTCCTGTTTATCCTTATCCTTATCCTTGCCCTTCTCCTTGTCCTTCTCCTTGGAGTGCTGCTGTTGTTGCTGATCCCGGGCCACTGCGCCGCTGAGAATGCTGGGACGCAGAATGGAGCCGACTGGTGGCTGGCTGCCAACGGTGTTCCCCGGCTGTGACTGCGACTGCGACTCCTTGGCCTCGCGCGCCTCCTTGGCCTCGCGCGCCTCCTTGGCCAGCAGCTGCTTCTCGATGCCAATGGAGAAGGACTCCAGCGAGGATTTGAGCAGACTGATGTTCTCGTTGGTGGCCTTACCCGGGCCAGTTCCTCCTCCACCTCCACCTCCCCCGCCTCCTCCTCCTCCGCCAGCCTTGCCCCTTCGGTAGTAGCAACTCTGGCGACGCTTAGGCCTGCCGCGTCCTGGCGGATTTGGTGGTTCCGCCGCTTCCGTCTCCGTCGCCGAGGGTTCCTTCTTCGCCAGCTTGGCGGCCGCAGCGGAGGACGTGCCCAGGGCGGCATTGCGCTTGGTGCTGGACATCAGGAGCATCCCGGTGAGCAGCAGGTCCTCGCTCTTCTCATACGCCAGATTCTCCAGCTTCTTCAGGTTGTCCCTGCGTGCGTTGTCGATCTTGAAGCTCTCCAGCAGCTGATCGGCCACAATGGCCGCCAGTTCGTTCTTGCGCCGGCGACGTTGCTTCTTCTTGGCGGGCAGTTCCTCCTCCTCCTGTTGTTGCTGCTGCTGCTGCTGCTGCTGCTGCTGCTCCTCCTCCTCCTTCTTGGGCGGTGGCGCCGTAGACTCCTCCACTGGCGTTGCTGCTGCCGTCGTGGACAGGGGCTGCTCCGATTGCGCCAGACTGTGGAAGCCCGAGGAGGTGTTGTTGTTCAGGTTGCTGCTGTGCTCCTCCATCAGCGAGCTGCAGTTCGTCTCGGCCATTGTGCTGGGCGGAGGCGTGGCACTGCGATGTGGTGGCATCTGTGGCAAGGCGGGAGCCACTGAAATGACGGAGACGGGCACGGGCACAGGCACGGGAGCACAGGACTCGGCACATGTCTCTGGTTGGGCAATCATTTCTGGAACAGGAACAGCAACAGGAACAGGAAGAGGATCAGGATCAGGATCAGGAGATTCCGGAGACTGATGCTCCACTAATGGCGATGTTGCTGCAGCAGTGGTCACAGTAAGAGCTGCTTCCTTAGCACTCGTTAAGGGAACTGGAACTGGAACGGGTGCAGCTGGAGGAGGAACCGATGGAGGAACTGCAACTGGAAGAGAAACTGGTAATGTGGGCATCTCTCCCCTTGCATCACCGTTCACTGGCAGCGGGATAAACTGCTGCAATGGCGCCACCGGAAGAGTCTCCTCCAGGGCAAGCAAGGCGGAGCGACAGTCGATGGTGCGCGAGCGCATGGAGCGCTTCTTGGGCGTCAGATTCTTGGCAGGCACAGGCTGCAGAGCAGTAGTGGGTGTGGGAACAGAAGCAGCTGATGAAATAAGCACGGCGGGAAGAGGATTAACAGCCAAGGGCAATACCGCAGAGCTGGGCAGCGACAAGATGCAGTTGCTCGGCCTGGGCAGCGGTTCTAGCTCCAGTTTCTCCTTTTCCCTCTCCCTCTCCCTCTCTCTTTGTTCTCGTTGCCTCTCCCTCTCCTTGTCTTTCTTGGCCTGCTCCTCCTTCTCCTTCGCCTTTTCCTTCTCCTTTTCGTCCTCCTCGTCATCCGGCAAACTGGCTTGGACAGCCATAATGACCGAGTTGATGGCATCGTCGATATGGTTGTTGACCACCTCGTCCATGCGCGGACACACCTTGGCCTGGCCCTTGCCATGGTCCTTCTTGGAGCTGCCCGTTCCCTCCAGCGAGCGCTTCTTGCCGCCCGAACTCTTGACGGGATGCACGTGAGCATGGGTCGCGGTGGCCACCGATGTGGGCATGATGCTAACTGGCGGCGGAACACCGCTGGTGGGCACCACAACACCAGCAGCTGGATTGCCAGGATTGCGCACCTGCGGTATCTTGAGCAGATCCAGATTGGAGTAATAGTGCGAGGCCAGGGGCAGGGGCAGGGGCTGGCCGGGAATGGGAGGAGCAGCACCTGGCTGCTGTTGCGGTGGCATCGTTGCCGTCACCATTGGCGGCGGCGGCGGCACCGGCGATGCCTTTCTGCTCGACTTCTTGGACAGATCCAGCGGCTCCATGTCCATGTCCAAACCCATGAGGTTTCGGGCCTCAAAGCCACAGATCGTCTGCCGTCGGGCGGGCATTCCGCCCGAGCGATGATGCGGCAGTCCAACCAGGCCGGGATCGCCCGTGGTGCCAGTGAACAGCGGCTTTGGCAGCACTCCTCGCTGGCTGGTCAGGTTCAGCGGTTGATGATCCATAACGAACATGGTAGTGGGCGTGGGCGTCGGATTGGGATTCGGATTGGTAATGGTATTGGTATTGGTATTGCAATTGGGATTCCCTTGCAACTGCGGCATATAGAGTGGCATCTTGGGCAGCATGTTAACTGATCCCACCGCCAGTGAAGCGGGCATTCCCTGCATTCCTTGCATTCCCAGCGGCACAGCAACGGGCACAGGTGGCGCATTGGTGGCCAGCAGCGCCGGCGATGATGGCTCCATGGGAGGATACTGCTTGAGGGCGGCCAACGAGGCTGGCTTCGGTGGTGGGGCAGCCATCTGCTTGGCAGCCGCCTTGGTGGGCGTGCGCCTTGGAGGCGGAGGAGCAGGTGCAGCCACGGGCGGAGGATGAGCAGGTGCAATGACTGGCGGAGGCGGAGGAACAGGCGCAACGACTGGCGCAGGAGGTCCTGGCAAACTGTTGAACACAGGAGGCGGCAGGGCAGGAGCAGGAACTGGAGCAGAAGCTGGAGCAGGAGCTGGCGTCTCCACCAAAGTGGCAGGCGGAACTGCAGTCGGTGGAAGTGCAACAGCAAGCAAAGATCCTTCTGGTGCCTGCCTCAGTGGGAGCGACTCCAACGGGGGCTCTGGTGTGGCATCCATTTTGATGATTCGACGCGACACCGCTTTGCGTTTGGGCGTCTTTGGCTGCACTCGCTCCTTGTCGCCAGTTGGTGGTGGAACAGGTGTCTCCACCGGCTGCCTTGACCTCTCCACCTTCTCTGCCGCCTTCTCCTGCTCCACACTCCGACGCTCCATTTGCAGCGTTGCAGCAGGCGTTGGCACTTGCTCCGTCTTGAGCTTCTCCTCCAGTTTGCCCGTGAGCATGGCTATGCAGTCGCTGATCCGCTTGCTACGCTTCACACTCGAATTGGGCGTAGCCAGGCGAGTGGTGGCTCCAGCGGAGTAGGACGGCGGAGCAGCTGCCACAACAGCAGTAGCAGCAATAGCTGGCGGGGATTTGGTGGCCGGCGCCGGCGTTGTGGGCGGTGTGGGCATTAGCTGCTTGCTGGGAGTGGGCGATGCGGGCTCCGATTCCGGAACGGAGCAGGCGGGTGGAGCAGGTGTTGTGGCCTCCGGAAGGCTAAGTGCTGGTAACTCCAGCCGCAGCGATGGCTTCTCCTCAGCGGGAGACCTTGATGACTTGGCAGTGACTGTGGGTGTGGTGGGCAGCTTAACTGGCTCATCCTCCATTACAACTTCAGTTGGCGTTTCTGGCGGGGATTTGGCTTTGTCCAGCTTGGCCTTCTGTTGTTGCTGCTGTTGCTGCTGCTGTTGCTTCTGTTTGCGGCGACTGCGGTGCTGCTGGGCGGCAACAGCGGCCGCCGAGGAGCCGGTGGCCACCACCGATGATCGCGAGCGGGAGCGCGTGGTGCGCAGCATGTGCTGGTTGTAGATTCGCTTGGTGCTGCTGCGCTGCTGCTTGGACTTTGACTTGACCAGCGACTTGGCCATGGACTTGGCCATGGACTTGGCCTTGGCCTTCGCCTTGTTCTTCGCCTTGCGCTTGGCCTTGTTGTCCACGGGGAAGATCTTCTTGCAGATGCGCTTGGCGGGCAGGTTCTCCAGCATCTTGCGTATGGATTCAGCTGGAAATGGAACATTGACTTAATACATTTGCTTTGGAATTCAATCTATAGAGAGCACCACTCACCATCGCTGGGCCTTTGGCGCGGCGAGTTCTTCAACTTGGACGAACTGGAGCCGCTCTCCTCGCCCTCGGCCTCTGCCTCCGCCTCCGCCTCCCCGTCGCCATCTGCCTCGGCATCGCCCTCATCCACTTCTACTTCCGTCTCTAGCTTCTCCTTCTTGCGGGCGGACAGCTGCTTCAGCGGCTTCTTGGAGAAGGCGCGCCGCTTCTTGGTGCCGCAGTAGTAGCGATACTTGCGCTTCTTGGCCAGCGACCACACATAGTCGCCGGAGCAGTCCAGCATGTGGCGGTAGAGATCCATGAGGCCGCTACACTTGCGGCCGCACTTGGTGCAGCTGGAAGGAGCGGACGATGTCGTGGTCGTTGTGGACGATGTGCAGGTGGAGTGTGAATGCGAATGCGAATGCGAGTGGGAGGACATCACGGTTGGGGCGGTGGACATGAGGGTGGAGGCGGAGGATGAGCTGGGTGAGCACGAGGAGGTCGATCCCGATCCGGAGGCCGGCGATGGCTGCTGTTGCTCCAATCCCGAGAGCGGAGTGGGCGTGGACACCTCGTACGAGGAGCGCGAGGAGGCCGACGACGACCTGGTCTCCTCCTCCGGCTGCACACTGTTCCGCTCCTGCTCCTGCTTGGGCTGCTGCTGCTGCTGCTGCCCTGACCCGATCTGCGGCCACCGGATGCAGTTGCTCGAAGCGGCGGCGGCGGCGGCGGAGGTGGCGGCAAAACGACCCAGCGCCCGCTTGGGGATGAACAGATGGCGCAGCAGATTGCCGGCCAGCAGTTCTCGGCCCACCACCTCGTAGTGCGTGGCGTAGATGTGCGAGTGGCGGAAGGTTTTGTGCTCCTCCAGCGACTTGCGCTGGTCGAACTTGGCGCCGCAGCAGATGCACAGGTAGAGGCGTGGTCGCGCCCACTCGCCGCTGAGCACAACGGATCTTCGCTTTCTGTTCCTCAACCGCTCCTGTTCCTGTTCCTGTTCCCGTTCCCGGTCCTGATCCTGCTGCCTGTTCCGCTCCTCGGTTCTCGGCTGCAGTTGCAGCAGGGAGAGGAAACTCTCGTCGGCGAAACTCTGGGGCAGCAGATCATCACCCGGATGTGTGCTGTCCACACCCGAGGGATCGTCATCCTCGTCGTTCTCGCACTTAATCACCGCCTGCTCGTTCTGCTCGAGGATGATGTGCGGCAAAAGGCGTTGGTCCAGGATGAGATTGAGCTGCTCCAGCAGGCGGCGCTGCTGCTCCTGGTCGTGCTCCTCCGCCAGCGACAGGGAGAGATCGTGCTTCTGGCGCATCGTCAGCTGCGTCCACATGTCCAGCTTGGAGAGATCGCGCAGGCCCAGGTAATGGGGCTGCTTCAGCTTCTTCACCAGCCGCCCGCCCTCGTTGATCAGGGTGAACTTCTTCACGTAGTCCCACTTCCACTTCCAGCTGTGCTTGGTGTGCGGTCTCCGGCGGAACTTGGCCAGCGGCAGCAGTTCCCCCGTCCCGCCAAACTGCTCGGCGGTCAGCAGCGTGGGATAGGAGGCGCCGCCAGGACCCACCTGGCTGGGACCATGCAGCATGATGAGTTCCGAGGACGACGCCACCGATGATGATGCCGATGATGTTGGGGAGGTGAATAGACGACCGTCCAGGTGATTCTGTAGATTGTGACGCACATTGAACACCACATCCTTGTAGAACTTGTCGTCGAACACTGAGTTGGCGGCAGCCGCGGCGGTGGCGGCGGCGGCTGCTGACGATGACGAGGCGGAGGCGGAGGCAGAGGAGGAGGAGGATGAGGAGATGCAGGCCAAGCTGGCGGGCAGTCGAAAGACTGCATCCGGATTGACTGCATCCTGTGGCGATTGCAGAGCCTGACTGCCGGCCGGAATGGCTTGCTGCGACTGCAGCTGTTGCCGCTGCGCCGCCGCCCGACTGCTGCTCCGCGACTTACTGCCACTGCTGGGCGTGGCGGCCAGGGGCGGCGGTTCCTCCTCCTTGCGCTGGCCGCGATTCCGATGGCTGCTGGGTAGCCGGTTCTGGGTGAGACCCAGACGAAAGAGCACCGGCTCGTCGGCGCCCATCAATCCGGGCTTGGCGGCATGTCCATGGCCATGGGAAGCATGCCCATGGCCATGGGATCCATGGGCATCCTCCGGCAACGGATGCTGCTGCCGCTGGTGCGACGACAAATGATCCGCGTCCTGAAAGCGCAGGCGACACGGCTGGCAGCCAAAATACTTGTCCGCATGCTGCTCGCTCAGGTGCCGGAACAGTTGCTCCAGATGCTTGGCCGGCAGGCAGATCTGCGGTGGAGGCGTGGCCTGGCGCCGATTCGAGTGCTGGCCGCACCACTGGCAGCCGGGGAAGCCGCCGGAGGCGGCGGGATGGGAATTGGAGCTGGTGGAACGGCCGCTGCAGCGCCGCTCCTGCCGTTCGGTGTGGAACTTGTCCACATGCTTGGCCTGCAGCTTGCCGGAGGCGAACTTTCTATCACAGTACAGACACAGGACCTTCGTCGAGGAGTGACCCGCTGATCCCGCCAGCCCATCCCGCTCCCGTTCTCGCTCCCGTTCTCGCTCGCGTTCCCGCTCCTCCGTCAGCTGATGCAGCTTCTCCACCAGGCGGGGCAGCCGGTCCAGCGGCAGGCTGCAGATCAGGGAGATCGGTTCCTGCTCGTGCTCCGGCTCGGGCTCATCGTGCGGCTCTGGCTCCTCCTGCTCTACGTCCAACTCCTCCTGCCTGGCCTGCCGCTTCTTGCGCGGATTGGGGGCAGTGGCAGCGGGCGCTGGGGGCGTGGCCGGCGCTATTGCATTCTTGCCGTTGACCTGCTCCTCCGAGAGCTTAAAGCCACGGCGCAGGCCGAAACGCGACATGGTCTTCATGTGGAGGCTACTGGGTCGTCAAACAGTTCGTTGCACAAGTTCACTGCTTCGTCGGCACTCCTGCAAGCAGTGCGAAGAAGGCAATAACAAATTATTACTCTGCTTTCTTCCTTCTTCTTTTTGTTGACAAATAAACCACAAGAAGAAGCAGCGAAAAAACAAAAACTACTCACACACACACACACACACACAGGTGCATGCACACACACACACACACACACAAGCACACCTGCTCAATAGGAAATTATACAATAAACATTTTCGACTCCTCCTTGGGTTTTAAAATAACATTCTACCCACTTTCCACTCCACTTTGATTTATTTGTGAGTTTGTCTCTCTCCTGGTTTTCGTTTCGTTTGGTTTCGCTTCGATTCTGGTGTATTGCACTTTTCTGGCTGGGATTTGGGGGGATGCGGACCAGCCCAGGACCGGATCGGATCAACGGATTGCACGCGAATAGCCAACGCACGGCATTGCAGTTCATTTATCGAGTGGCTAGTGGCCAGTGGCTATATGGTGTGTGGTATTATTTTTTCTCCTTGTATATATTGCCTTTCCACCCTAACAACTGCGTTAGGAGGTATCTAACGTTTAGCCCAAATCGATGCGTGCGTACGGCGCAGAGGGGGCGACGACGGAGGGGGCGGGACGGGGGGCAGGACGACGACGACGATACTTTGTGGTACTCGTACTCGCACCCGTACTCGTACTCGTTCCCGTTCTGACACTAACGATGGCCAAACGATTTTTCGGCGGCGGCATTATCAGCCATCGATGTGCTATATAAACACTAATTCAATTTCACTGTCCTCCAGCTCATGTGTATATATTTGGTTCGTTCACACACACATAAAAAACACAGCAGCAGGAGCGCCCGAGTTAAATGTGTGTTTTTTTTTATGAGAAATCGAAATCGCGTCAAAATGGTCGGGTTTGCCAGTGTGTACACACTGTCTGCTGGGCCGTCGCAAGGGAAGTGATCGATAGTAATCGATAGGTTAATGGATAACTGCTTGTTGAAAGTCATGATTATGATTTTATAAACTGCTATTTTATTAATAATCCCATACCATCAAACAATTTAATTTAAATAAATACCAGAGCTACAAGTTTTTATTGGTTTTCAACGCGTCTAATTTTATTAGTTCAATTTTGTATTCCAGAGTTTCTTATTGTCAATACAAACTTGTATACAAAAAATAATACAAATTTAGCAAAATATACATTCTTTTAAATCAACCAGTGATACATTATGTAAGCCCTTGTAGGAAATGACACCATCGCCCAACATATTATTAATTTTTGGATCATCAGCTGCATAAAACAGTCGTTATTGGATTGTGCTACTTATTTTGGCCAGGTTAAAATTAAGTTTTGTACATTTTTCTATTCCTTGAGAATGTCCCAATACTGACAAAATTATATTTCTTTGCGCGGTTCGATTAGTAAATCTCCGATTCGTACGATAGTTTGCTTACGGCAATATACTTTCCGATAGGCAACTGCCGACTATCGACTGCAGCATGACAACCGGGAAGCGTTGCCACCTCGTTGCATTGCTGGCTTGTTTTTGACGAGTCATTTTCTCGTCTTGTCTTGCAACTAAACTAAACCAATTTAAAACTCACTGCTGGACGGAAACAATGCCGTACAACATGGACATACTGATGCCGGAGAAGGTGCGTAGTTGGGTGATTGACTGGGTAATATCCGTGCTAACATCTCCTTTCGCCAGCAGGACGAGCTGTCCGACATGAAGCCAAAAGATGCGCACAGTTCCCTAGACGAACTGGACATTGATGATCTGTATGTGCGCTACAAGGTAAGCAATGTGGTGCTCCCATCTAGCCAGCAGCCAGCTAATCCCCTTCACAATACCCTTCAGAAATTGCAAAAGACCCTGGAATTCATCGAGGTGCAGGAGGAGTACATCAAGGATGAGCAGCGTAACCTAAAGAAGGAGTACCTGCACGCCCAGGAGGAGGTGAAGCGCATCCAGTCCGTGCCGCTGGTCATTGGCCAGTTCCTGGAGGCCGTCGACCAGAACACAGGCATCGTGGGCTCCACCACCGGCTCCAACTACTACGTGCGCATCCTGTCCACCATCGACCGGGAGCTGTTGAAGCCCTCCGCCTCGGTGGCCCTGCACAAGCACAGCAACGCCCTGGTGGACGTACTGCCGCCGGAGGCGGACAGCTCCATCTCCATGCTGCAGCCGGACGAGAAGCCGGACGTGAGCTATGCGGACATCGGTGGCATGGACATGCAGAAGCAGGAGATCCGGGAGGCCGTCGAGCTGCCGCTGACCCACTTCGAGCTGTACAAGCAGATCGGCATCGATCCGCCGCGCGGCGTCCTCATGTACGGTCCGCCGGGATGCGGCAAGACCATGCTGGCCAAGGCGGTGGCCCATCACACCACGGCCTCGTTCATCCGCGTGGTCGGATCGGAGTTCGTGCAGAAGTATCTGGGCGAGGGGCCGCGCATGGTGCGCGACGTATTCCGGCTGGCCAAGGAGAACGCGCCGGCCATCATCTTCATTGACGAGATCGATGCCATTGCCACCAAGCGATTCGATGCCCAGACGGGCGCCGATCGCGAGGTGCAGCGCATCCTGCTCGAACTGCTCAACCAGATGGACGGCTTCGATCAGACCACCAACGTCAAGGTGATCATGGCCACCAACAGGGCGGACACCCTGGATCCGGCCCTGCTGCGTCCCGGTCGGCTGGACCGAAAGATCGAGTTCCCGCTGCCCGATCGCCGGCAGAAGCGTCTGGTCTTCTCCACCATCACCTCGAAGATGAACCTCAGCGAGGACGTCGATCTCGAGGAGTTTGTGGCGCGGCCGGACAAGATCTCCGGCGCCGACATCAATGCCATCTGCCAGGAGGCGGGCATGCACGCGGTACGCGAGAACCGCTACATCGTCCTGGCCAAGGACTTCGAGAAGGGCTACAAGAACAACATCAAGAAGGACGAGCAGGAGCATGAGTTCTACAAATAGATTAAGCCTTACCCCCCTTCCACCCAATGTCGCCCATACACAACACTCTCGTTTGTACTCCTAAAGTTATATCATTAATAAAAAAACAAAACAACTCGTATTCGTAATCCTGCCGGAATGCTTTAGTTTCTTGGAAATATTTACTTTTGCTTTACTCTATTTCCCTCAACTGTGCATGGGAGCTTTAATGTGTCAAGATTTCTTCTATAAGTCAGTTATTTCTTAGGTAAATTAATTAATTGAACTATAATACTCTAATACGACGAAGTTTTCAAATTTACTCATTTTTCAATTATAATATTTTTGCAAATACCTGTAAAGGGTGGTCGTTAAAAAATAACAATTATTTGAACTAAGTAGTTAATTATAATTACATTATTATTAATAAGAAAATAATCATAATTTTTAAGAAAAATAATTAAAAAATAAAATAATCAATATGGCTGTTATTTTTTTTGATTTGCCCTTTTAAGTGATTTGCTGTCCTTAATAAATAAATAGACCGCTTTAATTTAAGTAGAGGTAACTCTTTAATTTCAACTTGACTATAAGTTATAGTTCCAGTGACTTTAACTCTAATAAGGTTGTGATTTACTGGGTTTATATCTTACTTAAGATGGGCGAAAAGAAAAAAGATGGTTATATACTGCAAAGGTTATAAAAATATATCATACAAATTTTACTATATATAAAATTGAATATATTTATATTTAAGAGGAAAATGTCACATTTTTGTATTATTTTTTTATGAATTAATAAATGAATCTAAAAGCCAATGTTATATTATAGTATGACATTTAAAGAACAATGGTAATATTAAACAATAAGACAATGACAGCAATGAGCGTTTTGGAAAAAAGTTCAAATGCGTTGCCCATCATCATTTGAAATCAAAACTATATCGTTAGATAAGGTAGTTTGTATTTTTTTTTTTTAATTTAAATTTTTCACTCTTTAAAAAAATGTAAAAGCAAAATCCTCGGTTGTTTTCAAAAGAAATATGTTTATTTTGTATTGTAAAATAAATTATACATTAACATATAAAAAATAGTGTTCAATATCTCAAAACGAGAAAACAGCTTTTAAGTTTTGAACATTAATCCAATCTAACTTGTAATTTTGCTCTGATCCCTGCGAGATTTAGACAGCAATCTAGACATACATATTATGCATTCATTTAATGTTTTTCCCATACAAATTCAACAGAGGTCAGTTTTCACTTGAACCGATCTCCCATTGCATCCATAACCACCCAAAGACAAATCACATCATCACTTACTCAACAACAAAATAGACAAAAGCATTGTATTTGATTCGGTCAATTGGACATGCAAACAAGGAGCATTGGAAAGGAGACAGATGGAGAGGTGGACAGGCGGTGGTGCATGGATATGGAGGGGGCTACTTCATCAGCGAGTTGACCACAGCGTTCACATTGATGGCCTTGAGGTCGGCGTACGTCTGGCCGGTGCCCACGAACACGATTGGCTGGCCGGTGATGTAGGTCATCGAGATGGCGGCGCCCACCTTGTCGTCGATGGTGTCGAATTTGGTCAGCACGATGCCGTCGATGATGTGCGGGTTCTCGTTGGAGGAGTAGTCGGCCAGCGACTGGTTGAATTTGACCAGCTGGTCGACGGCCTCGTTGCCCACCAGTGCCTCGCCCACGAAGAGCACCAGGTCGGGATTGTTGACCTTGATCAGCTTGGATAGGGAGCGCATGAGCGGCTCGTTGTCCTGCATGCGACCGGCGGTGTCGACCAGGACCACGTCCACGCGCGTGTCGTGGGCGAACTTGATGGCCTCCATGGCAATGCCGGCGGCATCCTTGCCGTAGCCCTTCTCGTACAGCTGGACCATGGTGCGGCCATCGTGCTTGGCCGCCGGATGCAGTGCGTTCAGGTGGCGGGTGTGTGTGCGCAGCTGCTCCACGGCGCCGGCACGGAAGGTGTCACAGGCCGCGATCAGCACATTGAAGTCGTTCTCGATCAGCCAGAAGCAGATCTTCGCCAGATTGGTGGACTTGCCCACACCATTCACGCCGCAAAAGATTATCGTGTACGGTCGACCGTTGCGCTTCGACTCCAAGGCATCGCGAATGATGTCGATGCGGCGTTTCGGCGAGAGAATCCTCACCAGCGACTGGGTCAACGCCTCCTTCACCTGGCTGGCGATGCTGTCGAAGGTGCCCATCTGCTTGCCATCCAGACTGGTGGCCACCGAGTCGCACAGCTTGGCCGCTATCTCCGTGGCCACGTTCTTCGATATCAGATGGTCGCGCATCTTCTCCAGCGCCGGCTGCAGATCGGCCAGCGACATGGTCTTGGCGCCCACAATGCCTTTGAAGTAGGAGAGCAGGCCGCCGCGCTTGCTCTTCTTGGACTGCATCTGCTGCTGCTGCTCCTCCTCCTCGGAGGTGGACCCTTCGCCATCGTTCTCCACTTCGTCCTCACTCTCCACGTCCAGGTCGCGGATCACGCCCTGCATCGTGCCCACCAGCTGTCGCCATAAAAAGATAATGGTAAATAATAGTGGTTACAAAAACGTATTCAAAAATAAACAATAAATAAAATTAGAACTAGAAAAGCTATCTTCAAAATCCATAAATTCTTAAGTGTTTATGTAAATCTGATGGCCCAATTATTTCATAAATGTTGGTTTACAAAAGTATTCGGACATGAAGAAAGCTGTTTAACAAAATCCGTAAATTAAGGACAAAATTCTAACTTTAAGTTAATGAATAAGTTTTGGTCAAATTTTTATCTTTAAACTGGATAAAGGTAAATGGTGGTCTAGAAGCTTGTGTGAAAATAAAGGAAGTTTAAACTGGTTTTTAGAATAATGCTGCAATTGCCAACGAGTTTTTGTTATTTAATTTCCCCTAGCCATAATTTTTTAAATGATATTTAATTAACATTTTTAACAAAATATTAAAAAAACAAATATATTGGTAAATAAAAGAGAGGTCGAACTTGTGGTCTCTCGTTTTACTATAAAATATATAATAAATGTCACAACAAATAGAAATTTGGATTTCATAAAATAAAACTAATTAAAAATTTAAATATGTGTCGGCTAAGAAATAAAATATACAATTAAAAACATGGAAATTGGATATTTGCTTGTACAAATCAAATGCTGATTTCAGTCAAATTCGGTTGCCTGATGCAGAAACTTTAATTTTGACCAACTTGTTCCATTTCCCTTTGCATTTATTTAGGCCAATTAAGACAGTTGCTATTGTAGGACCTGGTCAAAAGGTCTGCTCCCCAAATAACATCGGTTTAGGGACAGAAATGGCCACTATTTTATCCCACTTTCCAGCCAACACTCACCTCGCTGTTAATGTTCTGGTACTGGACATCCTCGGGCGCATCCTTGGAGCGATCGAGCATGACGGCGTCCTTGGAGTTGCCGCCCAGGTCCCAGACACGTGGCTTCTTGCCGGCCTTCTCGGAGGCACTGGACTTGCTGGGCTTGGGATCACCGGGCGAGGTCTTCTTGGTGGGCGTGAGCTTCTCGCGCAGCTTGCGCCGATTCTCGCGGATGATGTCGTCCATGGAGGCGGGCGGCGGCGAGGATTGCTGCTTGGACGGCGGCTGGGCGCTCTCCTGGATGTTGACCCGCTTCTCCGACGGCTTCTTGTCGTCCTGGATCATCGAGGCGACGGTCTTCTTCGACTTTTGCGACTCATTGTAGGAGCGCATGGCCTTGGGAGCCTTCACCTGCTTGGCGGATGCCTCCTCGGCGGCACTGAGCACGCGTCGGTACTCGCGGTCGAAGTCATAGTCGCCGGCCAGTCGCTCAGCGGCGGGAATGCCGCCGAACTTGTCCTTGAAGGCCACCTGCATGTCGGAGAGGAAGCCATCCAGGTAGGTCAGCTTGATTACCTTCTGGAAAATGGCCGCGTAGACCAGGTCCAGTTCGTTGTCCAGCTTGAACTGGACGGCCAGGTTGTCCTCCTCGAAGTACTTGGCCTCTGTGTTGCGGTCCTGCGTTCAATGAAGTGAAGCATTACTACCCAGTCGATTGCAACTCATACAGAGCCACATGATTGGATGATCCTGTCCACACTCACCTCCAGGATAACGCCACGTATCAGACTGTTGATGCACGAGGCGAAGCTGCTACTGGACGCATTCGAGTGCCACAGCACCACGCCGCCCTTGGTGAATATCACCACAAAGTCCAACATTTTAGTAACGGATGCGGCAGTACAACGCGTCAAAGTTTATTGCATTTCATTTGCATCAAAACCGTTCCACGTCAAACTGGTGACCGCGCCGAAAAACGTTCGAAAATACCGAAATACCAAACAAATTAAATACCAGTTTCAGGAAATACTAACTATATACCGTTAAGTTTCTTTTCATACCTTCATTCAAATAAATTACAAATGTAATTCGTTCAAAATAACTAAAGGTAATACTATTTTTTTATAAATCGAACCGTAATTAATTCAATAATTACTATGCATGTTTTTTGTGCCCCATGGTATTTAAAATACCGTTAATTTAGGGAATTCCTCACTCAAATAAATTAAGAAAGTTAATCCAATCATACTTATTATTTCTCAATTAACCCGTACATAATTAAAACATTTGCTTATTGTCCATAAAGTATTTAAAATACCATAAGGCCAATCGATAGTTTATTGTGGATGACAAAAATAAATGAAATTAGAGATGGCAGTTTACGATACTTCAATTTCAATTATGGAAATTAAAGCGCACATTTTGAAATTTTAAGCTATTCATTTTGTTTTTGAGTTAATAAATAGATTTATAGATTTATTTTAGTTATCCAACAAGCGAAGTCCATTATGTACATTATTAAAAAGCATGGAAGAAAACAGAATTCGAAAACATGTTATTTTGTTTTCGAATTCTATTTTATTCTTAGCCTTTTAATAGGGATTTCCATTTTTCCCTTCAATGTGTATTTTAAGACATATATTTAAGGTTTTTTTTTTATTATTTTTTAAATTTCCCTTTGCTAGCTAGGATCACCAATAAATAAAAATACCTTGTTTTTGCTTTACACATCTTTAATGTTAAATTTAGTTGTGTATGTTCACGTTTTATTACAATATAATTTATTATTTATATTTAATAATACATTATTAGAGTTCAAGTCCTAACACTTTCATTATTTTATTTATACCGCATAGTATCGAAGCACTCATTCAGTTGGTTTTTCCATATTAACATTGTTTTAAAAACTCGCATTTGGTGGATTATAAAATTGTTATCATTCGTCTGCTTTGGGAGGGGGTATTTTTTATAGTGCTCTGAAGAAATGCAATAACAAAATGATTGGATAAATACTTTAGGAGAAGCACGTGAGTATGTTTTCAATTTCTTTCTTTATCTTTTTCTTTTTCGATTTTTGTTAAGTTTGCTTATTAGTTTTGTTTTGTGTTGTGTTTTTCTTTTGTTTCGTTTAAGGCTAAGTTACTATGTATTATGTATGTTCTCCGCTATTTGGAACCGATCGATCTGTGTTTCTTATCAACGCAGTACAAACAGTGTGTGGAAATCCATGATTTGGTTAAGTTTCGTTTGATTTGCTTTCGATAGTTTTTAGTCGTGTAAACGTAATTAAATATATGTAATAAATATTAGTACAAAATGAAATGCAAATCATCTTCAAATAATAATAGCAAAGACAGTTTGCACTTTAAATTCTTCACCGAAGTCGCTTAGATTGACACATAAAAAAAAATATAATGTAAATTATATATAGTATAGATCAGAGAAGAGCGAACGAAAGAAAAGGATTAAAAGTATCCAAAAACACTCGCTGGCTAAATATCTCTCAGGCAGAGACTGCAGTTCGGGGATCGCATAGGATAGTCATAATCAATTATAGTTACGGGGGAATACGTATGTAAATTGGATTTGGTGCAATAGTAATTGAATAAATTAATACAAATTAAATACAGTTTTGTGGCCTTTAAATAAATACAATGCGCGATTAGTTCGTAGTTGTAAAGTGTAATAGATAGATTTGTGCCGCGGCATGAACAAACTCTGGACGAGCATTTAAAACGACGAAAAATGAAGGGAACAAATCGCATAAGGTAATTATATTAAATGGAATCTCATATCATATTTAGAGTAAGTAGTAATTATAATATAGTAAATGTCTTTTTCTTTTACAAAAGTATAGTATCGACTGCGCAGAAATCATTATCATAATCATAATCATATAATCATAATCGAAAGAGAACCCAAACAAAGGTCATGGCCTGTTTTTTTTTAATGGGCTTTGCTATTATTTGTTATTGGTGTGTTGCTGTCATTGTAAATCTGTGTTCCCGTGCTTAGTTCATAAAGTATATATTTTAACAGACTTTCAACAGTGCGCCTCCTCGATTATGAATGTAGTTTAAAACTTAATAAAACCAGCGCGCAGCGTTATCGAGTTCGACAGAGAATTAAAGATAGGGGGCTGTGACAAGTCTTTCTTTTGTTTGTATCAATAATTGAACATTTAAGTTTCTTAGAACGGATGCAGAAATTTTTATTATTAATACGTTAGACGACGACATCATCGTTAAAAATGCCAAAGCAACCGGGATAATTGGACTTACACATGCTTTATGCTTTGTATATAATAACTTGGGTCCGTTCAAGTTTTTGTGTAGGAGTAACTCGCCACCAGCCACCTGACCCCCACGCCAAATCCTCCATGGCTGACGTTGGATACCAAACTGCGAGGGGGCCAAGAGCGAGGTTGCAACAAAAAAAATATAAAATTCTAGTGAGAGTGCATATTTTGCATTCAATAAACAATGATGGGAAGCCAAAGGGGAGGGGCGGGGGTTGTGTTAAAAAAGAAAGGGGTGAAAGTTGGGTGCGGGAAACTAACGCTTGCCGTTCGGCGAATTGAAACTGCACGAAAGCATCTCCTCCTTGGCCAACTTGGCGCGATACTCGGCCATCATGTCCCGGCACTGAATGGCGATCTCCAGCAGCTGCGAAAACATCGATTCGCCCCGTTTGCAGTACGAGTCCTGGTCGTAGTCCACATAGTTGGTCAGGTTGTACAGCGCCTTCGACTCGGAGAGGAATGTCTCCAGTGTGGCGTTTACGGTGCGGTGATACTCCACCACCATCTCCTCCGTCTGCTGCAGGTCGTCAATAGCCTGGTGCTGTACAATCAACTCATCGGACATCTCGTGTTCCTGCAGATAATAATGGATTAAGTCTTTTAATCGATAATCGCTCCGACAAGTATATATATTTAATTACAAATATATTGCATTTAATTGAATTATTCATGGAAGTTTTCTTTTTAATTTGTCAGTTTTCAAAACTAATAAAAAAAAAAACAATTTTGAAATGTCATTAAATAATGGTTAGATTTAAGAAAACAAAAAAACTTTTTTGTGTCTGGATACTTATGACATATGGACTGAATATAACAAACAATAACTGACCTCTACCATATCTTACAGTGACATGACAGAATTTAGCGATTTGTGGGCGTAATAACATTTTAAAAAAGCTCGAGCTGTGTGGGCGTTACTCGAATCTCTAATGTTTATAGTTTTCCAGATCTCGACGTTCATACGTAGGGACAAACATGCCTACATAACGACTCGGCTACTCTACGAGTAACGGGTATAAAAACAATCTAATGCTTCTTGTTAATACAAATGATTTATTTAGTCGACGCGAGGCCATTTCATCATCATTCGAGAAAGGCATAGACTTGAGTGAGATATCGAAACAATTAACGAGAGCATTCAGCTAATAACAAAATATAAAACATAGAGAATGCCATTTAGATCTTCGCAGAATACTAGAGTGACGGGACCATGTCCATCTTCGAGCGATTGGCATCGGGATTCACCGGACTCCGGACATGGGGCAAATGGGAGGCGTACTTCAACAGCAATTCATCGCAGTCCAAAGTGGAGAAGAGCGTCTGTGTGCGGGAGCGTTGGAGTTGTTGTCGCCTTTTGGACTCCTCTGTATCCTCGGCAAACTGTGGCGGCGGCGGCAGTGGCATCACATTCTCCATGGTGCCTTTCCCTTGGCGCATCTTCACCTCGTTAATCAGGGCTTCCATCTCACTGACGTTCAGCACATGACGTTCTCCTGCTGGCCGCAATTGCTTAAACTGCTCGGAATTCGGAAGTTCATTAACGTCATCATGCTTTTCAATAGCTGTCTCTGACGGCAAGGTCACATAGAAGAATTCGTAATTGCTTGGCTTTTTACCAATTTTCCCGTCGTCCTTTTCCTTTTTGGCACGATTATCTGGAGTCGGGGGACGCACCGACTGCTTGAGGTTCGCATTGGACGTCTCTACTTTCCCCTTCGATGAACTAGTCTTCTGCTTGGCATAAACGTTGTAGGTCTTCTTTGGTGGTTTTGCAATCTTGGGTTTGTTGCAGTTCCAGACGCGAGTAGATTCACTGTTCTGCGCCACATGATCGCCGCCTTTGGTCCGGATTGCAGTCTTGCTGGCTCCGGTGGCGTCACTGGCTCCTCCTTTTTTTTTTGGCTGCTCATCACAGCAGCAGGAGTCTTGCTGTAAACGGATTGCAGACCCCGAGCAGTGGTACTCTTTGCGATTTTGATCGTGTTGTGGCTATCACGAGCAGTTGGTATCGATTTGGACATTGTGTTTCGTCGTATGGTTTGACTTGTACGGAAAACTAAAATCTTAACCGAAAGGGTTGTGAACTGATATAGTTGTAAAGTAAAACGCAAAGCCTTCTTGTCAAGTATTTTGGCCTTCTTAACTTGGTAACTAAACTAAAGTAAAACGCAAAGCCTTCTTGTCAAGTATTTTGGCCTTCTTAACTCGGTAACTAAATAAAAAAAAAAAGCGAAAGTCTAACGATAGTTCATAATATGTTCACAAACGGATTTAGCTTAATTTAATCAAACACCATTTAAGGCTCGTATTATTGTCGAAACGGACTTAGTTCAGAGGACCTACCTACTAAGAAATATTTCTTAAAGTCTTAATAAAGCATTTATAACCCAGCGTTAAATATATATTAATTAGATAGCTATCGTCGACAGATTATTAATTTTTCATCGATTTAGGATCCAGCTTCGCTTGTTTTGTCCGTTTTTTAAGTATGGTTCATTTGCGTTATCGTTTGTTTGTGATATAATTATAAAACCGTTTCCTTATTTAGTTTTTAGCCTAAGATTTGTTAGCATTTGCTAAATTATATATGGAGGTATGTGGATATAGTACTCACACTCAGTGAACTCAGCATGGCCAGGTCCATGTTTCCAGCGTTTCCGTTCTTGTTGTTGTTGTTATTATTGTTGTGAATACTGGGGCCCGAGTGATGTGAGCCTGGAGCGCCGACACGTTGGTTGTGCGACTGGGAGGCCGGCGCATGCGTGTTCTGGTGCAGCTGGTGAGAGTGCGGATGCACCAGGTTGAGCTCCTCCTCCTCGTCGTCGTCCATGATCTCGATGGCCTCGCTGTCGCCACCAGGGCCGATTTCGGCGATATCCTTAACCACCAGCTCCTTGACACGATCCGCATAGCGCAGCGTGTTGAGCGTGTGCTCGCAGGAGCTCAGTCCCGGCGAGATCATGGCGATCATGCAGGTCTTGCTCTTCTCGCCAATGAACGAGTCGCGCAGCACCTGGGTCAGTTTGGAGACACGGAAGGGCAGGTGGGCCGACTGTTTGCCCAGCGCCCGGATGCACTCCTTGAGGGCCAGCAGCGATTTGTTGATCTCGGCACCCTCCATGCGTGTCTGTCGGTCGGCCGACGAGGTGTCCACCCCACGTTCATTGCCCGCCAGATCGATGAACGAGAATTTGCCGTGGATCTTGGTGGAGCCCATCGGTCGCAACACAATCTGGAAGACGGCATGCGAACGCGACGAGTTCGAGTTGGCCGACGTCTGGCCGGAGGTGCGGGCAGCATTGCCGTGCTGGATGAGCTTCAGCACCTCCTCGACACTGTCCACCACCTTCTCGGTGAGGCCGACCACCTGCACCTGCTGTTTGCCGTCCTCTAGGACGCGCAACTTTTGCTTATCGGCCAGAAGATCGAAGACCTGTTTGTCCAAGAAGGGGAAGATGGATGGATGGATGGATGGATGGATTAGTTCTGCGACTCAGAATGTATGCCGGCATTCCATACACACTCACCTTTCCGCTGTAGATCTCAAAGAAGCTGGCCGAAACGACTAGATTCATGGAGCGATAACGTGGCATATTTAAGGTCACAAAAACGTCCTTGGCCGCCATGGCATAGATGCCGTTCTTGCAGTCCTGCACCTTTCCGTTGAACTCGCCTCCCATGGTGTGCGTCTTGCCGGATCCTGTCTGGCCGTAGGCGAAGCACGTCGCCATTCCGCCCTCGAAAATGGTTTTGACCAACGGCTTGGCTGTGTATCTACGGGTGTGATGTGAAAGTTGTTTATTATTATTGAATTTAACGTTAACGTTAACGTTAACGAGCTCTAAAGCTTAAGTTAAAATTGGATGTGTAGTTGAACTTAAAACAAACACCAAAGATACTCACGATACACTGTATATTTGTGCTAGAAGCTATATCTTAAACAGTTATATCGTTTAAAGTTAAACATTATTAGCAAGTAACGTATAATCATGTTTATATTTTATCTGCATTGTTATGTTATCTGTATAAATAATATATGGTTTTATAAACCAAGCCAAGAACAATGTAAACTGTAAGTTTGAAAAGAAATCTAAATTCGACTGATCAAAGACCCCAGAAAAAGAAAAACCAATTTAAATCATATCCGGTTATTTAAAGTATTGGCGTATTGATAATGAGTATGATTCTGCTACAATCAGCTGTTGTTTCATTAGTTCGTTATCATAAACCTAAAGCAGGTATTAAGGTATTAATTCCGGCCATTACTCATGGGGTATACTTTAGCGTCCGTCGTGACGCAAACGGCTCGTTTTGAATGGCGTTACCAATTCCCGGTAGCCATATAATACACTAAACTAAAGCGCAAAAACAGGAAGGAGAAGTTGGGAAATTAGCGGGAGAAATGGGAAAGAGGAAATGGTAAATGGGGAAAGGGGAAAGGGGGACAGGCGAATAAACAGAGCCGCTTTAATTCAATTGAAGGCAAACGCAAACAATTACTAATGGACAAATGCTGGGCCAAAAGGCAGTTACTTTTCGAAATCTCTTTTGCTGGCAGAATAAATTGTTTAGAGAGTTCGAGTTCGAACGTAGATCGGCCAACGAGGGGAAGTGGAAGTGGCTGGCTTGCTGGCTAGCTGACTTGATGGCTTGCTGGCTTTTCAAGTTAGTCATACAATACAACGCAAACGAAAAAGTATAAAACAAACTTGGCTATTTCGGGAACGACCGCTTTCAGATGCATGCTTTTGTTGCCGTCTCTGTCGGTATGAGTCAATGAGTAGCTCCACCAGAGATGCGCAAGCGTTTTCCATTCACACCATCGCAAATGTTTTATTTTAAACAAATATTTGTGTAATTGGAATGTGAAAAGGTGCATGTTGAATCCTCAAGATTGCAATTTAAACAAACTAAGATATATTTAAAGCGGACCCTATCCTTTATGGGTATAATCAGGTTTAAATACCTCAAATTTATAGTGAGTGGAAATCGCTAGTTCAGAACGTGTCCCATTTTAAATAAATATTTACTTAATTGGGATAGGAATATTTGGAAATCAAACATAATCTAATATATATTAAAGCCTCTTTTAACATTATACAAATTAAATAAAAAATAATACAGATAAAAATACCATAAATACTATATTAGATTTCAGTTTAAATATGTTTTATTTTATTATTTTAAAGGCTTTAAGCAAACTCATGACGTATGCTATTAAATATTTGTAGATCTTTTTGTAAAAATAGCTATCTAACTAGTCTGCTAATTAGGTTTCAGTAATACAAAAAGTTTAAATAATGCATTCATATTTTAGCTTTCTACGTTGCCTAATTAAAAAAAAATAATAAAATAGTTAATTTATTTCGATCTATGCCAGTATTAAAAACACATTAGTGATGTTCAGTGATTGAAAAGATATTAGCAAAAAGCTGAGAATATTGACAGACAATGGAATGTAGAGACGCCATATAAAGAACATGACCCGATGTTTGTTTAATCGCGCTAATAATTCAGCGATGTAGCACTCTTAACTGTACGACAGCTGCAAATAGTTCTCAACAAAATCCTTTTATGCTCGGTGCCAAACAAACCGAAGCAAGCAAAGCTTGTACCAGCCATAAATGGTATGGTAAGAGGTTCTAAATAGAAATTCTACAATCTAGATGGTTGAAATACTCACTTGTATACCATGGCATTGTCGCACGTGTCGTTGAAGGCGTAGTCGAAGCGAAACTTGTGATTCTCCAGGAACTTGGTGAGGTCGACCTTGCTGCGCGGCTCGTGCACGATGAGCATGTCCTTGCGCGGCACCGATATGACGTCGATCTCCTTGCGATTGACCTCCTTGCGGCTGATGGGTCGCTTCCGCACGCACACGGTGATCTGGTGGTCATCGACGGCCTGGCCATCGAGCAGCGGCACGAACTCCAGTGTGCTCTGGTACTCGCGTATCATCTGCGCCGTCTCCCAGTTGGGATTGCCCGGATCCTGGTTCATCAGGGCCACCTTCTCCTCCTTCATCTCGGCCTGGCGAGCACGTCGCTTCTCGCGGTTCTCCTTCAGACGTTCCACCTCCTTTAGGGCATGCGATCGGCGAGCTCCTCCGCCGGCTCCTTGGGTTGTGTTGCTGGCCGGAGCAGCAGCCTGGGCTGCTGGAGCTGCTGCCGCTGCTGCCGCCCCTGGATTGGGCAATGTGTTGTTGGGCACTGCCGAGGCAATCCTCGTCTGCTGCTGGCCGATTGCAGCTTGCGAGTAGCGCGGTCGCTGCAACCCGGTGGTGGAGGAGGCTCCGCCGGCTGTGGTGTTCGAATTGCTATTCGTATTGGCGCTATTGCTGTTGCCCAGCGGATGCGGAATCGATTGGGTCTCCTGGATCTTGTTCAGCATGTTGCCGGTAATGGTCATGCGGCTGGTGAGATTGCCACCAATTGCCGATTGAGTGGGATTCCGCGAGAGGTTCATCGGGGCGGTGGCCTGTTTCTTGGGCTCCGGGGCGGCATGCTGCTCCACGGTGTCCTGCATCAGCTCCGGATTCAGCGTGAGTATGGCGTCCAGTTCCACCTCCTTGCCCTTGGTTTCGCCCCGCTCGTACCATTCGACTGTGATGCACTTGCCCGACTGATTGATCACCGCCACCACGGCCATGTGGACACGGCCGTCCGTGCGCTTGATCTTGACGCTCTGCCCCACCGTGATCATATCCATTTTGGGGTCGATGATCTTGTGTAAAGAAGGTCCGCTTTTACTGGAAGTCCTTTTAGTATGTGATTCTCCTTGCACTGCTTCACGGACCGCGACTGCTTGGCGGTTGGCGAGAAGTCCCGTTAGTCGTAGAACTACTTGTTTCTGTTTATATATTTGCAATGCAAAATATGTCTGAGGTAAAACAAAAATAAAAACAGAGAGTAAAAATATGTGTCACGCCGATAAGAATAATGTTCTATTCGAAACTAATTACTGAAATGAAATGGCAGCTCCCCACAGAATTTGAGGCAATAATGGCTAAATCGCAGGGAACTGCTTGTCGAGGTCGCCGACAGCGTCTGTTTCGTTTCTGGAGTATGTGTGCATGTGTGTTTGCGCTTGGTGGCCTACGCCAGTGTGTGTGTGTGTGTGCTCAAAACGAATTCAAATGCCAACTGTCGTTTTCGTTGCGTCTGGCAACGGTAAACAAAAAAAAAAAGTGCAGAAGGAACAGTAGGGAAATGGGGAAAAGTAATAGGGGAACGAGCGTAGGATCGTTGTTCTGCCAACCCAAATCCCGTTACTGTCGTTGTTGTGCGCCCATTTTGTGGGCAATCGGTCTCGGAACTGTGCAACACTGACAGCCGTGCGGCACACACATAGCGACACATATGCATCTGCGGCGGCCCTTTTGGACACAAAAAAAAACAACAATCTGCAGCATACGACAACTAATCAATGCTTCGGGCTCTTAATTAGATGCACAAAAAAAACACTCACAAACGATGCGAAATGGCGTTTGGCTTATCGTTTTACGTCATACACGGGGGCTCCTGCTCCCACACACACAGCATAACACTCAAACGCACACACCGATGCAGAAAACAGACGGTCGCGGAAATGTAATTTAGTTTTTCGCAATCTGCTAGCTTTTTCTCACCTTTGCTGCTGTCTTCCCAAACGCTACACTTCGTTCGCACTTTCCATTAAAAAAAACTTAAAGATTTATCGACCGATCACAACGAAATATCACAAAATCTATCCGAAATAGTTTTACAAGCGACCAGATGTCAGCAACACAGTTTTGTAGTTTCACAGTTTCTTCGCCATTGTTTTTTGCCACACTGTCATGACAATGGCACGCCGTTGCCCAGCACTGGACTGCAGGCCGGCCAGTGCTGGGAATCAGCCGTTGCGTTTGAAATGAGCAATTGAGAGTGAGTGAAAAGGTGAAAAAATTTATTTTGAAGCTGGAGTTGCCTTGGGTTAATGGCTTATAGGAGGCCCCCAAGTCCGACCACCACCCAATTGGGCAGTTTTTATGAGTTTACTAACCTTCGAGCATTAGCCAACACTAGTCGAGAGTAACGTCTCTAGAGGTCAGCTGTTTTTTGAATATCTTGCGCCTACAAAACATCTTAAGAAAAAATATTAAACAAAAGCATAAAACAGTTGTTGACCTCTTCCTGTAATTATAAATGCAAAGAAGGTAGAAACACCTTCGAAAAACCCCTTGCTCTACATACTATCGATAGCATGAAAACAATCGATTGTGTGCCAGAGCCGAACAATCAATTGTATCGATAGCTGGGTGCATTTGTTTGTGCGTAGAAAGTAAATTGGCGAAACGAAACGAAAAAGCGAGTAAAAGTTAGCAAACTGCCAAAGAACTCACGGGTTATTCGCTGGACATAGTCGCCATATCAAGGGATCAAAAAAAGGGAAAAGCCCATAGCCAAATCCACGCCACGCCATGGACATCATGGACATCCAGGCCGTCGAGTCCAAGCTGAGTGACGTCACGGTGACACCGATACCGCGCAGCCAGGTGCAGAATTTCTACAATTACCAACAGCAGCGGGAGCAGCGCGAGCAGCAGCCCCAGATCCAGATATCGGCCATCCACCACTCGCGTGGTGGTACCGGAGGCTCGGGCTCGGGATCCGCCTCCTCAGCCACGGACTACTCCACGGCGGGCAGCGGGGGCAAACGGGAGCGGGACCGTTCCGGCGCCAGCGACTACAGCAGCTCCGCCGGCAAACAGAGCTCCGCTGCTGCTGCCAATGCAGCAGCCGCCGCCGCTGCCGTCGCTGCCCTCCAGTACTCCCCGCAGTTCCTCCAGGCCCAGTTGGCCCTCCTGCAGCAGCAGTCCAACACCACGGCCACGCCGGCAGCAGCTGCTGCTGCGGCCCTCTCCCTGGCCAACATGTGCTCCTCCACGTCCAATGGCGGGCAAAGGAACTCCGTTGCCACAGCCTCAGCATCCTCCTCCAGCAATGGCCAGAGCATGGGCCTGAACCTGAGCTCCTCGCAGCTAAAGTACCCGCCACCCTCCACCTCGCCCGCGGTGGTGACCACCCAGACGTCGGCCAACATCACCACGCCGCTGACCTCCACGGCCAGTCTGCCGTCCGTGGGACCCGGCAACGGGCTAACCAAGTACGCCCAGCTGCTGGCCGTCATCGAGGAGATGGGTCGCGACATCAGACCCACCTACACGGGCTCGCGCAGCTCGACGGAGCGGCTCAAGCGTGGCATTGTCCATGCCCGCATCCTGGTGCGCGAGTGCCTCATGGAGACGGAGCGAGCGGCGCGCCAATGAGAGGAGGAGTCGCTGTCGCCGCAGCTGGCGTCGTTGGAGTGAAGAGGACTCCTCATCCGACGACTAGGTTAATTCCCCTCCCCGCACAGATAGGATGGGTCGAATTTACGGACCAGGCATCTAAGGAGCATTTAGAAATCTTTGCACGATTGTGAGCCAATTCCGCTTGAATATCATAGAACTAATGCTATTTTGTAAACTTCCCAATGGGAAAAGAGTCTGCTCAAGAAGAGCAGCCCCAATTGCTTTTCCTGAGCGCCTTTTTTTCTGTTCTTTGCTATGGCATTCCAAATTTGGTATAATGAATCGGTCCACACTTAGCTTGCTGAAACACACCAGCCTGGACAGATCTCAATGACAAACAAGAATTAATATTTTGATGAAATTTAAACCGTAATTCTAAAATACTTAACCATTACTACAACTTTTGGGAATGATTCATGCAGATAGCTTTAAATTGACTGAAATTATAATACCCTCTGCTAGGGTATATGACTATAAATAATTACACATTTCTTTGGTTAACACATCACAGAGATCAAATTGTCTGGTTCAGCTATGATTGCATTACATTTAACTTATCCAGCTGGTTGCAGCACATGTAACATGGAAAGATGCTCACAACGCTCCAAAGATTGCTCATAGATTATGCAAAACCCATCCTATCCCCCGAATATCCCCGTATTATGCATTAAAAGTAGCAATTTGTATTAACTTGTAAGTCTCCATCAACTTAATGGCCCTCGGGCCGCCGGACCATAGTTAAAGAATGTTTAGACTAGCTCAGGTTACAATCGGTTAAATCTACATTGCTAAAGCTGCAACACAAGTTATGATATACATATATTATTTCTCTTTACCACATGACTAACAATCTGTATCCGTAATTGTAATCGATTAAGACTAAGATGCACCTGCTGATCCCGTGTGCTTGTTGTCCCCCAAACTGTGTGTCTGCGTAGCGAACTGTGTGCGATTAGTCTTATCTAATGGGGACTTCTTAGGCGAAGGAAGAGGAGATCCGTCCACGGGCAGAATTTGAATATGAATATGAATATGAGTATGAGTATAAGTTCGCCACTGCCGGGATCTCCTCGTTATTTTAGAGAACTATACAAATTCATATATGTAGTTAAGCAGAGATATATGTATACATATATTTACTTGTTATGCAAGCAAACAATGTGCATGTCCAAGTGAATGGTGAATTAGTGGCAATTGACACGAGAATATTTATATATGTATACACATAGAACACAACTTGTATATTTACTATATGTATGAGCAAATACGACTAAGTTCAAGCCTGTATACCAAACCGAAATCGAAATAAATGCGCAATTTTGGTTTTTGTAAGCGATTTTCACGCCTTACTTTTCAGAGATTTTCCATTTTTTGTTTGTCATAGTTTATCATTACCCTTCTTAATTCAAAGGAACATAATTTTTGTTTTAAACTTTATTTCATAATTTCGGGTTTGTCAATATCAATTAAATTCAGCAGCTCGTTTCTAGCAGTTTATCAAACTCATAAACACCACGTAATTTAAGTTTATATACTTATTTTTACAAGGTTTAACAATCGTATTTAGGACAACATCCGGGATATGGCTTGCTCAAGTCACTCGTCAACAAGCAGGGTTTCAAAGAGGCTATGGTAGGGCATCTGGGTGAGACAATTAAGAAGTGGGTATAATGCGGATATATCTATACGATCCGGTGCAACTTACGTTAGGGCTGATAGTTTCCTGGGTCCTTGGCATTTGTACTGCATGCAACGACCTTCCGGACTGTATGTCTCTCCAGTTTTAAACTTCTGACCGCCGACCTCACAGTCCACTAAAAGGAATAAAAAACGCAGACAATCGAGATGGAGGTGGAGGTGGAGGAGCAGGTGACCTTCCAGGGGCCTTCTTACCGGCAAACACCAGGAGTGAGTGGGCGCCCAGCACCAGCAGGCAGAGTACGAACGTGACCGATTTCATATTTTTCAGCAAACTGATCCGAGTGTTGCCTCGCCGCCTGACTATATTTTGTTATTTGGTGTTTGGGGTGCGCCTGCGATTAGAATCATTAGATTGAAAGGTCAAGATCCCAGTGATCTCGCGATTGCGTCTCCGGGGTCCACGGGTGTATCAAAAAGGTGGAAAATTCTTGTTACAAACAGATCAAGACTTTAAACTGGCAAACACAGCTACAGTTCAACTTATAGCACGATTGGGTTAGCGTGTCAAAGTGTTTCGTTTTGTATTAAGCAATTTAATTCAAGAAAGATTCAGTACACCGAAATCTAATAGAAAAGTATACATTTGTGTTAATTTAGTTTTAAGTGTATTAAAACATTCAGAATTTATGTTAGGTAGTTACACAAAATTTCAAACTAATCTAGTACAAACTATTCAAGCTAAATCACTTAAAAACAAGAAAGAAAGCAAACTTCGGCAAGCCGAAGTTCATATACCCTTGCAGCTATTGCATGAATTAAATACTTTTGAAAACATTTAAATTATGATTTACTTGAGTATATGCTGAAAAACATTGAAACTATGATGATTTGCAGCTCAATTATTAGATAGTTATTTTATATATTTTTATTATTTCTATGGGAGCTATATGCTATAGACGTCCGATTTTGATAAAATTTAAAACATAATTCTGAAATAATTAAACATTGCTATATGTCGAAGAACTAAACAAAAAATTAAAAAACAGAAAAGTTATATTTTTTTTTCATTTATTTTTCCGATTGTTCCTATGGGAGCTATATGCTATAGTCGTCCGATTTTGATGAAATTTAAAACATAATTCTGAAATATTTAACCATTACTATATCTCGAAGAACGCAACAAAAAATTAAAAAACAGCAAAGTTATAATTTTTTTTCATTTATTTTTCCGATTGTTCCTATGGGAGCTATATGCTATAGTCGACCGATTTTGATGAAATTTAAACCGTAAATCGGAAATATTTAACCATTACTATATGTCGAAGAACTAAACAAAAAATTAAAAAACAGCAAAGTTATAATTTTTTTTCATTTATTTTTCTGATTGTTCCTATGGGAGCTATATGCTATAGTCGTCCGATCCGGCTCGTTCCGACTTATATACTACCTGCAATAGAAAGACAACTTTTGGGAAAGTTTCATGCAGATAGCTTTAAAACTGAGAGACTAGTTTGCATATAAACGGACGGACAGACGGACAGACGGACGGACAGACGGACAGACGGACGGACAGACGGACAGACGGACATGGCTAATCCGACTCTACTAGTGATGCTGATCAAGAATATATATACTTTATAGGGTCGGAAACGTCTCCTTCACTGCGTTGCAAGCTTCTGACTGAAATTATAATACCCTCTGCAAGGGTATAAATATATTATTTTTTCTTATATTTATTTTTCGAACATATATGTTATTTGTTTAAAAAGTTATACAGAACAAACTTTACTAAAAACACAGAAAAAAAAAGGAAAATATTTAAGAAAGACAAGGTTTCTAGTTCTATTTTAATTTTGATTAACTTAGGCAACATTTTTTAGAAGCTATGAATGATGGAAAATATATACACATTTTAAAACTATAAAACATTTATATATATTATATCATGTTTTATTTAGTATATTTACTATAAAAATCACGCAGAACTATTATTTTAAAGGGAACTGTAAGCACATATATCTAGAGCCCACTGGAACACTCTAGCTTGGGGCAGCAATCCGGATATTGGAGGTCATAGTTGCTGGCGGAGAAGTGGCAACCAGGTCCGGGATATGGCATTTTCTCGCAGCTGGAAGAGATTACGAGAGATTTAGCTATGTTTTTTCTTTGCCTGATTTTGAAGACTCACTGTCGAATCAATAGCAGGTAGTCGTCGGTGCACTCCAGTCGGATGCAGTAGCCATGTTGTCCGGCGGGCAGAAGGTAGCCGTGCAGCGGCACGGCCAAGTCCAGCTCCTTGTAGAGACAGTGCTCCGGAATGGTTGGGTGCTGCGTGTGACCCTGGTACTGGGTGCTGAAGCCATTGGCCGCCACCGATGAGACCATGAGGCAAGCCACGAAAGCCACGAAAGCCACGAACGGTGCTCCGGACATGGTTGCTTTTCTATTGTGGAATGGGATGACCCAGTAATGGAGGCATCTCTTATAAGGGGCTGGGGCCCATCCGACGGGGCCTGCCTTATCAGTTCGCTATCACCGCTTCCGTGCCCTGCGATTGATTCGCTTTCGATTGGATTGGCCCGGGTTTGCCTTGCTCTCGAGCTGGAAATGGAGGAAGTTAGGTGGCACCTAGACCTTATCGAGTCTGGGAATCCGGACCTCTTCAGGTGGCAATTAGGAAGTGGTAACTTTTAGTGTTTGATCACTGGAGGGATGTTAAAATAATAGTTATAGCTATCATACCAAGTGTGTCTTATCAATAACAATTTAGTTATCTGCTTTCCGCTTTTATACAAATAAACAATAAAATAATTCCAATAAATATTTATCACAACTGTTAAACAATTGGCGAATTACTTATTGTTTGGTTAGCATCCTAATCAATTTTAAGAGTGTAAAAAAATAAAACATTATTCTTTGCAAATATTTTTAGTTGTATTTTTTTATTTATTTAATATTGATAAAATTAAATAATTTTTCAATCATGTGTAGATTTTGTTATAGTCTAAGCTTTTGAAGGGAATCGTGGAATTGATAATCATAATTAACTGATCCCATAACTAACCATCAAAGTAAGAGGAAGATGATGCTTAGAAAAGCCATAATTACAAATTGTAGTGGAAACCGTGGTCTTCACTCTATCCAATCTATTCCAAATCAAATCACATGGTTTATCCCCCTTCCCGCGATTAGAATTAATTAATGCAAATACAGCCACAATGCACTTGCACTCGTGAGTCTCATCAAATTTGCATAAATGTATCTACGTAAAACGTACCCGGGTATCTTGTGGTGTGGGTACAGAGTACACAGAAAGAAAAAAGTGTATATTTATTAAGTATTAAATATAGTTAAGTAATTTAACATTTGATATCGGAGCAAATGGTTAAAACAAAAAAAAAACGGTTAAACTAAAATTTTTAGGCAATTTCTACACTTTTTGGGCTTTAAAATATAATAAAAGTTAAAAAAAATTATTTTATTTATTTTATACAAATTCGTTTGTAAAATGGAATTTTGTTTTAGATTCTAATTTTTTGGTTTTGAATAAATATTATTTACGATCCTTAAATTAAATTAAATATAAGTTATAAGCTGAGAACATTTTTTTTTGTGAGCTGTTATATTTGAACTTGGGTTTCGGGTAGAAGAGGAATTGACAATATATCTTAAAGAGTGAACAAAAAAGAAATATTTATCTGAGTATAACATCATTTGCAAATCAAAGCTAAATGATAATATGCTGCTTTATTTTCTGTGTATGTGGCCGAAATTTGACTTTACAAAAGAGTTACTTTGTGTGCTTTTTGATTACTTTTCGCGGCGCAGCAACCTTGCCACAGTTTTTCGAACCGTGTCACTAAACTGTCAGGGATTTCCATTCACCTCCCCCTTCACCCATTCCACAAGCCAATCGCAATCGCAATCGCGATCGCAATCCCCGCCAGATCTCACTCTCACTTTCAGGGCTGGCTTAATTAATTTAAACTAGAGCTAGAGCGGACGCCTTAAGTCGTCGTCAAACAAAAGCCACAGCGCAGATGCTATCTGCGTATGTGAATGATATTGTATGTACCATATGCTATACCCATGTATGTACATATGTGCTCACATACTGCACAATGTTTATTATTAATTTTATATAAAAGCAACAACAATTAATTGTAATTGACTCAGTCGCACGGTTAGCGTACAACAGCCAAGTCGGATTTGGACTTGGATTTGGATTGGGATTCGGAATCGAAATCGAAATCGGCTTTGGCATCGGAATCTCAGACACTTAATTTTCCCCCCATTTGTCGATTATGCGAAGAACCGGAGTTGCCTGTCTTTTGATGCTCCTGGGCATTTGTGGTGCAGCACGGGCGGATCTCACCTATCGCGGAAATGCGGTTCACCCAGGTGAGCGGCGGATATACGCGATATCTAATAGTTAAGAGTATGAAATTATCTCTGTTTAATCTAAAAGTTCAAGTTGAAAGGCGAAAACCCTATAGGTGTGATTTACAGCATTCATTAGCATGCCTCACAGAAATAACAATACAGGAAGATGAAAGAAAAAATTCACTGTACAACAGTGGGAATTGAACCCGTCATCCTATCACCAGTGACAGAATTTTTTTTATTATTATTGTGTTAATTATTCAATCCAAAAACTATTAATTCGTGTAAAATCGATAAGTTTTATTACATATTTCTCTTGAAACCTTTAAAATATATTAAATTAGTGCCAGAAAAGAAGAAATAGGAAAATTTAAAACTTAGTTGGAAATAGAATAATTGTAGCACTAAAGTTAAAATTAAAAAAGGAAAAATAAAGCATATTCATGACCACAAGCACACAACCACTTTCCTATTTTAATTAAATTGCTTTATTTATTTTATTTCTAATTTTTCGGCTTATAAAAAAATAAACAATATTTTATAATCATTTTTTTTTTTTTTTTGACATTCTAGCACTTTAAGAATAACTTATTATTTAATTTAAAAAAAAGGAACAAAATAGGAAACAACATTTGAGGAAATTATAATTGTCAAGCAATTTACTAATCTATCAATGAGTACTTAAAATGATTTCTTTTATTATTATTGTATCTCAATAAAACAAGCGGTTTCGTAAGTGAACATATATATATATATATATATGAATCTATGTATACATATATTTTATTTAATGGATTGTTACCAATTCCCCTAGATTATCCTGGGCAGTGTTACTATGAGGAACTCAACCAGGCTATTCCCAAAAAGCAGTCCTACAAACCGATCAATCGCGAAGGCTATTGCCAATCGATCTACTGCCGGCCCGATTATGTCCTAGAGATTGGCTAGTAAGTTTGTTTAAATTGTTAAAAAAGTATTTGTTAATAGTGATTACCTAATGATTTTATAATACAGCTGCGGTCGGCACAATTTGGTGCCCACGGACAAGTGCAAGATCGCCTCGGATATGAGACGCACCTTCCCCGACTGCTGTCCCAAACTGGTTTGCCAGGAGTCGGAGAGCAACTACATCTAGGCTGGATCTGGATGCTGTGGATGCTGTATTTAGCCCTTTAGTATAAGCTTCATTTGCCACGTGGCTTTTGGTGTTCAATTTATTGAATAGCTCTTCATTTAGTGACTGGATTGGTTGGTCAACGAGTTTTCTTAATATTTGTTTTTAAAATCTTTTGCGTTTATTTTTAAGTTTTTTTATGGATTTTGTTTTTTTTTTTAGAGATATGCCTTACATACATATACAAAAATTAAAAAAAAAAAAATATACATATACTTAAAAAAATAAAAAAATCTTTTATTTTTTATAAATATAACTGAATTATTTTTGACTTTACCTCATTTTCAGTTTGGAATAGGTGTTGTCATGTAAACAATCAGCCCAAATTGTCACAGGTACAATGTGGTGTAATATTTTATTCCATTTTGGTTACAAGATCCAAACATTTTTAATAAAGTTTCAATTGTAAGGTTTAATTTTCTAGGGAAACTAAAAAAACAATATCAAATTTCAATTTTTTTTTTATTCTATTCTTAAACGTTATCATATGGATTTAAAGCTTGAAAATGTTTTCTGAAATATGTACTTATCTGTAAATGAAATATTTTATGGTAGTGAGTGTTACTTACAGGGCATGTAATTATTGTTCCTAGATTTTAAAATATTGAAACTTTTGGGGAAACTACGCATTTGACCCCTCTCGGGCAATTAAACAATTAAAAGTGCCACCATAATCCCTCTCAATCAAGCTGAAAATGCAAATCACGGCTACTAATTTGCACACAAACACCAAGTGTGCTCAGAAACTATAAATAGGAAACAGGTTGGCCGGCGGTCGTTTTAGTCTCGTCTCCACATTCCGAAGATGCACAACAAGAGAACCGTATCCGTGTGGCTGGTGTTCTCTGCCGTGCTGGTGGCGCTCCTGCTACCGGAGGCACTACTGCCCACCGCCGATGCCGGTGAGCTGCCCATGGACCCCTTTGCCACTGTCCAAACTGGAATTTAAACCCAATTCACGATCCCATCACCCATCTCCCATCCCATTCCATTTTCAGTCAGCGAGCCCGTGTGCTCGTACCGCAACTCGGAGGATGAGACCATCTTCCTCAAGTACCTGCCGCTCCTGAGGCGCGGACAGGACTACGTGGACTTCGGGAAGGACGGCAAGTGCCTCAAGCGGGCCATCTGCACGGACACCTTCAAGACGATCGTGGAGGAGTGAGTATATTGGTTCTAAGCTGTTTAAATTCATATACAGCGCGGTAAAGTAAAGTGCTAAAAAATAAGACATACATTTACTTCTCTTTAAGTTTATCAGAATGCCTAACTTGCCCATAAACAAAATGAGGTTTAAAAAACATTGATATCAATTTAGCTTTACAAGAAAAATAAAAATTTCTTTAGTTTATCATATTAGCTCTACAAAAATGTAAAAAAACTGTTTTTCAAAAGTTGCTTCCAAACTATTTTTGATTGCTATATTCGAAAGCTTAAAAATTACTATTATTTTCAAAGTAAACAAATTGACATTGTAGTAATTTTTTAATTAAATGTTTGCAATCATTTCAATTTCAATTTTAAATTCATTTGGAAATTTGTACATATCAAATTGAAATACTGATATCAAAATGAATTTCATATTAATTGTTGTCTCTATTAACATAGAAATATAAAATATATTGTAAAGTAACTTTTAATCAAGATAAAATCCCTATTTTTTTAAAGCAACTGCTTCTGGGAGAATAGACCCATTTTTTAATGTCTTTTTTAGTTTCAAAAACATAATTGTAATATGTTGATATCAAATAAATAAATATTCATATGAATCGTTTTGCATACAAAATTTAAATGATCAACTTGTCAAATAATGTTGCTGTGAGGCAAATCAAATACTTACCAAGCTGACAATGGGTTTCCAAAGAGCATATATATTTACTTAACTCTATCACAATATCATTTCAGCTGCGCCCAACACAAAATCACGTGTGCCAACAAGGATCGCTTTACGGGCGTATTTCCCGGCTGCTGCCTCAAGTGTCCTTAAAACGGAGAAGTTCAGCTGCTTTAACGCTCCAAAAATAAAAAGCGAAAAATACATAAAACGAAATTCCAAATTGCTACTATGATTTGAATTTCAATATTTGGATAAGACTTTGTGCTTCATTCAAGTTTGGGGTGTTAAAATGCCTTCATTTTCGACAATGAGAAAGTGTTTGATATCCAACTTAAAGTTTTAAAAAAAATAATGTACATGATAATTATACAAAATACAAAAAAAAAATGCTACTATTTAAAGCAGGAAAGATGATTAAAGATGCACAAATTATCTAAGACCAATATAAAATTATTCAATGCCTATTTATGCCTGTAACAGTAACACACAGCAATAGGCGAAGTGATCTGCCAATTATACAGATGATTTTGCACGATATTTTCAAATGTAGCTTAATCGAATAATAATTAAAACATTCAACATACATTATATACTTTATGGAATCACAAGTTTTAATGCCCTTGAAGAGAAGGGTATGAAAATACCCTGATCCGCCGACTGATATTCCACTTTATTAGTCATTTCTGATTAGTTACAATTAACCAACTTTATAGCAAACCGAATTGTTTTAAATAGATTTTTTCACGTTTATTTTTTGTATTTCTTAAGTTTCTTAGATTAATAACATGTAGATGTGATTTCGGCGGCCTTCCTGTAATTTTCTGTTTTTTATTTATATTTTTTTGGGCTCAATTTTAGTTTTTACTTCCGTTGCGCTCTCGCTCGCTCCCGTGTGCACAGAGCATGCCGTCTCCTTCTTTTTAGCATGCACACCGTTGTTGTTGTTATTGTTGTTGTTGCAGTTGTGGAAAAGAACATAGCTGTTTGCAAGTTTTAAAAAAATACGTGTTTCGATTTTTTATTTTACTTGGTTTTCGGGTATGTTTTGTTTCGTTTCTCTACCATTAGAACAATTTCAATATCTGCCAAAAGCAAACGAAAATGAAACAAACAAAAAAAAAAATCATGTGTAACCGACTTATCAAAGAGTGGATCTAAAAATATATATACGATCGACGGCAGAAGGTCTGCAGGGCTTGCAGTTCTAGCAGGGCTGGCAAATTTGGTCGCTCGTTTACGTTTGCTAGCAATCCGATAGATAGATAGTATATAGTGAGTGGATAGTAGATGGTAGACTATTGCTGATGCTCCTATTCGGTAGTGGTTGCTGCTCCAGTTTTCTATTCTTTTGATCTCCCATTTTATCCTGTCATTTGCCAGTTATCCTGTTATCCTGTTGCACCGGCTCGTGACTGCGACTGTGTGTGTGTGTGTGTGTGATTCTGGTGTGTGTGTGTGTGTGTGTGTGCAAAGCCGGCCATCTCTCTCAGTTAACTATAAATAGGCTTATAGATCCTCGTCCTCGTCGGGCAGGGCGGTCGCCTGGGCCTCCTGCAAGTCCCGCTCGATCTGCGCCTGCCAATCCTTGTCCATCTTGACCTCGGGCGGCAGCAGGGCTGGCATGGCGACGAACTCCAGGTTGGGGTCACCAACCAGCTTGCGCGCCAGCCAAAGGAATGGTTTCTCGAAGTTGTAGTTCGATTTGGCAGAAATATCGTAATACTATACGGAAAAGAGGTGAACAATTTTAGTTTTTAGAGTTTCTAGAGATTAGAGGATAGACAAGTTGAACTTTACCAAACTATTACCACACATTATAACATCAGAAGGAGTTTTCGGAATGATATCGCGATATCACATACAGCCCAAATTAACTTAAAAAAAAAAACTTTGAGAGGGAAAGTCTTAGCTTGTTCATATATCCTATAAACATTGTATTTCTCTTGAGTTTTGGCTTCACTTAAAAGGAATTTTCGGAATTCTTATTTCTAATATAAAAATGCTACCTAGTAAATTGTCTTGAAAAGAAACAATCAAGCAAGCATTAACTTGTGAATCTATCTTGTGAATCTAAAACATATTGTATTTCTCTTGAGTTTCAGCTTCAGTTACTCGACATAAATGTGATGTTAGGTGAGGATGTTTCTTCGTAAATAAAGGTATCAAACGTACCAAAAATCATGATTAAATGCAGACTGTTTGGTAAAGTTCCCCTCGCTTTTCTGGCTTCTGGACCAAACACTCACCTGCAAGTTCTTCTTTCGGTGGAAGACGATGCTCTTCGCCTTCACCTTGCGGTCCTTGATGTCGACTTTGTTGCCACAGAGGACGATGGGGATGTTCTCGCAGACGCGGACCAGATCGCGATGCCAGTTGGGCACGTTCTTGTAGGTGACACGCGAGGTAACGTCGAACATGATGACGGCGCACTGGCCCTGGATGTAGTAGCCGTCGCGCAGGCCGCCGAACTTCTCCTGGCCGGCGGTGTCCCACACATTGAAACGGATGGCGCCACGATTGGTGTGGAAGATCAGCGGATGCACCTCCACGCCCAGTGTGGCCACGTATTTCTTCTCGAACTCGCCGGTCATGTGGCGCTTGACGAAGGTTGTCTTGCCGGTGCCGCCATCGCCGACCAGCACGCACTTGAATGTGGGGATATCCTGTCCTTCCTGAGCCATCCTGCTAAGCACTCTTCGCTTCTTTTACTTTTTGGACCTTTGACGTCGGAACAGTGGAGCTGTTTTTTGTGTAAAGTAATATTGATTGTAGTTGTTTGGCGTTAGTTGTCTTCTCAGTAGGTCTGTTAGGCTGCCAGCAAAGAAGCAGGAATGCAGGAAAACGGATGTTATTGGTTCGGCGAGCGCCAGGCGACTGACTATTGACTACTGACTACTGACTGCTGACTACGAGTCCTGCGAATCAAACGCCTAAAACGTGACGTACGAATGGAGTGTACAAAGGATGCGTCAAAGCCCGCCAAGGACAGCAAACAGCTGTTCGGAACAGAAGCGAATGAGCGAGAGCAGGACGACAAGAAAGGGAGAGCGACGCACGAATACTGCAGCTGCTGCTGCTCCTGCTCCTTCCTGCTGGGCCAAGGGATAAGGAGCAAGGGAGACGGCCACAGAGGCTCGGCTGCTGCCTGCGAATATGCAGGTAAAGGAAAATTCTTGGCGCACCAAATACCGGCAGCAACAACAGCAACAGCAACAACAGTAACAACAACAAGGACAACTGGCAAACAACAAATGTAGGGAGTTCGCAAGGATATTCGTTTCGTTGCAGACACAAATACCATGCGAAAACATTTTTTTTTTTTTTTTGACACACAAAAGAAACCCACAAAACTCGGCTAAGCTATCCGACCCATAATTGTCTTAGGTATACTAATTTAAATGCGGAAATACAGGGTAATGGTCGGAATCTGGAATCACAGACCAAAAAATAATTGTGACTAATGCAAAATACATTAGTTACAAAATTTGGCGCTACAATATTGAAAAAAAAATCATCAAAACTGATCAATTTGTTAATAAAAAGAAAATTAAAAATTAATTTCAAGAACAACACAAAACCCATAAACGTGCAACCTAATAGTTGTTTTAATAACATTGCCTAAGAATTCAAAAACACAACAAATTATATTATTATGTGCCGTAGATGCACGGTCAAAATAAGAAAATTAACAAAAAGTTATTAACAAATGGTAGTATGTTTGCCAAATGTTCAGCAATTCAATTTCCTGCACGTATCAATACCAATTGAAGTACATGTTGGATGTTTTAAATCTAAATTAATAAACAAGACCAAGGAATAAGGATAAATTGAAAGTAGGGTATTTCTGGACTTGGTTTCTCCATGATTAAATGTGAGCAAAGCCAAATTTTATGAGACCCTGAAAATGCCCAACGTGTGAGTCATAATTTGCTTATTTGTTTTTGCATATTTGTGATTTTCAGGATGTCCGGCAATTGCCAATATTGCGAAATTCCTGCGCCTGCGCAACTGTCGGCCAGTGCTGCCCATAAATGGCCGCAAAACAGGAAATAACGTCCACCAAACAGAGGGCGGCCTGTAACGCCGGCGGATTACAGCTATGTATATACATACATATGTATGTACATATACTGCTGTTGCAGTAGAAACCTGTGGACGCTGCAAAGCGCGCCAAAAAACGCCGCATGCGAGTGCACAGCCAGTCGCAATTCACGTGAAAAAAGCACATTCGCATTTAATTCTAAATAACAAATCGAATTCTAGCACACACACGCAGACAGACGCCGACGCCGACGTCGCTGCCGGCAGAAGAAGAAACATGAAGCAAATTTCATCGCATTTTTTTCTTTTTTTGCGATTCATGCCTAACCTCACAAAATGCGAATGGCATGGCAATCGGGGGGAGACCATTTGACTTCCAGGAAATATTACCAGTTTTCCAAGTTGGGACTGGGTGTCCTAGGTAATCCTGGCTGGGTTTGAGCCCAAGGATTGGGATTTGGTCTGGAACTTTTGGGAGCAGCACACGAGGCGGCACCACGTCGCTTGGATAGGGAAGGGAAGTCTCTAGAGTCTAGACCTTTTTTAGTGCAGCATGTGCGGCTTAGCCCGGCTTATTGGACGGGTGGAAACGGCAAGGCCAAAGAACGTAATTCCCAATTGAAAGCCAGATTTACCAAAATAAGCCACACAGTACCGCGAAGCGACGCCGTCGTCCATATTGCGGCCGCAGCCGCAGCCGGGTCAAAGGCGTCGAGGAAAGCACTTACACTCTAGCAACACCACCTTGTCACACACAAAACCCCTAAGGCCACGCACCACGCACCTTTTTCACAACATAAAGCACACATCGACTCGGGGTTTACTTACATGTTGCTGCTCAAATTTGCTCGCTCGAATTTCCTCGAAAATCAAAACTTTTTTTGCGAAGCGCAGTAGAGGTGGAGAAAGTTCGATGAAAACAGAGATATAGAGATGGAGAAACATTGATGGAAACATCGAAACATGTATCGATGTTTTTAAAAATGTTGTCAACATCGATGTTTTTTGGCGACCGATCGATCGATGTTTTTACCGCATCTCTAATGTAAGGAAAGCTCAAAAGTTATGTGGGTAAAATCAAGTTCTTAAATTATATTAATAAGTGTATTGAGATATTTTTAGATATTCTCCTAGTGGTGTCTTTTGTCACGGAGAAATTGTTTTTGTCTACCATTATAAGAATTCAAAAATCCAAAACACCTTTAATAATCGATTGTCCAACCGAAATGTTACATAACGGAAATATCGATAATATCGGTGTTACCATCTCTAACTGTTAAAATACATCGATTTCCCTCATAGATGTTCAAATTCACGACGTTGCTTGCGGTGTCACGACGCTCCTCTGCGTATCGATAAAATGTATCTTCCCATCTTTATGGCGGAGTATGTATCCGCTATTTGTGGAGTAAGTCCCCGCTATCGAATTTCTCGACTTACAACTCTGTTTTGTGAAAGCAGTTGTAGCCCTGGTATTTAAATGGCTGTGAAATTTTACAGCACTTTTGGCGCCAAATACAAATAATACCAGAATATTGTAAATATATACCTTTAAAATTTTTGTAAATATATATTTAACTGACGAAAAGCTAAGACTGGCCATGCATAAAATATAACTTTTTATACATTAAGAAATGTTTTTACTATTAATATAACAGCTATAAAACAGCCAACTATTATTTAATTTTAAAACTAAAATCCATTTTCTCAAACATTTATTAATTCAATTTTTTAAATTGACAGCAAGAGCAGTTTACCTAACATCTTGATATTAATAACACAAAGCCTGCGAAAACCAATTAAAGAGGTCACAATTGTAAAAAGATTAGCTTAATCCCAACGATTTCATTGTGAACATAGTGATTCAGTAGGCAATTGACTCAATCATAATATTGGGTCGATAACATAGGCAATATGCAAACTCGACAATTTTTTTTGCATCACACTTCGTTTATTTACTTTGCTATTTGCAGACGTGATGACGGTGTTATTGAATGCTGGCGTATTTGAAATATTTAACCGGTTTTTGCTCTCTCAACATTGCCTTAAAGGTTGATTGCACCACAAACTGTAAATAAATGCCACACCTGAGCACTGTGGGATATATTGTATACAAAAACGATTTAAATTACAGAGATTTTGCCATAAAATCCGACTTTATACGACCATTTCCACGTAGAATTATTCATATTTTAAGGTAATCATGTTTTCGGGAGCACCCAAATATCGTGGAAACGAACAATTGAACCCAAACACTTTTGCGCCTCTTTGGATGATTCATTTTGAAAACAAACAAACAAACAAAATTTCCAAGTACCTGATTCACCAAAAATTAAGATCAAGTCGTAGATATAACAGAAAAGAGAACACAAAGCAATTTTCGAGATTTTTCAAATAACAAATATACATATGTCAGAACAAAATGATTGAGATTTGAGATGTGATTTGATGGTAGGTAAGTTCCTGAAATTATAAGATCAGCTAAAAGAAATTGGCTTTGACCCACTGTGCCTGTAGATCATTTGCATACAAAAGGGGAAGAGTTGACAAACTGCTGGAGGCGGCGATAGAAGATTGCGGTTCCAGTCCCACGTCGACAAAGGTTTTCAGAGGCATCCGCATCTGAAGTGGGTCACAAAAGCGATCACCACAATGCGGCAGGAGGACGACCCATGAGATGAGATGCCCGCGCTGGCGACAATTGAAAGACATTGGGCTTTTTCTGGTTCTTTGTTTGTTTAGTTTCATTGATATTTTTGCCAAAAAGCTTTATTGTTGTACGGTAAATATGTATAAATAGTTTAGTGGTTGCTTGGTCAATGGCAACAATTGCCATCATCATCATCATCGTTATTTGTGTAGTGTACAGTATTGTGCGGGTGTATTGTATGAATATTGGGGACTGTATCTGTGTATATCTATTCTATATAGCTGCACATTTATGCCAAGTTTCAGTTTCGGTTTCATTTAATTGCCTTTTTCAGACAATTTTTGTTCCGCATGTTTATCTATAAAATGTTCCCGCTCTGCGCCATAAATTAATAGCGAGGAGGCGGCGGTGGAGAGGCACACACGCCTCCAAAAGCGAATTATTGATATATTCCTCATGAATGCCTGCCATACATTATATGAAAATTATCGTTAAAATACTCTTGATCTCGGGGGAAATCGTTCGAAATTCGCTTTTGAGGGCGAGGAGCAACTGACTAAGTGGGTTTTGCAGACTTCTTCTTCAATCGCTTTCGATTTAGTTTTAGTTACAGGTTTAGTTAACAACTGTTTGTATAAACACAGGGACTTAGCATCGATATATGGGCTAAAACTTATTGGCTATTCGTTGTGGGGTTACATGGATTCGAGCAAGGTTGGACAATTTGTCAGTCAAAATGTAAATATTATTTATATATAAATCGCTTAGCAAATGGGGTGTACAAAATATCTTTATATACAATAGTCAATAATTAGTATCAAAATTACAATCTATGTTGGTTTAAAGTTAAAAATGAAAATTTGAACCCTCGGACGGCACTATGTTGTCCATTTCTCAGATGTATTATTCCCGATTATTGCTAAAAAAAATAAAAGATTTTTCTTTTTTGTATGAATGTCGGGTTTTAAAATCTTGTTCCTGATATTATGGCAGGATATTCAAATCAACATAGTGCCCAGGACTTCAGATATTTCATTTTCTGATGAAAAAAAAAAAAAGTATTCGCTGCCTTTGTCTCAGTCATTCGATAATTTCGTATTCGATTCGTTGCTTCGCTCAAAAAGTACAAACTACATGCAAAAGAAAGCATAATATTTCCACGTCGATTATAATTATATACAATTAAACATATAAAAAAACACTCGACCGCTCTTTAGTACGGGGAGAATTACTTTTGGCCTGAACACTTTGGAAGTTCTACTACATAATACAATAGTTACACGCACGTTAAACGTGCAAGCGTAACTTGAGCAATAAATTAAGATTAGTTAATTACAAAAGAAAAAAAAAAAGGTTAATTATTTAAATAAAAATATAAAATAATAAGAAATAATAATTGTACTGCATTGTAGTTTCTGCGTTTTCAATACCTAAAATACGTGGGGGATGGGAATACATTTGAATTTGGCGCCACAAGCAGGATCAAGGACAACGGAACTGCTTGCCCTTTAAGTTTCAGTGAAGTGAGTGTGTCTGTGTACTGCTTTGCCGTTGTTTAATTAAGCGCGCTTTCTTTTCCACCATTTAACCTTGATCGATAAATATTGTTGAACTTTCGATGATCAATTTGATTGTTTGATTGTCATTGTGTGTGTGTGTGTGTGTCTGGGTGTAACGTTTCTGTTTATGCCTTGAAGTAAATAAATTTCGTTTGTTTACTTTAGACATAAGAAAACACACAGAAATGTTTCGATGAAAAACGATTATGCGGCAAACATAAAAATAGTTCCAGTCAGCACTGTTCTTTCAGTATTGTATTCCAGTCAAAAAAACAAAAATTATATTGGGAAATGGAAATGTCAAAAGCACAGACAAACTGGATGCAATGCAAGCAGTGTGTATCGAGTCAATGGAAGTCGAAGTTTACCAATCAGAATCAGCTAATTTAAATGTTTAACATCTATTTACATATGTGTTTGTGTGCGGTGGCTGCTGTTTTTCTCACACTTGAGATTTGAGTCGGAAAAAGCAGAGCAGCGATCTTAACTAAACAACAAAAGTGCCTCAACAGCAAATTCCTTGTGGTTGCCACACACATACACATGCACATGCACAGTGTCGATGCTTGTAAGTGAAAGAGCAACAATAGCTCTGCTTTGTTTTGTCTATTGTGAATTCCTGTTTGGCTGCACATTCCATTGCCAGCAGCAAGCATTTCGCAACACTGACCAGAGTGTCCAATTAGAACGTGTTAATGTGACCCGAACTGCTCTACCGTTATTCTGCTCTTACTACTTCTTTTTACTGCTTTTGCGCGTTGCTTTGCGTTGATGATGAATAAAAATAAAATAATACGTTCCTTTTGTGCTGGCTCAAATTGAAGTTGAATACTAGCAAGCTGGTAAGCTGGCAAACGGGCAAACGGGCGTACGGAGTACTTTTTGTTCCACAGCGGTTGTTGGCCGATTTCAAAATCACGCGCAAGACGCTTACACACACACACAACACACTCACTCACACAATTAGCTGGTCTGGTCAGCTCGCTTTTGTTGCTGCAATTGCGCAAGTGTGTGCCTCGTCTCGAAACTCCAGCTTTTGCTGCTTTTTTTTTTATACATTTTTTTTTCCTCTGCTGAGCTGCCCATTGCCATTATTACGCTCGTTCGGGGTCTGGACTTTTGTATCCGGGCCTGACTTTCGCATTGTCGCTCGTCTCAGTTGTCTGCAAAAAATATAAAACGAAAGAAAGGGGCACAAATAAGTACAAATTTATATATGGAACGTGTGCGTATGTAAGCACTAAAGTACAGTACAGTGCTCTCAAGATATTAGCACTAAAAAAAAGTGTTGGAAAGGGCTTAAGTAATAGGTTTTTGGGCCATGTACAGCATTAATGTAGCACAAAAGTTAAATTCTAACGATTGAAATAAACTTACTAACATACCCATGTTTGTCTTACATAATCAAGTATTTACGTTTAAAAAATAACTGAATTAGCTCTGAAAAATAGCTATTATTTTAACCACAATTGTAAGTGCATGACAACAGTTTCCTCCCTTTTACTTTCCCTCCCCGACGAGGAATCAGATGACGACCGACGTTGCAGGCACAAATTAAAAAAATAATGCCCTGCGTAAAATGTAAATGGGCCACAGTGCAATTATAACTTGAAAAAGTGCAGAACGCTCAAATTAAAAATTGCCGCTAAACTCAAATTAACGCAAAGCATGTGTGCGTGTGCGATCTGGAGATGGACATTTAGCATTCTTACAGAAAGTTTTCTTTTCATTTATTAATCTCTTTTTTTTTTTTTTTTTTTTTTTTTTGTTGCCAATTTGTGGAAAAGTCAACAGGAAGGAATTCATTATGATGCCAAGTGGCTCACCGCATGTACAGTAGAGAAAACTTCACATAATCATGGGAAAACTAAGAAGATAAAAGCTGACCTAGATAGAATATAAAATTTTGAAGTTTCGGAATTCTTTCCGTCGATTAGATAATCCACAACGAATCAGCTGTGGCTCATATTTCACTTTTTTATGGTTTAATTTCAGGGGAGGTATCGGTCACGTTCTGGGTTTTGCAAGCAAATAAGAATTATTGGACATTCACGGAAAACAAAAAAAAAAATGAGAACAAAATAAAATAAATTAGCCAAACGGAATTTTGTCGTAATTGAAAAATTCTTTGTAATTATATTAGTAATTATCCTGTGTAAACTCTCATGTCAAACATGTGAATCTAAGGCAATTATACGATTCTTTTTAATAGAATCATAAACGAAACAACTAAATTATCAAGTGCTGAAGGGGATAAAAGGTGTTACTCAAGCGTAGCCAAGCTATTAGTTCTCACTACAAGTTGGGCATAGCTTATTTTACGCTTTTTGATCATGAGCTCCCCATTTACACATCATGATTACTGATCCGCACAAGATAATCATACAAATTAGCTATTATAGAAAGTATACTTTTGGTGATCCCAAAAATTTGTGTAGGAGAACTGCTGTTTTCACTTCAAATTGGCAAGGAAAAAACTCTTTTCAGAGTATTAAAACTATAATTTGGAATGTCATATATTAAAGACTTTTGGGTTTGCTCAAACAATTGCTAAGAATGGCAATGTAAACTTAAAATTTGCCATGATTTGTTGTCTATGCAACAAATTCTCTCAGAAAGATAGTAAACTAGATACAAAGTTATCTAATAAATTGAGGAAATATCCGATGTTTTTTAACATCATTTTATAATAGTTTTAAAAACCTGAGTTTAAGACAGTTTATTTTCTTATTAAATTGATTTGTTTATCTATAGTTTGTCCTTACATTTTTGTTAAAAAAAAATAGTTTTTGTAATGATTACCTATTACAACCGCTGACTAAATCCTATAGCTGTGCAAAAATCAATCGCTTGACCACTGGCAAATGGTGAATTTAAGCAGCATTCACTGTACTCAACGGGCTGCGACCACTTGGCACTGATTTGAGGGCAGCAATAGCACGACGCACGCCGCACGACGCACGCCGGTAAATGCAATTTGTTCAGGGGGCCTGTGCATTGTGCATCTGTGCAATTTGGCTGACAAACGAAGCCCGTAGACCGCACATCGCAGATCGTAGAGATCGCAACTCCATTTCTGCAGCGGTGTGATGAGATGAGGATGAGGATGAGCGTGACGGGGACACGCTACTCTGGGATTATGCAGACGCACACAAATGGCACGGCAGCTGCACTACCAGTTGCAGTGTATTTTCAGAGCATTTTCAGTTGCCACATGCAGGTCACATCACAGACTGGTTTCCCCCTGTTGCCCCCTGCCCCCTGTTGCCCCCTGTCCGTGCCACTTATTGCGTGCGAGCCACGATTTAAGGGGCCAAATAAGTCGGTTGCGTAATCCCCGAAATGCGAATGGGCCCATGGGCCAAAAACCCAGTGTTTGTTTTGTTTTCTCTTTCGCTGGGCAAAACCTCGAAATCGGAATCGCAATGCGAATGGGAATGGGAATGGCAATCCAAATCGGACTCGGACTCGTACACGGACACGGACACACACTCATCATCACATCACATCACATCATATCTGTTTCCCGGGACCAAGACCGATGAAGGTTCCGAAAATAATGACGCGATCAGGGCCCAAAATAAAAGTAACAAACAAAATAACACGAGAGGTAGGAAATACAGTCGTACAACAATAACTTGTACCACCAGCTGCCATACACAATAAAAGGCTACACATTTTCTATGGACCTCAAATAAATTTGGATTACAAACTTGGGAATAAAATAAAACTTTTATTTTTATATTTTTACCATAAAATGAAAAAGAAATATATTAATTTTGTGCAAATGAAAATATAAATGTTGGTATTCGTTTCTTGATTTCTTAGAATATTTACTGAAATGGTTTAACTATAATGGTTTTAACCAAAGATCAATAGGAACAAAATATATTTATATATAGGTATAAAATTAGCATATTAACCACTATTTAACTAGGTTATATTTTAAGTTGTATGTAATAATTAGGCTCTATTATGATAAATGAATAAGTATTCTGTGTTTGTGGAAGACTTCTATTTTATTTTTGTTTTTAACATTGAACTAATCCTTCTATATATCTATCTATATACGACTTAATCCGATCAATAGAACAACTAAAATACTAATTCACAAATTTAATACTGTCCTGACGTATTCTATACATATAAAAAACATGAAAATGCACATTTAGTGGGTGGAATGGAAATCCAGATTGCAGAACTCCACTTTCCTTATCGTGTTGAGCTACGGTGTGTTTACGAATGATAGCAACAGTGCCGAGTTTTCACGGCTTTTTGTTTGCAAGTGCCGAAGCCCGACTGTAGTTGGCTTGGATTGTGTAGTTTTGGATGTGTCAAAACCACTTGAGAGGCAACAGCAATACCGGCAAACCAACAAACTAGCAAACTAACAGAGTAACATGGCAACAAGGGAAATTAAACAGATAGAAACACAAACAAGACAGCGATGAAGATGAAGATGAAGACGAAGACGAGACGATGCCGGTGCGCTTATCACACATTGCTGCTCGTCGTCGTCCAATTTAAACTCAATTTTCCCTTTTTGGATTCAGATACGGATGCCAATAATGCCCAGAAAGCAAACGTAAAACGTAAACGCAACGATCCGGACCCGGTTTTCCATTATCTCCGCTTGCGTGTGTGTCAAGGGTTGCGCTGATTACTTTATGGCCATGTGGAAATCGACAGGAAATCGGCCGACCCGGCGTCAGAGTTTTCCGATGAAAAACGAAAAACATACATATAACGGCACGGCACATTTTCGTCTTTATGGACATTCTCGAACTCAAGTACTAGTGCTACACGCGAAATCGTAAACTTGGCGCATGTTGTAAAGCATTTGGGAAATGGTCATGCAAATGGAACTGACCAACCGGATAGTCCTACTTGAAATTTTCCCAAAACCATAAAAACAGGACGGGACATTGTAGCGGAAAAAAAAAAACAACAAAAACAAAAAACGTTCCGGCGCCTATTGTGAAATCACTTCAGGTAGCCAGGAAATCTTCAAGTTTATCTGTGAATCTGGATGAAAATACGTCCGTCTGGGGCGTGAATGTCGATATATAAAGGGTGTTTTCCAAAGGACATGCCATGCTCCTGGGGTAACTAACCCTGTTGAAGCAAACTCCAAAGGTTTTGTTGGCTGATTTTCCCCCTAGAAACCCCGAAACCCTAGATTACCCTGGATAACCAAACTGGTTTTGGCTGTCAGCACTTGAATGCTGCATGATCTACACAGTGTTAAGCACAACACACACTCTTTTTCATGACAAATTCCGGATTTTCCATTTGCTTCCAAATCTTGTAAATACATCTTTGGTATTTAGGTTAAATAAATAAGTAAATAAGCAATTATCACACAAGTGAACCTCTAAGAGAGAGAGAGAGAAGTGAGAAAATTTCATTAAGCGGAAAACCCAGCTTATGATGTGTTGATCCATCCAATTATTCATAATTTCGTTGTTATATTTTGGTTCCATAAAGTCTAACGAACGAAAAGTATTGTGATTCTTTGAGAATATATACTTGATGTGAGCAATTTAATGTAAATTTAGGAATTATTGAATTTTAGGAGAAATATCTTTTATTAAAATTATACATAAAATTCTATGATTCCGATTTGTAGTTTAACAAAATAGTATGATTATAGTTTTGAAAACCTCTAAAGAGTTTTAATATTAGTTAAAACGCAAATATAAAACCGCCCTTACACTGATCTTTGTTATTAAATGAAAATGTTTCTGTTTTAATATGAATGCTGGGTGGTTGGTAGATTTAAACTAGTGATTAAAATAAATAACTATTGTAAGAAAGCGAGTATAAATTTGTAATAATCTATGATATCCAAATTCATTTAGATGAAATAATTGCTTTTGAGAGCTGTAACATTACCGCACCTGTACGTGTGCTTTGTAGGACTGAACTTTCCATGATGCATGGCATAAACCAACTCATTGAGACACTTGGCATTCCTGGCTACGGACCTGGAGCTCTTTAAAGCCGATAAGTCTATCAGTAAGTAGCGGGGTGTGTGTGTGTGTGTGTGTGTGTGTGTGTGTGTGTGTGCTTAAAGCCCTATTTCGTAAGCCACTTGGCAGGCAAAGCGCTTTGTTTGTTCTGGCAAACAGAGCTATCTGTGTGGAGCTGCACTCGCTATCGGGTGTTCAACTTACGTTTAGCAAACGGTTTCCATTTTAACGGCCGGAGTGGGGGGCATTGGTGGCTTCTCCGGCAAATCCTCCGGCCGTCCGCTGTCCGTGGCCGCATTGCAGGCTGGCATGGTGGCGGTGTTCTGGGTGATCTCCGTGCCGTTGGCCAGCGAGGGCAATCCCTGCGAACTGCTCGAGTGCTGCACTCCATTCGTGGTGTTGGTGATGTCGTGGCGCAAGCGCGGGCAGAAGATCCGGCGACAGGCGGTCCACACCTGCGGCTGGCAGCCCACCACAATGAAGATGAACACGCCCTGCAGGGCGTTGATGAGGTCGGTGAAGAACCAGGCGCCATGCGGTCCGCCCACCAGCCAGGACAGTATATCCGCTATCCAGGTGACGCCCATCACGACCACCAGCTTCAGACAGACGCGGCCCAGAGCGGACTTCTCCGTGGAGGACTTGACATCGTCCCGCTTCCACAGGCCGCAGGTCAGCTGGTGGGTGGTGGACACGAAGAGCGCTATATTGGCGCACAGCAGCAGTCCGATGGGTCCGTAGAAGTAGGCGAAAATGGAGAGATTGCGGTTGTCGTACCAGCAGTACAGTTGTCCGAATCCCGGCCGCAGCAGCGTCGTCTCCGGCAGCTGGTCCACACAGGCGGCCACAAAGGTGATCAGCAGCGGACCGCCCCAGGCGTACAGCGAGTAGAGGAACAGTCGCAGTGCCTCCTGGTTGCGCTCCAGCGAACTGGGTCGAAAGTCGCGGAATGTCCACCAGATATTGAAGCACATGGTGTTTAGCCAGAAGAAGGCGGCCAGAAAGAAGAACTGCATGGCGATGGCCAGCAGCAGGCAGCTCACACTTCCCGGCTGCAGGCTAGAGCTCAGCTCCTCGATGGCCAGCAGCACTTTGCCGAGCAGCAGGCAGGAGACATAGCAGATTTGGCAGCGCCAGTGCAAGGCATGATGCACGGCGGGCAGCAGAAAGCCGGCCACCAGAGTGGCGGCCAAAAAGAAAATGGACACAAGTATTCCGCCCGTGAGCACGGCCTTCTGCAGGTTCTGGCCATTGATCTCGTGTGGAGCAGCCCGTCCGGGTGATCCCGCCTGGCTGCCCAATCCTGCCTCGGCGCTGAACAAATGCTGACAGGCTATGATCTTCACCTCGCCCAGGCGCTGTGTGTGCTCCAGGCAGTATTGTTCGGCGCTAAGATTCTTGTGCGGCAGCTGCAGACCGGCCGTCTGCCGGTCCAGCCTGGCCTCCTGCCAATCCCCGGCTATGGAGTAGCCCCCCTCGAGAGGCCGGCGCATTCGGGCAGGCCGTAGCTGGTCAGGTAACTGCCCTCCGGTAGCTGCGGTGCCAGACGGAGCAACCCGTCCACCGGGTGACTGGGCTGCAGGTCACAGTTCTGCAGCTGGGTGTTGTAGCTGCCCCACTTGCCGCAGCACTTGCGCAGGCGCAGCGTGGGCTGCTCCTTCAGCAGGGCCGTGGGCTGGTGTCCGCCCAGATCCTCCAGAGCGTCGGCCGTGTGGTTGAGGCACACCAGAGCCACCTCCCAGTCGACGCAGTAGTCGTGCGGCCGGACCATCAGACCGCGCTCCCGCACATAAAGCGTGCCGTTGGGAAAGAGCATCACGTTGGCGCCGCGACTTCGGAACAGCTCCTGCGTCTGGTCCGGCCGGCAGGTGGGTCGGCTCTTGGGCAGGAACTTGAGGAAGCGTGGACTGGCGCCGTGGGGCTCGAAGAAACGCTGCTGCTGCACCAGATACACCATCGGCAGCCACAGGGCCTCGCTGCCGGCAATGCAGGCGCCACTGGTGCCATTTAGGTACTCCCCCGAATGGCAGCACTTGTTCAGCTTCACGGTGGGCGGCGGCGAGGGGCGTGGCTGGGACTCATCGCTGGCCAAATTCAGGGACACCGCCAGCAGCAGAAGAACGCCTGTGAGTAGGCCACGATCCATCGTGCTGCGTTTTTGTTTGTTTTTGTACGCTGCTGCCTAGCAAAAGATCTCTAGTTTCACAGGTTCTCCTCTTGTCGTCTTGGCCTCAATCTGCAATTTATGCGCTATGTACACATAGCTTATTCGTTTTTTTTTTTTTGCTTTTCTCGCTTTTCACGCCTTCCGTTTCGCCTCGTCGAGTAACACTTTTCGTCGCTTTTCTTTTCACTTTTCCTTTTTGTCAGCAGCCAGCGTAAACAAATGGAAAATGCAAGATTTCACCGCCGTTTTGGCTCACGTAAGTTGGCAAACAAACAAACAAAATCGGGGCGTCAATGGAAAATCGTCGAATCGGAATCCAAATCGCATAAATAAACACACCACAAATAGCGTTTGTTGTCAGTTATTCATATATGTATATCACAGTTTCATTAAACTCGTTGGTCAGACGGCAAATACCAATTTGTGTGATATTCCACCGATCTTTTCTGTCTAAATTTTCAGTCGTAAACGGCGCGCGTTGTAAAAAAAATAATGGGATCGCGATCGGGTTTTAAACGCGCAGCAGCCTTTTCCTCGCGTTTTTTTTTTTTAAATACTCTCGTTGACGAGGGAGGGGGAACTTTTATATGGGTCTGCGCCAGTGTGACCGTCGCGACGAGCCTACAAAATACCCAGGCGCCGTAGGGTCACACCACTATACTATCGTCTGTATGCCTGTCGATATTTTTAAAACATTTTATTTTATTTTCCATATAAATTTGTCATGCCTATTAAAAAAATTAAATAAATAAAAAGTCCGCTTTCGAAGCTTTTTCATTATATCCCATTTTGCTTTATTATAACTTAAACAGATAATCGTACTTATTTATATCATGTAGTTCATGTCTAATAGTTTTTAAACATAAATACAAATATAAATAATAAAGTCAAAGTTTTTTTCAAATCATAGAAATTAAAACAGTTCTTAGATTTTATCCTTACGGATAAACTTACGAAAAGTTGAAACGTCTGATCGGTTTTAAATTTTCAGGATCCATGTATTTTGGGGCGCTGTTTACGAAGAAATAGGTCAAAGTTTGCGACAAGACCGATTTCTCGGATAATAACGGAAATTATTATTTTTTTGTTTTTTGTCAATATGTCCTATCATAAATCCATTGAGATCTACGTATAATACACATTTCATATTAAGATATTGTCATTAGACAGATTGTAAATAAAAATTAAATTAAAAAAAAAACAAAAAAAAAAATTTTAAGTGACTTTTTTGCGTAAAGCTGATAGTTTACGAGAAAAATGCAGATAACGAAAAAAGTCACTCAACAAAAAATGTGTATTTCAAATAGACCTTGAACTTTTGTTTGGAAATGATTTTTGATAAAGGTCATACTTTGGAAAAAATTGTCAAAGAAAATCAGAAAAAAAAACAGTTTTTACCAATATTTTCTAAGAAATTGATGTTGTCGCAAACTTTGACCAATTTATTTGTAATCAGGAGCCCAAAGTACATGGATCCTGAAAATTTGGAAGTGAACGGGCGTTGGGGCTTTTCGGAAGTACAGCCCAATAAAGTAAAAAGTTTGAAAGCAAAAAAATAACATTTTCGAATTAAATTTATTTAAATGCTCTCAATAATTATTTTATTAGATATAAAATTGAATACAATGTAATTGAAATGTGGTAGGTTCTAGAACATTGAATAATAATTTTTCTTGTGCCTTTTTTCAAGTTTTTAATGTGTAAACAGTTTTGTGGGCATTGGTACTGGACCAAACAAAAGTGTTGAAAAACGGTGGAAGCAAAGGAATACCCCTTATGCGCCAGATCAGTGTGACAGTATTGCATTTCATTCGATAGATTGAAAGCAATCGATAACAGCAGTCCGCATTTTTTACTTGGTTTTCGCGTTTTTAGCAAATTAAAGCAGCAACATGTCGAAAGCCCATCCTCCAGAGCTGAAAAAGTGAGTGAAAATGGGCGCTAATCGTATAGTAGTGTATATATCATATGATGGAAACAATTTCAGGTACATGGACAAGCGGATGATGCTGAAACTGAACGGAGGACGCGCCGTGACCGGCATTTTGCGAGGTTTCGATCCCTTCATGAATGTGGTCCTGGACGACACGGTGGAGGAGTGCAAGGACAACACGAAGAACAACGTCGGAATGGTGGTAAGATGAGCTTCATTCAATCTAAATTTGGTTTCGTTAAATGCCTAAATGATTTCCCCTTCCGCCACCAGGTAATCCGCGGCAACAGCATCGTCATGGTGGAGGCTCTGGACAGGGTTTAGCACCCGCCTCGGAACTAGGATCGCCATCTGATCCCCTCAAGCACCTAAATCGTTAGCCGTAGTGTCTAGTCTTAAGGCTCGCGAACATTATTGCGCTGTACACCGTCAGAAAATAACACAAATTCGTAAATAAATAATGTTCTCGAGAGGAAATGTAGTTTCTCGCAATAATTTCTCTAATAGGTTTCCTGCTTTTCCCAACTATTTAAATAAATAAATAGTAACCAGCAAGCTTCAAACCTATAAATTAAAAGATGTTTTTAAGTAAACAATTTGAGAGCTATTTAGACTGAATGGCTAAGCTGCCAGGAAGACAATCATTCAGGATTGGCAAAACTTCTTTTTTTTAATTAGCATTTCCGTAGAGGTTTAATCTTCTTTTTCAATTTTGGGAAAACCGTTTAAAATTCTATAAATTTGGACGACTTATGCCATGTAACACTATAAATTACATGAAACAGGAATTATGGTCGTTATATACCGTTTCAGTTATTCCCGCAAAAATTACTATAGTAAGTTTTATTGTAAAATTGTGGATAACAATTTTAAACCAGAATACTATATGTACAATGTAGGATCCTAGAATTTTTCATACAAAAAGAAACCATCCCAATGCACATGTTGAATCTAACGTAAATCATACACTAGACATTGAACTAAACAGTTTGCAATAAACAAGCTTTATTAATAATAAAATAAGTGTCGGCTCAGAAATTTACAGCCATAATTTAACTAGCATACGTAATCAATACTCTTCTCTAATCCTATATCTCATTAATTCTGGTCTTTTATCTCACTATTTCATATAATTTTTTAGCAAAATTTCTGTTCTGTTCTGCAAATTCCGGAGAATGAAATATAATAATATACATATTTCATTTACAAAGACGGATTTGCATTGCAATGTATGAAATATAAATCTTTTTGGGTCGATTAAATGCTATATTCTGATTTCCTAGGCCACGTTTCTACACTCCTTGTCGGCATATTTATGATTGTACATACATAAGTAAGATCCTCTATGGAATATCTTTACAATTAGCTCATGTGGGCTTTTAAGCTGCCCGATCCCCGACGTCGTCGTAGTAGAGTTTTGCTGTACAATAATCTCTGATAAGTACTCGAGGCATTGGGATTCGAAAGTGGTGCCAATGAACTTGGTGCCCGTATTCTCAAGACAATTACCTCAGCCCACAAACCAGCTTCTAGAGTTGTAACCTTCTCAGCATTGCCATATTCTGCAGGGACCTCTCTGTGCCTAGCCTTAAACAACCTGATGCCCCCTTGGAAACTCAGCCAGCTTTTGTATAGCCGCAGTTCCTCGAATTCCAGATTGCCATTCGGTTCCAAAGCAATGTCGCTAAAAACCAGGAATGTCAGATTGGTTAACAGATTTCACGGTTTTAGAGCTCAAGAACCTCGCCTCCAAGACCAGCGCTATACCGACCTAATTGAGGCAATACACCGTGGTCCTTAAATAAACAACTCATTTTCTGTGCATTTTAAAGATCCATTAAATGCACAGCTGCAACAAAAGTATAATTTCGAGAAAGCAATCGCTATTGTAGTGAAGCAAATCGGGAAAAGTAAAAGCACTCACATTCAAAATTGCCTGGACACCCAAATTATTAGAAATTTCAGTTAAATGTTTGGTTTTACTTTATCAATTCTGCCGAGCAAACAAAACACTAAGTTAAAAATAAAAATCTGTTGTAGGTTGCAAACATGGTCTGCTTGGCAGGTTATAGGATAGACAAGTTGAGTCTTGCCCGATTGGTTTGCTATGTATTAGAAGACATGCAGAGTCCTGTTCTGCCCTTTTTGTTACATGTGCAAAGATAGACAGACAGCGAAACGAATGCGATTTGCAGACTTTTGTGAATTTGTTGGTTTTATTTTCTCATCTCTCTCGTGCAAACAAAAAAGCGCTTACAGTAGAAGTCCAAAAAATGCTATTTTAGAGTTCGAATGGGCGCCGTTCTCGCGATTTACTTGGAAATAACAAGGGGGCCGGTCTGCTTGGCGGCGTCGCGCTGCTTGACCACGATCTGGTTGGCAATGCGATCCAGATCCCGCTGGCCAATGGAGCTCAGCTTGCGGCCGCCGTCCGGGTGCTTCTCGACCAGGCGGGCGTGCTCCAAAGCCTGCAGGGCCTTGCGGGCACAACCGTCAGCGGCACGGCAGAAATGGGACGGATGGACGCCGTTGCGCTTGCGTCCTCCGTAGATCTTGGTGATCGAACCCACGCCGGCGGGACTGCGGTGATACAGGTGGCGCAGGATCGAGGCGCAGCGCACGTAGAACCAGTCGGGATCGTAGGGGGCCAGCTCCTTGAATTTGGCAGTCTTCACGATGTCCATCTGGTCGGGCACCTTCAACTTGCCAGTCCTAAATTTTTAATTTTTTGGGTGATAAACAAATCGGTTGTGAGGTTATGTGTGTTTGGAGTTTATGCCCTGTCTATGGCGAATACTCACTTCTTGAGGAAGACGGCGACCGCTTTGGTAACCGCGTGCTGGTCAATATCCTTCACTGTAACGCCTGGCATCTGCGGGGAAAATGAAAACGTTAAAACTTTGCCAAAAAAAACACGTTGTTCCCAGATTTGCGACTCTCTCTCACACACACACACACACACTCTCGCTCTGGCGCACACATACGCAGGGGCACAACAAAAACGCTTGTCTGGGGTTTTTCCCCTGGAAAATCACATTTCCCGGGCCTCAAGCCCGCCCACTTAATCAGCTGCCGCTTAACGATTGCTGTTTCATTTAGTTTAAACCAATCGGAACACAAAAAAAAAATAGTTATTCACTTGAAAAGAATTCGAGCACAACCTTTCTCGTTAAAGTCAACCGGAAAAAAGAACAAGGCGCGTGAAGTTGGCTGCGGTTATTAGGGCTGGCCTGGTGAATCGATATATCGCATGGTGGTTTGGCGTTGCCACTTGTCCGGCCTTTGGTATTTTTTAGCATTTTGGCCGAGCCCCGATTGGGTCACTCTGGAGCGCAAGCGTTGGTCACACAGCGCAGTGGCCACTGCGATATTTCACCTTCGATATGTAAACATACTGCCATCTCTACCCAGCACCAAAAAACCGAAAGAAGAAGTGCAACGCGCAGCGTCTAATTAAAACCAAATTGATCGATTTGGCCGCGGCCGAAACTGGACATTCGCAATTTGGGCGGTCAGCCGCCCCCGTCCCGTACCGCCCCGCCCCCCCGCCGCGCGTTTCCCGCTGCCATCGAACAGTGTCCGTCGGTGTGACGCACGTCGGTGTGTGTGTGTGTGTGCGGGCCTTGTTATTGTTGTTGTAGCTCTTGCTACGTTCGCCGTTCGCAGAGTGCGCTGGTGTGCGTGTGTGTGAGTGTGTGCAGAGAGGTATCGTTGGAATTAACAAAAAAAAAAAAAAATCAGAAAAAAAAAAAAAAAAACAAGATTGGAAAAAACCTAAAAGCCAAGAGAAACAAAGCTACTCTTTAGCCATCCATCCCCTTTTGGCCAGTTTGTGTGGTGTGCCACAAAGTGTTCACCCAACTGTTGCATGCCGTGGAATCCCACTGGCCCACTCCACTGTTTACCCACCAACACATCCTGGTCATCCTTGTGTGCTCCCTGCAAAGCGGCATTTTCCAGGGATTGATAGCAGTTCCTGTCCCTCCCCCTGCCCCTGCTCCTGCCCCACCCCTCTGGAAACACAAGCACCTGGGAACGCCCGGGTGCTCGACTGCGTCCGCATGTGGCGTTGGCGGCACTCCAGCACAAGAAGCCAGCGCCAAGTGCCAAGTGCCCATCCGCATTTGAATCCCATTCAGTGGCAGCGGTTTCACAGCACCAGCAGCAGCGGTAGTTAGCCAGAAAGCAAGCCACGCTCGTGACCTCATCGCCGGAACAACAATAACAACAATACCAAGAACAACAACAGCGCTTGACGCGTGCCTCCTCATTACCATTACCATTATCATTAACATTCCCACAGCCATAGAAGACCATCTCCTGGCAGGTAAATATACGTCTGCTTCAGCCAGCACTTCGTTAATCTTGGCATTTTTTCGCTTTTTAGGAGCAGCAGCTGACCACCAACCGAACACCAGGAAGCAAGCTGCAACTGCAACTGGTTATCATCTTGCATTTGCATGCCACCTGAACTAGAACCTGTGACCAGCCAGCGCAGCATGGATGTGGAACGAAGGCGCCGGTGAGTGATCTCGACGAGATCGACGAGATGGTGGCCCAAAAGCGACTGCTCCACTCAATTAATTGTCAACCGAATGGCGGCAGCATCGCATCGCATCGCATCGCACAGATACGTGCGATTTGTACAGACAGATTTGTGATTTGTTCAACTAGTAGGCAGCAGTTAGCAGGCTAGGAGCTAGCATCTAGCAGCTAGCAGCTAGCAGCCAGCAGCTAGCACTATTCAGCGCAAGCCAAACGGGCCAGACCAAAACAAATCAAAAAGTAATACACCGCCTGGCAAACACCTTCCATATCTCATGTTCAAAGCGACAGCGCGGCAATCAAATTGACAAGCGAGTGAACAAAACGGGGGGCGACTTTATAATAAATTTGCCATTTTCGCATTAAAATTTGTAACCAAACCAAACTGAAACGAACGCAGTAGCTGTTGCCGACGGCTCATGCCGTTTTGTCAGTTGCAGGCGTCGCGTTGCATTGGCTGCATCGTTTTGGGCCAAAAAAAAAAAAAAAAGTCAAGCTAACTGCAGGGATTAAGAGAAGAACAACCCGCAGCCACATTACCACATTGGACAGAAGCGACAGTATCGAGGGTATCGGCGGTATAGGGCATGTGGCCATGGCTAATGCCCGCCGCCCTCCATTCGAGGGAGCCGGAACGGTACGTTGCTCGTCCTGCTCCGTTTCCAAATTGCCAATGGCAAACAGCAAACAGCAGATTTGCAATTGCAATTTTCAAATTCCGTATACTGGCTAAAAAGAATTCCGTGGTCCGTGGCTTTCGACTATGCATATAAATTCTTTAATTTTATTACCCATCCACTCGGTATCTGTTGTAAGCACACATTAGCGTAAACGGAAAAGTATTTGCGTACTAACAAAGGCCAACAATTGCAATGCGCATTTGGTCATAAAAGCCAGCAGTTCCTTTGTGCTGGGCAAGTTAATTAGAATTAATAAGGTGTGCAAGAGATTCTGCAACGCAGATGCAGATGCTCCACTCAAGTCTCAAATATAAAGCATTCAATTGGTTAGCTGGACGAAACTAAAACAAAAAAAAAAAAAAGGCAACTGCTTTCCAGATCAAATTTGGCGACGTGTTGTATAAATTAAATTGAAAATTATATTGTCTATAGGTGACGATAATGTTGTCATCGTTGTTGCCGCGGTTATTATGTATTGTATTATTATTGTTGTTGTTGCTGCTCTTGTTGTTTTGGTTGTTCATAATTATGTTGTTGTTGTTGCCATTGCCGCTTTGGCCAAATCGAAATCAACAGCGGCAACGAAAATTCATCGCAGCATTTTTGAAAATTCCACTTTCCCAAGTTGTTTGCGTTTGCTATTGCTATTGGTATAGCTATTGCTATTGCTATTGCTATTACCCGCTGTTTAAACGTTTTGTTTTTGGCTTTTCTGTCATGCCGTAAGTGGCGATGATGAAATCACAACAATTCAAACACCTTTTAGTATCAATTTTTAGCGCCGACTGTCATCGGTGCTTGGCAGAGTTTAGCTCGCTTCGAATCCAATGGCTGACCGAGTCCAACTCCGACTCCTTCGACTCGTTGTTGAGTTTTGGGGCAGTGTAAATATTTGACTCTCAGCCAGCTAATTGCATATAAATGTCGATTTCTTTGGGACTGCAGCCATGCACCCTTTGGTTGGGAGTTGGTTGGCAGCTGGTTTCAAATCCCTTTGAAATGCCTTCAAAATGCGTAATCATCCAACCACTCGCCTATCCCCAATTTAATTGCCTTGTTCTTTCCCGAATAAGTAGTTTAATTCTTCCAGATTTTCCATTTTCAAAGCCATTTTTCCATGGTCCAGTAGTCTTGTACGCAAATACTTATTTGGCCTAATTAATGTAGCATCGCATTGCCTTTTTCCAAGTATTTCACATTGTTGGCACAAAATTGCCGGCAATAGAATTTATTTTTTAATAATTATTTGATTTCTTCGAATAGCCTTTTAAATACAATTATGTTTGTATGAAATAAATTATATCTCGTTTCATTTTATTTAAATTGAACAATATTTATAGATCGTATAAATATTTAATATTTTCATTTTTTAATGCCAATTATATTAATTATAAATAAGCAATTTAAAAGTCTTATTTCGTTAGATAACACATTTTCCATGTTTTTATTTTATTGTTCCTATCGTTAAATATGGCAGTCAATGAATAGTTCTTTGCAGTTATCGGAAATTTAAAATGTTTAAGTCATTTTTACTTACATCATTTGAAAGCCCATGCTTTATGATTAGAGAATAAAGCATTACAGTAAATATAGTATTACTATTACTATACTATATTACGCTTAAATGTTTATGATCACCATGTTCATTCATTTAAGTACAAAGCTGAGTGTTTTGATGTTAAATATTTATGAAACTTTGAATCTGAGTACATCCTTTGTGTAGCATTAGGTAATAATTTCTTTTTTCAATGACCCACTTAATGTTCTTGGAAGCCGTAATTAATTTGTTTTTAATATTAGTCTTGTCACACAAACAAGAGCACTATCTTCGCTTGGTTTTCTCTTGGCCACTTCACTGTCCATATTTGTGTGCATAAGTCTAGTTTTTTACATCGGTGTCAGCCCGAAGGTGGCTGAGGTACGGTGTACCATTCAAAAAACAATGCAGTTTGTAAACCGAGAGGAAAACAAAAAAAAAAAAGGCGGAATGCTCATCATCATGGCAGCTCCAGCGGCTCAAGTGGGCCATATCGACTGCAAGTTGCTGTCACTGGCCTGCACATGGCTTGCATTCCCATCCACAATTTATCAAAGTCAACAGAGTTGGGCGATAAAGTCAAGTCCTCCTCCTCCTTGTCTCCTTGTCGGCGGCTGCGGACTCCCCGCGTTTCCTGCCCGGAAGCTCTATTGGCTGCCAGGTTCTCAATGAAGCGCACTGTTCTAATTGCGATAACGCCTCACGCCTCTCACATATCACACATCACATATCACATACCACATAGCACATATATCAGATCTATGATCACAAATGTCCGGGCATGTGCCGCCCATTTGTCTGCCACCGAACCACCGGATTGGGCTAAATCTCCGGGGCATTCTGTGTCCACTCCTCTGACTCACCGCCACTCAAAACTCCATGCTCTGAAATCCCATGGAAATTTCGACAGCCTAGTTGTCACTGCTTTTTGTTTAGATTATCGATGCGCAACAGACAGTTGCGGTCAACTGTATAGCACTTAAAAAAATACATTCAATTAATTCAATTACGTTTTCTGCTTTTTGATAGAAAGGATCTTTAAGTTGTTTGTGCTTAAGTTTAATACAAAAACCATAAATTTTAAATTTTACTGAAATCACATAATTTTAGAAAAGCAATTAAATTCATTTTGAGTGGAAAAACCTATTATAATGCTGGGAGAAAATAGGTGAATTAAAATGCCAAAATTGTTTACTTCTAAGACCATGGCCAATTAAATTCACTGTAGCAGGGAATAATAACAAATCATTCATGTTGAGAATGTGCGAAGTTATTAAGGTCATTATTGGGACCGCAGCTGTAGGATTTTTTGGATGTGGGTACCGGGAAGTGGTGTTTATACGTCCATGAGTAATCTGCGCACTTTTCCCTCATAGTTCTTTTTATTTTTTTTTATTTTCCGTTTTGGTTCTTTTTCTTTTTTTTTGTTTGTTTGTTTATGCGAGCGATTTGCATGACGAGCAGCGGAAGAACAGTTGAACAATCAAACACTCATCGAAAGTAAACAATGAAACGAATCGCAGATGATTAATTTGGGTCGTACAATACCTGTAATTTCCTATTTGCAATATTTTTCCTATTTTTCATATTTTTCATATTATTCATATTTTTCCGCTTTATTTTTCGTTTTCCCTTCTCCAGGGCGAATACGCTCGAGCGCAAGATGCGCGATCCGACCAGCATCTGCAATGTGGACTGCCTGCTGGACACGGTTTCGGCTTTGGTCAGCGACTGTGACCACGATTCCCTGAGGCGGCTGAAGAACATCGAGCAGTATGCGGCCAAATGTGAGTTACACCAGGGCATACCACTTAACACACCGCATCACACACAGCATAACACACCGCCCAACTAAATCACTTTCACCTTGAATCGCAGATAAACCCCTGGCCCTGCAGATCAACCAGCTGCGGATGAACGTGGAGGACTTCGACTTCATCAAGCTCATCGGCGCCGGCGCCTTCGGAGAGGTGCAGCTGGTCCGGCACAAGTCCTCCAGCCAGGTGTACGCCATGAAGCGGCTGTCCAAGTTCGAGATGATGAAGCGACCGGACTCTGCCTTCTTTTGGGAGGAGCGCCACATCATGGCGCACGCCAACTCCGAGTGGATCGTTCAGCTGCACTTTGCCTTCCAGGTGAGCCATCATACCATACATTGCCCAATCCCAATGCAATCCCCTCAAGGGTTTCGTACCCTCAAACTATAAATGGAAAACAATTAAAATGTTATCTGACTAGTATTTTAAGCTATGGGCACTATAGTATTAACCATTGTTAATGAATCAGAATCAGAATTCTATTCAACATTTATGCCTTTTTTTGAGGGATTTTGGCATTGTGTACAAAAGTCTAAACCCATAAAGGCTAAACGCTATTTAACTTAATTTTAATTTAAAATTGTAACTACCTTGTTGTAAATACAAACTTCATTCTTTGGTTAAATTATAATAGCACTAGACTGTACTATATCAAAAACATATATTATTTGGTGTGTTTATCAACCATCAGGCGTATAAATATAATAATTTTAACTGTTTATAGTAATTCTTGCAACACAACAAAAATATTTCACTAAAAGTCGCCTTGTACCCTTTCTTCTATTAAGCCAGCTGGCTTTGCTTAATACTTTAAATCAATTTTTGTCTAGTAGTTCCACGACAACACAATTTAAAAGCAAAAAATAGTCATAAAATAAAATGTTGTGAAAAAACCTTCGCATAGCTGAAGAATATATGGTCATAATGTACCATATTAAAAAAGGTCCTGCACTTCTTGAGATTCTTAAATGCCTAATTTTGGAAATATAACCGAGATGGAGATCAGCGATGGTGCTGACAATTTGGCAAAACACAAAGTACAGTATAACTTCGGGCCGATGCCCCGGAATTTGTGGATTTTGATGAACTAAAGAAAATGTTCGAGTCTCTGGATGAACAGAAGGCGCATGGGAAGGATTTCCCCAGAGACCCGAAATACGTAATCGAGATATATTTACCTTTGGATAATTGCATTTGGTACTTTCCGTTTTAGCGGCTAGCGGTGCCGAGATGGTGTTGTTCAACGACCTGAACTTAATGAATGTTACCCTTTCTATCAACCAGGATAGGAGCATGGATAATCCTACACAGATTAGTGTTTTCACCACTCCTTCTTGTGTCCCTGTGGATTCTCCACCGCCGGTGGCAAGGCGTTTCGTTTCATAAGGAAATGCGTCGCGAACAGAAGTGAACTAGAGCTGTGGAAGCTTTAAATTTGGCGGAACAAAGATGCATGTGGGGTCATTTGGTTACCTGCCCGGAGCAAGGCGATGAAAACTTGGAGCCAGCCCAGCCAATTGTGCATCTCTCTCGTTCGCCTATAAGATTTACGACGGAGGAGATAGTACAAGTTGATCGCTTCAGAGCCGCCAAAAGGGAGCAAATCGAGGAGAGTCTTTTGGAAATGGCCAATGAATTGGAGGAGCAGGAGGGGGAGGACTATTAACCCATCGAGCCATGGACTCCAAATGAACCAGAACAGTCAGCCACCATGATGGAGCAGACCATTAAGATATATACCCACTGTCAAGCAACGGGACGAGCAGCGTCGTGCCAAACAACAAAAGGCCATAATGGAAGATCAGCCAGCTGAAGCTTGGCGTGATTACACAAACTCCCAGGGGACCAACAGCATGTTCTTGGCATCCTCTGTCGACGGGGAGAAATGCACCGGAGACCTCACTTGTTTCGAACAGCTCAACAACCAAAACCCCTTTAAAGTTCAAATCGTACCGCGTTATAGTATTAAACAATTGCTGGACCTCAAATCGCAATCTGAGGAACTTAAAGATCCCAATTTGTACTTCTGTCCCATTAAAGCTAATACCATTTTGTTCTCACACTTTATTTGCTTCGATTTTGTTTTCAAATTTCAATTTACCACAGTTATTTGTATTGTGTGCGTTAAAAAAACGGAAAATAAATACAAAATAATATTGAAAAATATAGGTAGGATTCGATTAGAAAGGACACCGAATCGTTTTCGTTTTTTTTTTTTATGTGCATATACTCCATATATATTTCCTATATACGAATTATGATAAAGATATACATTTAAACAGGCCTAATCATAATTTCAACATTACCAATCTCATGGTATTTTCCATTGAGCGAACTGAAATTGAAACTCATTTGATTAGAATGCCTTAATTAATGATAAAGTATGTTTACCATTTGCAACAGTTTTCGTACCACCAACCACCATTTCCATCGGAAGCACAATTTGTAATATAGCGGCCATTAAACTGGTCAAATGTGCTGAATTTCTGATTCACACTGTCGTGCAGTATGTCTTCGACTGAACCAGTGAACTTTCCCAGCGATTTTAGTTCGTAGAGTTCATTTTCGCTGCCAATCTGGAAATTATCGTAATGTGCGTAGCCAAAGCGTCCAGTAGTAAAATTGCCAAATTTAACAGAGAGTTCATATCGTTGGGCAGCAGTCAGTACGTAAAGTTTCTCCAGGCCGATGAAAAATTCACCAGCTATAGATCCGAATCCATACTTATATTCCAGCCAGTTTCGATTAAAGTTCACGGAGCCGTCATATCGTCTTTGAATGGTCATCCATCCACTTGCATTGCAGGGCACTTCGAATGTCTCAATGCCGCGCAACTTGAGTTTGTGGGTGGCATAAAGACCCGATCTGGGACAAGTTTCTCCCCTGTTGCACTCCCGTAGTTCATTGGTTACTGCAACCAATTGTCCCGAATCCGAACTTGCCCGATTTTCGAGGTCAGCAATTTGCTTGTCTTTTGATTCCACATCATGTTTAGCAGTTTGCAACTTACTCCGCAAGTCTTTAAGATCTTCTTTTAAAGTTTTTAGTTCTTCAGTGAGATTTTTGTTTTCATTGTTTTTTATATCAATGTTTTCATTCAAGTCTTCAATGGTTTTTGTCATCTCACCTATTTGGTAATCTTTACCTCTGAGCCGTTCTGTTTGGTTTCGATTGATTTGTGTTATTTCATTATTTTGTGCATTTATTAAATCGACATTTTGCTTGATATTGATATTCGCCGAATCTAGGCTGCTTTGCATATCTGTAATAGTTTTATTTAGTTCACTGATTTGGGCATCCTTAGCTTCGATTGTCTTATCAGTAAGTTTTGAGTGATTCATCAGTTCTTTATATTTTGAATCTACAATTTCTTTATTTTTTTTTAAGTTTTCAAGGGTTTGTGTTAATGTTTCACCTATTTCAGTGAGATTTTTTGTGTTACCATTAGCAATACCAAGTTTATCATTCAGGACTGCAATGGTTTTTGTCATCTCACCTATTTGGTAATCTTTACCTCTGAGCAGTTCTGTTTGGTTTCGCTTGATTTGTATTATTTCATTATTTTGTGCATTTATTAAATCGACATTCTGCTTGATATTGATATTCGCCAAATCTTGGCTGCTTTGCATATCTGTAATAGTTTTATTTAGTTCACTGATTTGGGCATCCTTAGCTTCGATTGTCTTATCAGTAAGTTTTGAGTGATTCACCAGATCTTTATATTTTGAATCTACAATTTCTTTATTTTTTTTTAAGTTTTCAAGGGTTTGTGTTAATGTTTCACCTATTTCAGTGAGATTTTTTATGTTACCTTTAGCAATACCAAGTTTATCATTCAGGACTGCAATGGTTTTTGTCATCTCACCTATTTGGTAATCATTTTCTTGGAGCAATTCTGTTTGGTTTTGCTTGATTTGTAGCAGCACTTGAATATTTTCATTTTTCTTTTCGATTTCTTCATTTGTGGAATTTCTTAAATCGTCAATCTGCCTTTGTAGCACTTTAATATTTTCCGTTTTGTCCAAGATTTCTATACTCTTTGAATCTAATAATTCTTCATTCCTTTCGATTTCGCCAGTTTTATTCTGAAGTAGAACCTTTTGATCCTCGATTTCTTTATCTTTTTGTTTGATTTGACTATCCCAAAATTTAATTATATTTGAAATGTCCTTGAGCCTTTCTTTATACTTCTCTATTGTTTTATTTTGTTCCAAAATTATTGCACTTTGATTATTTATATTATTTTCTTTTATTTCGATTTGAACATCACCAAGTCTTTTTTCAATCAGTAATTTATTAATAGTTTCGTTCATGGATTTTACTTCGACTCCTAGTTTATAGTTGTCCTTGAGGACCGGGGTGCATTCATTATTGGAATGAGAAGAAGATACTTCCTGCAAAACCAATGTCGACAGAAAAATGATTAAAAATTCCGACCTCATAATGTTGAATAATGTGCTGAGTGCCTCGTTGGCTCCTAACTAAACTAAGCTCAATGGCGAACCTTTAAGCAGTATATATAGCAAAAGCCCACTTGAGATAAGGGATGACAAAAATAATCTATTGTAGTATATAATATTTTCAGTGGAAGTTGTCATTGGTTTTCGCAACACAGAATTTAAGAACATAAAAAAGTGGACCCAGACCCCATACGATTGGGATTTAACAAGACAGCACAATATAGTAGCTATAGATTATCTCAGCTAATAAAGTTCCAAAAGTCGGGTCACTTGATTATAAAATTTCTCCGAATCAAAAAAAGGCATTGGCATTAAATTATGTTTCTATTTATTAGTGTTGAAGTAAACAGATTTATTATTTGTTAATATATTTTATGTGCTTCCAATCAGCCACAAAAATCAAAATGAAATCTATATTTCTCTCTCTGTATCCAATAAGACATTGGCATTTATTTATGTTTCTATTTGTTAGTGTTGCAGTAAACATATTTATTATTTTTTCGAATTTTAAAAGTGCCTCCAATCAGCCACTATATCCTAAGCCGTTTAGCCAATCTTAAACTTGTCACTAAACGAGTTTGCATTTCTCTCTGCATCAAATAAGGTATTATCATTAATTTATTTATTTATTGGTATTGTAGTGATGTAATATGTGTTTAAATTTTCTAAAAACAAAATGAATTGTGTATCCTAAGCCTTTTAGCCAATCTTAAATTTGCCACTAAATGAGTTTTTCTGTCTCTCTCTCTCTCGCTCTCTCTCTGTTTAGGATGCCAAATACCTGTACATGGTGATGGACTTCATGCCCGGCGGCGATATAGTGTCGCTGATGGGCGACTACGACATACCGGAGAAGTGGGCGATCTTCTACACGATGGAGGTGGTGCTGGCCCTGGACACCATACACAACATGGGCTTCGTGCACCGCGACGTGAAGCCGGACAACATGCTGCTCGATAGCTATGGCCACCTGAAGCTGGCCGACTTTGGTACCTGCATGCGGATGGGGGCGAATGGTCAGGTGGTTTCGAGCAATGCGGTGGGCACACCCGACTACATCAGTCCCGAGGTGCTGCAGTCGCAGGGCGTGGACAATGAGTATGGACGCGAGTGCGACTGGTGGTCGGTGGGCATATTCCTGTACGAGATGCTCTTCGGCGAGACACCGTTCTATGCGGACTCACTGGTGGGCACCTACGGCAAGATCATGGATCACAAGAACTCGCTCAGCTTTCCGCCCGAGGTGGAGATTAGCGAACAGGCCAAGGCCCTCATACGGGCCTTCCTCACCGATCGAACGCAGCGATTGGGCCGCTACGGCATCGAGGACATCAAGGCGCATCCGTTCTTTCGCAACGACACCTGGTCGTTCGACAACATACGCGAGAGTGTGCCGCCGGTGGTGCCGGAACTCTCCTCCGACGACGATACGCGCAATTTCGAGGACATCGAGCGGGACGAGAAGCCGGAGGAGGTGTTCCCCGTGCCCAAGGGCTTCGATGGCAACCACCTGCCCTTCATTGGTTTCACCTACACGGGCGACTATCAGCTGCTGTCCAGCGACACCGTGGATGCCGAGTCCAAGGAGGCCAGTGTGGCGAATAGCGGGGCGGCCAGCAATAATCACGGGCATGGTCATGGTCATGGGCCTGGGCACAACCATCGCCATCGGCCGTCGAACTCCAATGAGCTGAAGCGGCTGGAGGCGCTACTAGAGCGGGAACGTGGCCGATCGGAGGCACTGGAGCAGCAGGACGCGGGACTGCGGCAACAGATCGAGCTGATAACGAAACGGGAGGCGGAGCTGCAACGGATCGCGTCGGAGTATGAGAAGGATCTGGCATTGCGGCAGCACAACTACAAGGTGGCCATGCAGAAGGTGGAGCAGGAGATCGAGTTGCGCAAGAAGACGGAGGCGCTGCTCGTGGAGACGCAACGCAATCTGGAGAACGAACAGAAGACGCGGGCCCGCGACCTCAATATCAACGACAAGGTCATCTCGCTGGAGAAGCAACTGCTCGAGATGGAGCAGAGCTACAAGAGCGAAACGGAGCACACGCAAAAGCTGAAGAAGCACAATGCCGAGCTGGGCTTCACGGTCAAGTCGCAGGAGGAGAAGGTGCGCGACATGGTCGACATGATCGACACGCTGCAGAAGCACAAGGAGGAGCTGGGCCAGGAGAATGCCGAGCTGCAGGCCCTGGTCGTCCAGGAGAAGAATCTACGCTCGCAGCTCAAGGAGCTGCACAAGGAGGCCGAAAACAAAATGCAGACGCTGGCCAACGACATCGAACGGACGCTGGGGCGGGAGCAAAAGGCCCAGGAGGATAATCGGGCGTTGCTCGAGAAGATCAGCGATTTGGAGAAGGCCCACGCCGGCCTCGACTTCGAACTGAAGGCAGCCCAGGGCCGCTACCAGCAGGAGGTTAAGGCCCACCAGGAGACGGAGAAGTCACGACTCGTCTCGCGCGAGGAGGCCAATCTGCAGGAGGTCAAAGCGCTGCAGTCGAAGCTCAACGAGGAGAAGTCCGCCCGCATCAAGGCCGACCAGCATTCGCAGGAGAAGGAGCGCCAGTTGAGCATGCTCTCGGTGGACTATCGCCAGATCCAGCTGCGCCTGCAGAAGCTCGAGGGCGAGTGCCGCCAGGAGTCGGAGAAGGTGGCCGCTCTGCAGTCGCAGCTCGACCAGGAGCACAGCAAGCGCAATGCCCTGCTCTCGGAGCTCAGTCTGCACAGCTCGGAGGTGGCACATCTGCGCTCCCGCGAGAATCAACTGCAGAAGGAACTGTCCGCCCAGCGCGAGGCGAAACGGCGCTTCGAGGAGGATCTCACCCAGCTGAAGGGCAATCACCACGAGGCGTTGGCCAACAATCGGGAGCTACAGGCCCAACTGGAGGCCGAGCAGTGCTTCTCGCGGCTGTACAAGACGCAGGCGAACGAGAATCGCGAGGAGAGCGCCGAGCGGCTGGCCAAGATCGAGGATTTGGAAGAGGAGCGCGTATCGCTGAAGCATCAGGTGCAAGTGGCCGTTGCCCGTGCCGACTCTGAGGCCTTGGCCCGTTCCATTGCCGAGGAGACGGTGGCCGATCTCGAAAAGGAGAAGACCATCAAGGAGCTGGAACTGAAGGACTTTGTGATGAAGCACCGCAACGAGATCAATGCCAAGGAGGCGGCCCTGGCCACGCTCAAGGAGGCAGAGATCGAGCTGCACAAGAAGCTGTCCCAGAAGGGTGTCGAATGCGACGATCTCCTTCAGCAGCACAAGAAGCTACAGGAGGAGCTCACGCTGGTGAGGACCGGCAAGGACGAGGAGATCACCAAACTGCTGGACAAGTGCAAGAACGAGGTCCTGCTCAAACAGGTGGCGGTGAACAAGCTGGCCGAGGTGATGAACCGACGCGACTCCGACCTGCCCAGTAAGTTTGTACCGCTTTGCGTTCAGTTTCGTAGTTTCATAGTTTCGTACCGTTGCTAATTTCCATTTGGCATTCCAGAGCAAAAGAGCAAGGCCCGTTCCACCGCCGAGCTGCGCAAGAAGGAGAAGGAGATGCGACGACTGCAGCAGGAGCTCTCGCAGGAGCGCGACAAGTACAGTCAGCTGCTGTTGAAGCACCAGGACCTGCAGCAGCTGTGCGCCGAGGAGCAGCAGCTCAAGCAGAAGATGGTCATGGAGATCGATTGCAAGGCCACCGAGATCGAGCATCTGCAGAGCAAGCTGAACGAGACGGCGTCGCTCTCCTCGGCGGACAACGATCCCGAGGATAGCCAGGTGAGAGTCTTGTCCAGCGGCACACACGCAGAACACCACCACCCAGTACACCGAACTTGCCACTCACACCCAACACACCACATGCTCCTCCTCCACTCCTCTCTAGCACTCCTCTCTGCTCTCCCTCACACAGGACTCGGTCTTCGAGGGCTGGCTGAGTGTGCCCAACAAGCAGAATCGGCGACGTGGCCACGGCTGGAAGCGCCAGTACGTCATCGTCTCCTCGCGCAAGATCATCTTCTACAACTCGGACATTGACAAGCACAACACCACGGATGCCGTGCTCATCCTGGACCTCAGGTGCGTTTCAAGTACTTAGTTAGGTTAATTAGTTACCATATTACACAAAAATCTGTTTACGATGTGTGCATGCTGAGTGCGATAAGGCACTATCAAAAGTGCAATAACGCCTAAAAGACTTTGTTTTTTAAATATAAAAACTAGAAAAAAGAGTATAACAACTATGGTTGATAGGATACAAAATTGAATTTTATGTTTGATCGGGAACTTGTTGCAACTTTTTCAAAAACTCATTAAAAATAAAAATAATGGCAGTTTTTGTTTTTAAATATGAAGAAAGTAAAACAATATTTTCCAAATTATGGATTATATGAAAAGAAAAAAATATTGATTTTATTTCTGATCAGGAAGAGAATGCCACTTTTTAAGGAACAATTTAAAAAATATTTTATATTATAAAAGAGCTTCCTACTTTTTTGTAAATTAAAACTTTTTACTTATTTAAAGTGGACGTTATTGCACTTGTTGCCTTTAACCCATTTGAGATGCTATCGAATAGTAATTTAAATTATTGGGCCCTCTTTTCCCATATTATCTATCTAATATTTATTTTGTTTTCTGTTTTACAAATTGTAACAAAATAAATGCAAATATTTTTCGCTTTGTAAAAAACGATTTAAAAAAAAATTCATTTGTCTATTTTTTGAACTGGATTTAATAATTGAAATTTGATTTTAAATATATGTATAAATAAAATGCATTGTAAATCTAATAATTTTCACATTAATTCAAATACTTTAATACTAAATGATGCAATTCAAGGTGCTTTGTATTAAATATTATGATTTAATATTTAATATATAATTTTGAAATATTCTTTTTACTGTTCCATTTTATTGTCAGTGCATCTAAAATCATCTTAATCATTATTGTGTACCCACAGTAAGGTGTACCACGTCCGAAGCGTCACTCAGGGCGATGTCATACGCGCCGATGCCAAAGAGATTCCGCGCATCTTCCAGCTGCTGTACGCCGGCGAGGGTGCCTCCCATCGTCCCGATGAGCAGAGCCAGCTGGATGTGAGCGTGCTGCACGGCAACAGCAACGAGGAGCGCCCGGGCACCATTGTCCACAAAGGTAAAGCATTCCACCCACATAGAGCTTTGTTTGTGTTTTTCTATTTGCCTTGACCCATCTCCTTTTTTGCACAGGTCACGAGTTCGTCCACATCACCTACCACATGCCCACGGCCTGCGAGGTGTGCCCGAAGCCCTTGTGGCACATGTTCAAGCCGCCGGCGGCTTACGAATGCAAGAGGTCAGTATTTGGGATGGATTTGTGGAATATAAATATATATATATATCACTGCATCCAGCCACTATTAAATATTCACTTTAATTTAGTTCAATTCTGGCTCGTCGTCTGGTTCATTATCAGTTTCTTTAAATAGTTTAATTTTAGTTTGCAGAGCCAGAATTATGTATTGCCAAATATATTACTTACTTTTCCCTTTCTATTAAATTTTGTATTTCGAAAATTAATAAACGGACCATTGAATTTTTTGATCATAAAATTTCTTATTTTAAGAATTTGTTATTTTTGCACTTAGAATTCAAGGAATTTTGTTATTGCCATTTATATGATTTTCCCCTTGCTCATTCAAAAGTGTTAAGTAAATATATTTTCGATCGTTAATACCAGAGTAGTTGATAAGGTATGCGGAATAAAATACGAACAACATTTAAAATGTTATCAATGAGTTCATAAAAAATGACAGCGTTCAACATAACAAGCGATAATAAACGATGCTGTTTACGCTTATATACAGCAATAACCTTTTTAGATAATCTATCTAGCTAAAATTAAATTAAAATCAATGTTATTCCATCTATATTATTTTGTTGGTTCGTATTTCAATACTCATATTTTATTGCAATGTTCGTCCATTACTTTCCAAACTAGTATATGTATAGGCCGAATGCCACCAGATCGTATTGTGATTCCAGGAATTTGATTATTAAATTTAGTTTATTAATAGCAGATAAGATTTATTATTATCAAAACATTCATTTGATGTGTTGACTGTTCAATTATAATTTTTTTTTATTTACTTGATCTTTTGATTTAATTTGTATTTTTGCTCTTACTTTATAGTTGTTGTTTATTAAAATTCATTCATTCAATTCATTCACTTTTGAATTTAAAACACAAGCAATAATTTGAATCGGTTTTTTTTATAAGGTTGTATTCTCGGAATTAAGTATTAAAAATATTAACTAATCAAAACAGAGGAGCTGAAAACCATTTAATGGCTTTAAAGAAATCAAAATTGAAATGCTTTAATCTATGGTTTTTGTTTGTATGGTTTGTAAAGCATATTGACTAATCCCACTGCCCGTCCTCCGTTTCCAGATGCCGCAACAAGATTCACAAGGAGCATGTGGACAAGCACGACCCGCTGGCGCCCTGCAAGCTGAATCACGATCCGCGCAGTGCCCGGGACATGCTGCTCCTGGCGGCCACGCCCGAGGAGCAGTCGCTGTGGGTGGCACGCCTGCTGAAGCGTATCCAAAAGAGTGGATACAAGGCCAACTCGTCGAACAACAACAGCACTGACGGCAGCAAGATATCGCCCAGGTAAAGCAGGCTCAGGACCAAGTCCCCCCATTGACGTTGCTCGGAAGTTGGCCAGCAGGCGGTCAGAGTGTTTCCAATCCCCAATCCCCGATCCCCAATCCCCAATACCCACTAACTGATCTAAATTGTGTGAATCCCAGCACCAAAACCAACCAAAACCCCTAGAAAATCCACATGGCTTTGGTGTTCCCTCCCCCCTCGTATATCTGTGCGTGTGTCTCTAATCTCGATTGGTATTTCTCTTTCTCTCTCTCCCCCCACTGTCGCTGCTAACCACCATCAACTTATCATCATCATCATCATCATCGTCATTATCATTATCCTGAAAATCATCATCTAAATCATAATCCATTCATTCATCGCCTGTAACGAATTGGCAGCCAATCGACGCGCTCCTCCTACAAACCGTATGCGGTGAATGTGCAACGCTCTGCTACGCTGCCAGCAAACTCTTCGCTGAAATGAACGCCGAACGATCCAATTCAATCCGATCCCAGATGCCAGATGCCACATTTCAGATCCCAGATCCACAGGCACGGCATTTGCAGCTGGAGCTTCAGCCCCAACGAAACTAAAGCTAAATGCAAACTATTGATACACTGATACATTGATACAGAGAGTGCAACTTGAATGGCAACTGCAACTATTATCTTAAATTAACGCTCCAAAACATACATGCTACAGTAAATCAACAAATATTTTTTGAGTAATTTACAAGCTAAACTAATCTACAACTAAACTGTAACTAAAACTAAAACTTAAACTAAAACTAAAACAAAAACTAATACTAAAAACTGTATCTTAAAGAACATGTAAAGCCAATGCAACTCGTTTAACGCTTACCTAACATCAAACTGAATGTAGAACAGAAGTGGCAACGTCAAGCGGGTTTCAGATAAACCATGGATTTGTCGCGTCGTTGTACTTTTTATAGTATATATATAAATATAAATACGATATGGTATTCCATGGCTTGCTATTGTATTCTGTCACCGCGCTCAGCACAACGATGAGAGCTGTACTTAGTTAAGTGAATCGTATCCATGTCGCAGAAAGGGAGAACGTTTGAAGGAGTTTAAATCTTGATGCCTTGTAAGAACTTTTTTTTTTTCTCGATATATAAGCATAAACTTATATACATACTTGTTGTTGTTGTTGTTGTTGTGTAGCGAATACGATTGGCCAAACGTTGTTCTTAGAAAATAACAAATAATTGCAAATGAACACAGCTATACATTATATTCGTAGATATATAGAGATATATCATATCGTGTAAGCCACAAGCCAGCCAACAACAAAAACGAATCGAGCAACCGACAAACCAGAACTAAGTTAAAGCCACTTTACAAAGCTTTAACTTGTATTCCATTAAATGAGGACTCTTTTTTACATAAATATTATATAGATTTACGTGTACAAGAAGAAGATGTGAATGTCAATCAGTTACTTAAAAGGCAAACTAAATATACTGTCCTGTTTCAGTTTCCAGTTCCGATTCCAAATCGCTGTTTTAGCACTCGGAATAATTGCATTCGAAGTCGTTAGCTAAAATCATTTTGTCTCAGAGGCAAAAGCGAAAGTAAACGGTTCCAAATTGTATGTTTTCCCTTTGTAAAAGATTTGTTGCGAACCGGAAACGGAAACGGTAACGGAATAAAGTGTCTCTAGCCATGGACAGAGCGAAACATGAATCGAAACTAAACTAAACTAAACTAAACTAAAAATAAAGTAAAGAGTAAAGAGTAAAGTACACCTAACTATACGAAATGAAAGATGCGACACAGAGTTGTGTTCTAAAGGCTACGTCTAAGTATTAAATATCCAATATGTTCTAGTTGTAAGCTAAGCAAATTATTTATTTGTATCGGCAACGGAAACGAAAATGAAATCGAAATCGAAAACAAAAACAAAAACAAAAACAAAAACGAAAACATAAACGGCAGCAGCAGCTTAGCACTCTCCAATTTGTATGATTTGTATTCCATTAATGTTGATTTTACTTATGATTTCGAACCCGTTTTGTGTTTTGTAATTTGAGTAGTTTGTTTTTACAGATTGTGTACAGAGTGTGAGGCGCCAGCGAATCGCATTTAAAAGTAACGATAATAGCAACATTGCTGGCTTCAATTATCGGTAGTCGGTTATTGTTTATCGCTAATAGTCTATCGATAGGCGCAAAACAGCCGCAAAGTTCGGACTTTGATTTTGTAATCGAAGCGCTGCTTTCATTTTACTTTGTATTTTATTTGCACTATTATTATGATGATCATTCGTATTACGTTTATGTTTAATTGTACTCTTTAGTTTAACCGCGTCTGCAATTGCATTTGTCCTCGAATCTTATCGACTGGCATCCAAATGGCATTGCAAACGTTAAGCAAATAAAATGATAATGTGTATAAAATCAGTATTCATTTGGTTTTTTGTTCATCTTTGGTTTTTTCCTTTTGGTTTGGTTTGGTTGTATATCTATTCCCCCATATCAAAGATCTTCTAGAGCAGAATATAACGACGATGAGACTGTCTAACCGCCTTAATTGCCGTACGAGTACGGGCAAATCAACAGGTATCGGAAGCAATTTACAACCATATATAACGTATAACGATCTGTTTTTTGTAAAATGTATTTGAAAACTAGAGCTAAGAGTCCAACGGAAAGTCTGATCAAATGAAAATGAAAATGAACATGAAAACTTGAATATTGAACGTGAAACTGCCTTTTATTTGGGTCTCCCTATCGGGGGGCATTAATCTGGCCCCTAAATACGTGATACGTCGTGATGGGCATGGAAATGTGTCGGATCCATTTGCATGCCGATTTGCATTTGGATGGGATCTTAATCGAACTAGGAGGGAAATGGCAGCTGTCCCCTTGCATAATTGATTAATATTTTTAACAAGTTTCTGGCTTATGCTCTGCAGCATTGCGTTGTATCTTTATATCTTACATCTGCGGTTTCCCTCATTTTTATTTCAATTTATATATACATATATATTTATATTTTATTTGATTGTATTTGATGATTTCTTTTGGCATTTTGGCTGACATTTTGTAGTTCAAGGTGAGTTGGCCAGTTAATTAGCATGGCCCACAGCCCACAGTGCAGGCGACGCCCCGGATGCCAAAAAATCAACACCTGGCCGCAGAACATCTGCCAGAGTTCAAAGCGATCGTTAGCTGGGTGTGGAAGATTAATTAGCGCCCATCATCTTTGTCACACTATTAACCATCATTTAGCCATCACCCTTCAATCCGTCTGTGCCCTGCCCTGCCCTGCCCGACCATGCCCCGCCCCGCTCCTCATTCCGCCCCCGGGCCAATCAGTTCAAGGCCGCGACGAACCCACAAAATATATGCATAAATATGTCTGGCTCTTTATCTCTTTTTACAACTTTTTAATTTGGTGCCATCCTCCTATACCTTGAATTGGTTCAGGCCGTCTCACTTGGATATGGATTTCAGCTGCATTTTATGGCCAGAGTTGAGATTATTTGAATCTACTATTTTGGGGGCATTTAACGTTTTTAATATATGATTTTCTATTTGGGTAAGAAGCCATTCATTGTAATTTTAGTTTCAAAATTATTATACAGTATTATAAATAATTTTTTATAATATCATATACTCAAGGCGGGGTACTAATTGAAATCCTTAGATCTTAACTTCATTTATTTACTAACTAAATTTTTTAGCAAATTGTCAATTGTTGTAAAAATCATTGTGGTAGCCCTTATAAAAATTGTGAAATTTAGTCATAAAATTAGTTTTTTTCAAAATCGACCAACGACCACAAAACAAACTTACTACTATTGCGCTGGTAACTTTTACGTTGGATCCAGTTTTTTTTACTTATTTCCTATTTCTTAATTATACATTTTTGTTAACTAATTACACAATTTAATATTATTAACAAAAACTCTATGGTTTTAAGCAAAAGTTTTTGTGTTGGAAATAATATTTATTGGGATTTTTCTAGCTATGATAATATAGAGTATATGAAATACCTTTTATTTATAGAAAATTTTAAGTATTAAATGTTAAATGTTAGTTGCCTTTGGAAGAACATTTTTTTGAGGGTATTCAAATTTCGGTGGCAACTGGCTCATCTGATCCCCTACATGGTTTTTGTGTGTTTCCTTGGCTGATTTTTAATCACGAGCTAAGAGATTTACATGCGGGACAGATGTGACGGGGCATTGAGGATAGGGGATGGGTCGATCGATCGGGAATTACCAGATCGGCAAAGAGCCAAAACAACAATTGGCCTAAAATCAATAAATTAATTAATAAAATATACAAATTGCGAACGGCGGCCAGCGTCGCAGTCGACGTTGAGTTGGCTCGGTTCGGCTCAGCTCGACTCTACTTTACTCTACTCAACTCGGATTGGATTGGCTTGGATTGACTTGGCTTGGGTTGGGTTGGCTTGGCCTGACTTGGCGTGGATTGCAGTGGAGTGGAGTGGAGTGGAGTGGAGTGGAGTGGATTGGGTTCGAAAAACCTGTCATAACCAGAGCCCAGGCCGTGACAAATTGGCTCCGAAAAACCAGAAGTACTCCTGCAATTTTAGCTAGCATAGATCGACCGTCGAGGCGTATTGGCACACAGAAAAAAAGCAACAGCAACAGCAAATAATTTCATTTTGCATACCACTCTGATATGGTAATAATGGCAAATGGAGATTAATTTCATATTTATAAGCGATTGTGGTTTTTTCAGCAACGAAGGCTCTAAAAAGGAAGACCATAAATGAATTCAAATTACTGTTACTAAATAACAATAGATACGATAATGGGCAAGAGCGTAGAGCGAACAAAGTATTTTATTTTATATTAATATTTAAAAAAAAACGTTTTTGATTTTTATAGACTTTTTAGATTTGATAGTCTCGTATAAAGCTCAAGAATTCACGAGTTTAATTTGAAATCATTTAAGGTTAATTAAATTCAAACTTTTTGGTTTGTAAAATAAACGGATTCCTTTTAATCAAATTATCGTATGAATGGTTATTATATGATCATTATAATTTTCATAATAACATGGTACATGAGGTGTACATCCCATTAAACCAAGTTATTGGTTACAAATAAAAACTGATTTCTCTTGATTAAACATGATCTTGATCGTAAACATGAAAAGTGTCATACAAAGCTTAAGAATTCACGATTACAGTTTGACATATTCTTAGATAGAAGGTATGCAGGTAAGTATAATAACGCCGTATACATGTAAGGTGTCCTACGAAACTTAAGAATTCGCGAGGACAATTTGGCATAGTTTAAAATTGATAAGGTATGTTCATGCAATAAAACCAAGCATTTGGTTTGTTGATTAAACCATTATTATCCATGAACAGTGTCAAATGAAGCTTAAGAATTCGCGAATATATCATATCCTATCCCATCAAATCCGTTTCTTTCTGTGCAGCGGTAGAGCTTTTTAGCGAAGGCGGATGAGGAGGAGGAGGAGGAGGAGGAGGAGGAGGAGGAGGAGGAGGTGGAGTTGGGGGAGGGGGAGGGGGAGGAGGCGGTGACCACGGGCTGGCGGTGCAGGCGGTTTGGCTAGGGCGGTCTGAACCTGTTGGCTCGGCCGCTGCCGCTGCCGCAGTCTCCGTCGAAGTCTCCGTCGCTGCCACAAAATATTGGATGGCCGTAGGTTAACTGTGTGCACACGGCATAAGTAACGTTCAGTCTGCCTCTAGAAGTCGATCGTGATCGTGGCCAGTCAGTTCCGCTCGCTAGCAGAAAAGCCGAGACCGAGAGACCCGTGCCCCCCACCCCCTTAAAGCAAACAAGTGTTTTTTTTCTAGTTTAAGTTTAAAACGCGCGCGCTTCGAGTTCTTTTTTGTTGTTGGTCCAAAACCCTCGCATTAAAACCCACAAAACACACACATATTAAGACAAAATGAAGTACTTCAACATGTGAGTGATCTATAAATATATATATATAAATACCATTTATATTAATATTATTTTTTTTTTAAATATTATACTGTGATTGACACAAGGGGTACCATTTTTTTTTTGAGTGATTATATGAATATTGGAGTAAATGGAATGTTTATACAAATCCTTCAGGACTTTAAATGAATTATAAACATAAATTTGACTTTATATGATGGGATCTTGATACAAAACCATACAAAATATCATAGTTTTATTTAAAAAAATTATTATATAAATATAACCGTAAAGAATTTTCAATATATAATTTGTTGACAACTCCAAATACGAATGACTCCCAAATTTCACTGGGTTATTGCATTTTTTTTTCTAAGCTAAACTTAGTTGCTAACTGTCGAAATCGGTTAGGTTGCATGTTGCAGGTTGACTTGCAACCTTTTTGGGCCACGACCACATGCAGGTATAAGCTCGGCTTAATGCCAATTTGAACTTTAACACGCCGCCGCTCCAAACTGGAACTGAGCTGTTAAAAAGCGAAGCCGCAAATGCCAAAGTTTGGTCATCATGATGGCGATGATGATGATGATGATGATGATGATGATGATAGTGCCGAATGCGACTGATGAAGTTGTCACGGGATGTGAGGCTGGCATTTTGCCGGCAAAGAAATGGCAAAAGTTAACTTATAAGGCAATGGATCGAATGGGGAAGGGGAGGGGGTGGGGGAAGTGTTTCAAGGTCGTCTTACCCCACTCCCCCTGCTGCTCCCCCCGCTGCTCCACCACCTGGATTTCTGGACTTTCCGCAGCTGCAGCAAATTAAGTGTATTGGATTAATTACCAGACTGCTGCGGTTGTCTTATAAATTAACGGTTGCATTTTTAATGCGAGCTGACAGACAGACCGCACTCACAGCGCATATCTGCATGCATTTATCGCCGCATAAATGCAATACCACTCGGGTCGGCTGTGTGTAATATATACACCTGATACACCCAATACACCCATGTGTACAGCACACATTTATATGTGTGTTAATCGCTGCGTTGGATGCGGGAATTAATCACCAGAGAGGAGTGGAGGCGCCAGGCTGTCGGCAAAATCAGGACTTTCAGCTTGGCTTTGCTCCATTTCGATCAACTCGACTCGACTCGAGTCGACTCGTCCCGTCTCGCCGAATTATGCAATTTGTATTTAAATTAAATATAAATATACATATAAATTGAAATAAACAAAGACGCAGCAAGATTCAAGTTTCAAGGACTTTGAAGTCTCTCAAATTGGCAATATGTGTGTGAGTAATATGCACTTCATAGGCCAAAGCGAATTCAATGCGAACCGATTCGAGCCGAAACGAAATGAACAAAAACATAAACACCACTCTGGGCCAAATCAAAAGACTTAGGCAGCGAACTCGCCCGATTTGGCATGCAGCCAGCTACAGCAAATAATAAAACAACAAGAAAAATCAAATACAAAACCAAAACCAAAACACGTATTTGGCCAA